CCATAAATCTAAAAAAATCCCATTGTTTATTATAATAAAATATAAAAATATTATTTATAAAAAATTAATATATTTTTAAATATATAATTTTCAAAAATTAATATCCAATTTAAATATTATTAATTTAAATATTAAAATAATACAATAACATATTCTTAAAAAAAGGTATCATTAATTTAGGAAAATTCCATTATTTACCGTATATAAGAAAAAAATCCTATCAATTTCCATAAATCAATATCCATCAATATTTAATATTACCGGGGTTTTAACGGTAACTTATATATTATATAATAATTTATCCTAATTTAATAATTAATATAGCATTTATTTCCCTCCTATAATCTAGAAGGAGGTACTTTTCGTATTCGATTTAATCAAAATAAACACCCAAACAATAGAATATGTTTATTCGCAAAATCACTATGGATTGTTAAAAAATTAGGCTCGACTCCAGACGTTGTTTAAAATGCTCTCTGCAATCCTAATGTTTGCCCGCGACATCCCGCGACCAATCCCTCATATGCTTTGACATGCCGAAACCTAAAGTATCCTAAAGTCAAAATTGCTGCGTATAGCCAATATTTTCGTTCATACCCAGGTGACACGTCTATGATATTGTTTGGGTGTGTTGTTTGGCTGCGGGCGAACGTCCGGGTTGGGGTACACATGTTTAAGGATGTTTAAGGTATTTTAAGGCCAGCGGCCAGCGGGTCAATAACCGAACGTGTGGTCGTGCCCATTTTGCATATTGTCGTTTTCGTCCTGGTCTCTTCCCAGCGGTTTGGGGTGGGGTGGGCTATTAACCTTCATGTTCACACGCTCACGAGGTGGTTGCTGCGTTGCTGACATGTTCTCTTGGGGGGTGGGGTGGGGTGGGCTGATAACATTCATGTGCACTTCCACACACACACAAGCCAGACTACGCTCCTGTACGTTCTCTTGCACTTCCACACACACGTCATGCTACGCTACTGTGCATTCTCACAGCTACGCCGCTGTACATTCTCTTACACTTCCACACACACGTCATGCTACGCTACTGTACGTTCTTTATTTTGCACTTCCACAGGCACATGTCATGCTACGCCACGCTGCTGTACGTTCTCTTGCAATCCCACACACACACACACGTCATCAGATATCGTCCACCTACACGCTATCAGATCTTCTCTTGCACTGAAAAACATCCTCCAACTGTAAACCTTTATGTGGATCTTTCTAGTTCAGAGATGGCGCGCCATGCTACCCACGCATGGCAAAGTCGTGCGCAATGCATCACTTCTCTGTCAACCACAGCAAAGGGGACATTGAAAAATCAGTTCTTTTTTTGATACAAGACGTTGTCTGTGCACACAGGCACCATTGACTCAATATGGACTCAAATGAAGGAGTCCATCCCTAGCAGTTTGAGTTCCAAATCCCCACAGATATCTACTCGCATTCGATCGTTTCAATGGAGATTTACTCACGCAGAGAACTCAAATTTGCTGAAGGCGTGCGGACACGAACTGTCTGAAGCATGACAAATGGGAGAAAAGAGAAAAGGTGCGACAGCGCACGTTTGATTTGTCAAAACGTGTGGGAAAACTCGAATTTCTCTAAAACCGATCATTCTTTTTGAAGGGCGCCAAGAGATGAACTAGTCGTTTCGCTGAGGGAAAAACACAGAAATCCTGAAATGTACTGTAATTACGCACATTTTGGATGATTCATACAGATTCATACATCAGAAAACACCGTAAATACCATGGTTTGCACAAAGAATGAAATTGCAAAATCCACTCACCGCCACGTTCCATTTCCGGGGATGTTTACCCTCTGGTAATTTAACATAGCTGATGGGAAAATCACAATTTTTAATGGGAAAATCCACTATAAATGGCAATTTTCAATAGCAAACTGTTAGTTTACCAGAGGGTAAGCACACATCAATTTCCAGCGAATTTCACGCCTCCAAAACTCGGTGGATTTCACCCTTTTCAGAAATCCCTGGCCATAACTAGTAAATATTAGTGAGAATTATTAGGACAAATTTATAGCAAACCAAGCCCATATCGAATTAGTATGAATTCGTACAATTCAGCCGTAGATGGGGACAACAAAAGGAGCATGCAACAAGTCCCTTCTCGGAGCGATTTCAATAATATCAATGCAACAAAATTTCAAAAAAACAAACAACGCGTTTATATATTCCAATCTATTCCTATTAATATATCTCTTAAAGTGTTGTCCCTAATTACGCAAATTAATGAAAATTATGAGTATAAATCAACAAAAATCATCAGACATCCCACATTTTGGCCTGCTTGAACTTTTCTGACTGAGCCTTCAGCCCAACGGAAAGGCTCTGCCCTTATTAGGCAGAGCTGGAACACCCAAAACATTGGAGTGCGTAGTCCCGAGTTACGACCTTGCAAGACGATGTGATCATTGGAAGGATTCTTCAGCAAAATGTCGAAATGGGTTCCCGCCGCTTCCCCGAAATTCGTTGAGGTAAGTTTGATGAACCATCCTGATTCTTTCTGGCCATGTGAAACAAACAAATGTCCAAAGCAAACACAATGCCCCTGGCGAAATGCCATTCAAGTTTGCGAATTGGGTACAATCTGGTGGACATGAAATGTGAGCTGGTATGAACTTCGCCCACAGGGGGGTCCAAACAGCTATTAACACGTCTCAATATGTCTATGGATCTATGACAAAAAGAATGGTAGACGACCAGATAACAGCACCCTGTGGATTCATGTCATAAATCATGGTTGGTAAAAAAAATGGGGAGGTTACCCCCTGAAGTGCCCATTTACATCCCAGAATTCTTCCCAACGGCTGGCCCCCCATCCCCATATCTGCCATGGTCAAGTTACATATGTGTTGTCATCCCACACTGGGCCCAACATCATCTGTATATAACTTCCTATGAATACAGATTGATGACCATCAAAAAAAGAAACTGGGTAGAAAAAAACCAACCCTTTGATGATGTTTGCTTCTATTTCCCATATTCTTCCTCATGAATATACCATCAAAAATCACCATTTTTCATGGTAAAATCCAACGTTTTGACCATGGCACATATCATCCAAGGTGCTGAGTGAGGCCCGAGGCCTACGTCTCGATGCTCGCCTCTTGTCGTGAAAGTTCCTTGGACAACTCCTCTGTCGGCGTGGTGCCTTTGGGAAAACCAGTGGCTGAAGATAAACTTAGATCCTTCAAAAAAGTGAATGTTTACTGGAACGTATCCTTCTGTAAACCGAGTTTCCATGGATATGGATATGGAACATCCACAATTTCTAGGTCATCGGGGAAACCCATGGATTTCCACAGCTATATCCAACTACAAACTGAGCCTTTACCCCCTGCTGACCGACCAGTACACCGCGTTCGATGGAGTCTCATGGTTTGGCCACTACTCCGTGATCTTCAGTCTGGTTCATCTCCTGTGTGCTCCTACAAATTCAATGCTATGATGCTACAAACTGGACATCAACCATGTTTGATCTCCTGTGAAATGGATGCACTAGCATCGGTACATTGAAATTACACTTTTCTCAAAGGTTGCAATACCTGTCACTGTTTTGGCTGCGACATTTATGTCGAATTCAAATACCAGTTAAATCCAGATTATTTCACATTAACGTGGTACACCCAATACTAAACCATCCCAATTTCACTATAAATGGATGGTATCACCCCCCACAAAGTTGAAGGTGTATGCCTTATTGTATCCGATTCTTGGCTGTTTTTGATGGCGAATCTGGTCCATGTTCAACCCCACACCGTTTGGATTTTAAGCTTGAGTTTCTATGACCGTTTCAGGTATTTACTAAAGTACTAAAGATATTCCCAATGAACTGGGTCAAGTATGTTCTCCCCACGATATCCCTAGTTATGGAATCTATTGAAGTTGGATATTCCCTGGATATTCCCATCTTGGATGGCAAACTCCCCACTTTTTTTATCACTTATGGGGGATCCCCGGGATCCCCAGTCGTCACCATCGCTGTCGATCCTTGCTCAGCTCCTCCGTGCTTGTCTCCGTGCCCTGAAGGTCTAAGGTTTTTATGGCTGGTTTTTTTCATCGATTCATCTGAGTGAAAATTGGGATACTGTAAGTGATTTTGGGGATACTGGATTCACATTGGGGATTCATCAGGATATGTGATATCTTCATATATTTTCATTGATTCATCACAACTTTAATAGTTTTTCTTATGTGAACATGAGTGGTCTATCTTCAACCCGACATGGGTGTGTCTAAAAACGGAAGGAGGTACTATACCATATTTTGGACGAACCCACATTATTTCTTCGTTGTCAGCATTTCCTAAAATCTTCCTATCTTTGCGTGGAATAGTGTAGCTCTTGCTATGGTTCTGAACAAGTTTAGAGTGTGTGCAAACTTTTTCATTCAATGGCTAGTGTGCATACAATTTGTTTGGCAGCAGTTTTGGCGCATTTATATCTCTGACTGGTTTCAGGGTATTACCTGCGAAATGTTTACACTTACTTGTCACGAGTTGCTTGATAAACTTATCATGCTTTTATATTGGCATGCATAATTGGATTTTGATGATTCTTTGACATAAGATGATAACAACCTATATCAATCTTCCCGGCAGTTGAAAACTTAATGTATCATATCGTTGTTATGATTACGTTTCTTATTATCATTATTATACATATCATCTGGGCAAATTATGATCTATTATCATATTTCACGTTCACCTGAATCTTGCGGCCATAAAAGGGGATGATTTCCCTTCTACTAACCATGATTCCAAGCTTCGGTCGCGATGTGAGGTCGTGATAAATTTTACCCAGATCAAAGCAGTGGCTGATTGATTGGAGCTACCTACCATAAGGCCTGTGTTATTTTGAATCCCCAAGTTATATGTTTTTTTTGGGTACAGTAGCTCTATTTTCCAATTGACAAACGAAAACAATCACAATATTATCTCCCACTATATCAATTATCTCCGCATTATTAATCATTAACCCCCATTGTCCACTATATCCTGTATACATTCCCATAATATGCCATGATAATAGTGGGATAAACTGGAGATATAATATCCACTATTATGCCATACAAGGTCATATTAATGTATATATTACCAACTATTTAATGTACGTACATCTCCATGATATTATACCATACTGGTCCATAGTAGTCCATATTATAGTGATATACAATGTATCTGGGTCAATTATAATATTTCACCAACCTGAATTAAGGCCATTTGGGGATGATTCCCCTTACTAACTATGATTATAGTGAGGTCGCAGTGAGGTCGTTATAATTTACCCAGATGTATACAATATATAATAGTTTTCTATGCCATACTATCCAACATGAGATATTCCCAGATCATGTTCCATCTTAATGATCCATTCGAATTGTCTATGTGGATGTCGCGCCTCCAAAAAGGCTTGTGCCTGGGCTTTTTTTGGGAATCTGGGATGGAAAACACTGGGCCAAATATGGCAAAGTAATGGGAACATAAGGGCAACAGATGGGAAGGTATGGGAAAACCTGGGCAACATATGGACAGTATGGGAAGACCATCTAAATTTACAGCAATTTTTTGATTGGGACAATGGGCTGGAAATGGAAGTATACGCCCCAAATAAATCCAAATAATGCGAGTTTGATGGGTGAAATGATGAGAAATCATGTCAACCGTTTGGCTGGCCTATCTTTGGATAAAGCCATCTGAGAAAATCACCAGCAGATGTGGCGAATCCTCGATACCCAGATTTCGGGGTGATCCTCAGCAGATTGATAGGTGCCCAGTGGCCACAATTTCTTTTGGGGGACTGCCCGAAGCCGAAGCCAATGGGTTGAATGGTTCAATTGGTTCCAAAAGAATACCTGATGATACCTTGGAATCTCTTCTTGCATCGTTTTGGTCCCCTACTGCCTGTACTCTTCGATAGTCCCCCTCCATCCATGCTACTTGGCTAGTTCAGCAACAGCTAAATCTTAAGGCTCCAAACGTCACAGCTGCAGCGTTCATGGGCTGTGCCCCCAACTTCCACACGAGGAAGCCTCCCACGACTGTAGCATTTCATCCATGGAACGGTATATCTATCTGGAACCCAAGAGATCGCCTGTTTTGAAGGTGAATCTACCATTGTTTGGGTCAAACCTCCAAAACAGAGGTCGAATGGGTAATAGCTATGCCAATGGACGCATGTACCAGCACACCTTTGATCAATGCGGGTCAGTGTTTTGAGAGATGAGAATTGTGGGAAAACTGCACCTGGGTCGCAAAAACAGCTGATAACTCATGACATCTCATCCAATGCATTTACATCTACTCTCTCTGTCTGTTCACACAGAGAATAATAGAGACATCTCCAGATTCGTCAAGTTTTACCGCGGTTTGTTTCGAAATTGGGTGTATCCTAAACTTGCAATCTCAGTTCATAATAATTGGGTGTATCCTAAACTTTACTAAATTGTATCCATAATTCGGTGTATTCAAAAGAACTAAAGGAATTTTGCTGTAGCCTATGGCCCTGGACAAAGCCATCAACATGCCGGAGAGACATAATGGAGGCTCCCGCTGGCAACACCTCACCAGGGCACTGATTTTTAGATCTGAGTATGGATCAAAACCTTGTACCCCTTCTGTTCACACCAAATTAGCTGAGATTTGTGGATGTTCATCCCCAAATTTCATGGAAGAAATCATGAAATCTTGATCCAGACCCATCTTTAAAGCTCACTGAGGAAACCACATTTTGCAGCACATTTCCTACCCTTTGGGCCCCCGGCAGGGTTGCGCCACTCACCCGGCTTGGTGGCATAACTGGGGCGCAAGGTACCGAGGTGCGTCACCTGCGAAGGCAACGGTTTTGGACTTGGATCTAGACAATGGGAATAACATCAGTTGATGGTGAATAAAAACCATGTTGGATTCATTTTTTGGATCAGTTCTTTTTTGCGAAACCCCAAATACCATCCAAAATTAACATTTCACCACCAGACATGTGGGCTTAACCATAAACACAGCAGGATTTTCTAAGGCAATTGATGGCGATAAACACATGGGACGCGAAAATCATGGCGAATGGCATGATCAGTTGGTGGGATATCATGGGATCTCAGCAACGTTTGATATGATGGCTTTTAATCATTTAATCCCCAGTGACTAATGAAATAATGGCTGAATATTGGCTTTTAATGGCTTTTAATCATTTAATAATGGCTTTTAATCCAATGGCTCATCAATTTATCAATGGTTGATGATGATGGTTGATGAAATAATTGATGAATATTGATGATGGTTGATGAAATAATTGAAATAATCCCCAGTCACTAATCAGAAAAACCATCATTTTTTTGTCAATCATAAAAATCAGAGATCCCCCGTGTTTTGATGGTTTAAAGATGTTAAAACCCTGCCTCATCGCAGCTTCGAGCCATGAAAGGACCTTGGAAGATCTAACCATTGAGGGATTCAACTGAAGAATATGTGGTAAGTCGGTAAGTCGATGTACCCTCTGGTAATTTGTTACATAGCTATTGAAAATGGCCATTTATAGTGGATTTTCCCATAAAAAATGGTGATTTTCCATAGTTATGTTAGTTTACCAGAGGGTAAGTTGGTGGTTTTAACCCATCCCACGTCAAGTTGGTGGTTTTAACATGTTTTAACCCATCACAAACATGTGCTGGACCATTTCAACCCATCATCCCAAGTATGGTTCCAAAAATAAAACTTGGAACGTTTGAACCCCCCAACTGGTCTAAGGCTAGTTATATAGTTTCCATCATCTTTTCCAAGCATGAAGCCACTGAGTCAACTATGTTTGTCCATCCACTGTGTACAGCAAAGAAAGGCTTGGTACGCCAAACTGAGAATACTGGAACCGCCTTTGACAGCTGAGAAGTGGACCAAATCGAAGCGGAGGACGGGAAGTATCCTGACACCCATCTGCTTGAAACATCATGACTCATGACCAATCCCTCAATGCGATCAAACACCCCTGCCAATCTTAAACATCCTGCAAAGGATTATAATTCTAGCTACAGCTACCATCGGGAATGGCTCTGTCTTTTTCTTACTCAGCGGGTGTCCCTGCCAAAAAAAAGTTTAAACTTTTTTTGGTTGGGTTCGCGCGCCAATTTGGGGTATAGAAAAGGCGGCAGTTTCGCGCGGGAACCCAACGACAAAAAAAATTAAAGTGTAGTCACTTGCTGAGTTAGTTTTGGAACCCATGTATGCGCGTCTGTACTTCGCTTAATATCTACTGACCACAGAGTCACCCCCCGGATCATTGTCTTATATAAAACCACCTGTACGTCACAGGCTGAATTTCAGGAACTCTTTTCACAAAGTTGACTCATGATTCACTTGCATTTCTCATTGCAGCCTTTTTGAACTGTGATGCTATAGGCGACATCAGTGCTTATCTAATCTACCTGTTATTGTTGGAGAACTACTGGCGTCAACCGTTGTCGAGTCATCCTAAACCGGTTCAAGAAAGTCATATCCTGAAGCTTATCTACGATTGCGTTGCCCGCAACATCGTATTTCACCCACCACAAATGTTCCATCTCCGCCTCACTTACCCTGAAAAATGACTTCATCTTCATCATTTTCCACATGTTTCCGTATGTAGCTTTCCCCTTCATGGCCATTTTAATAAGGAAAATGATTTAAAATGATCAAGAGCAACCAATTTTCGGGTTTTCCCCAAAATTTCCGACACATCCATGGTTTTTCACCATAAAAAACATCACCATTTCCATAGGTTTCTCACCATGTTCATCCGTTTTCGCCGTGGCACCGACAGCGTGAGCCACAACTCAAAGGCGCGGAAGGCCGTGACGTAGATGCAGAAGGTGCCATCAGCCTCCACCTGAGCCATGGCTGAGAAGTCCCCAGTTTTCATGGGATTTTTGTGACCAGTTCCAGCAGCACAAATAATCTGGGTAAATTATAAAAATTCACTGACCTGAATTAAGGCCATTTTGGGATGATTTCCCTTACTAACCATGATTTCCAGTGAGGTCGCAGTGAGGTCGTTATAATTTGCCCAGAAATAATAGACCAATTTGATGTCCTTTTGGTCAAAATAGAGGGGCCGGTTTGGTATGCCATCTATCATCAATGGGAAAAGGACATCTATGTAATAGACTAGACGAAGATGTTGCACCATAGCCACATCAGTTCCTGCTGTTTGCAATTAAACAGCTCCATAAATAGTGCAAGGATTTCCCAACGGCCCGCCATGTAAATAATTCGACCAGCACATCATCATGCAAAGGTTTCCTGAAATGGGGTACCCCCAAAGCATCTCCAAATTTTTCCATTTGAATCCATTTGATACCCTCTGGTGAACTAACATAGCAATTGAAAATGGCCATTTATAGTGGATTTTCCCATGAAAAATGGTGATTTTCCATTGCTATGTTAGTTCACCAGAGGGTAGTATTGGTCTGGAGGTTTTCAACCAATTGTTTCAAATTTGGCCAATGGTGACCATATGGAATCCCCTGGACATGGCCACCCTTCTCATTGATGGATCGTTTGATCACGCGGTCCGCAGTTCAATCTGACATGGTGCTTTGGCACATCTGTTTGTCAGCAAATTTAGGGATGAATTCCCTAAATTCGTTGGCAAATTATCATTCTTCCCGGTGAACATGGCCATATTTTAGGGGCTATGCAGCCATCTGGACGCTTTTTCTTGAAGGGTGAAAGAAACGATTTCGAAAAAAACCCACATTCCCCAGGGCAAAATTGTTCTGTTGTGAATCAAGTATCTGAGTGGAGCCCCAGCAGGTTTAACCAAGTCAGCGACGTCGGCAAAATCATAGCTACGGGACTTCCCTTTAATGGATGATGATTCTCCCCATGATGTGAAGGCTAGTAATAACCGCAGAAAAATGCTTAACCAAGAAAAACATATCATATCGTTGCTTACATATCCTCTTATATTCCCATCATATCTCCATTACAGCCCCATTACAGCAATGCGGCAATAGTCATCACCCAACAATTACTGGTTGGTGGTTTCAACCCCTCTGAAAAATTCCCATCATATCTCCATTACAGCCCCATTACAGCAATGCGGCAATAGTCATCACCCAACAATTACTGGTTGGTGGTTTCAACCCCTCTGACAAATATTAGTTAGTTGGGATTATTATTCCCAATATATGGAAAAATAAAAAATGTGCCAAACCACCAACCAGATTATATATCAATCATATCCCCAAACTCTACGGTTCAACAAACACCTGTAAATGATGGTTGAATTCTGCCTATGATTCCACAAAAATTCTTCGAAATTTCATGGACCTATTTCTAACTGCGAATGACAATGACAATGATGATGATAATTATTGGTTGGTTGAGCGGCTGAAAAAACATACCCTTTCACAGAAAAAAACAATTCTCATGGTTTCAAACGACAACTCTTCATGGATATTCATGGTTAACTAATGGGAAATATCATGGACATATCACAACATACGACAACTATTCATGGTTGACTAGTATAATGGTATAATGATTGATATTAGCAGTGGTATAATGATTATCACTGAAATCAATCATTATACCATTATATCAACTGATAATATATATATATGATTCTACCATTGTATCAACTGATAATAGTCATTATATCACTATAAGAGATACCATCTGGATATTTAACATAGCCATGGAAAATCACCATTTTATAGCTAGGTAAACCTCTCTATCACTGAAACCACTCGCCTGCGACCAGGACATCCCGGAGCTTCCCATGGCTCCTGCCGCAACCTGAATGATGTCAAGGCGGAATGTGGCGATGATGAAACCAGAGGACATCATTTCTACATATATTGACATCATTTTATTTGATTTCGGGGCTCTTCAGTTCTTCTTCATGCAGTTGAAACATCTCCCAATGGGGCTTTTCAGTGCTTTTTTGAAACCCTTTAAAGCATTTAAAAGCTGAATGGGGACCCCAAACGAAAAGGGGTGTTCATGAAAGGTAGTCCAGGGGTGCCTGAAGCCTACACAGTTCTTACAAGCATCCGCCACCAGTTCTTGTGGGACTCACGGACTTTATTTAAGGACTTTGAAGCTTGTTAGTCATTCTCAGCAGTGTGCAGAGGCAAAATTTTACTTTTTGCGGTTTGCACCTTTCTATGCACCAAGTTGGACTGTGAAAAAGTTGGGAAGATGCGCATCAACCGCTCGGCTGACAACCATACAGCCAACTTTACCAATTTTGAGTGGGGCTTCGTATCACCGGCCCCTGGGGTCACTAGTGAAGGGCCATTTGACCGGTACAAAGTTTCCACCATATTTCCTGAGAACCATCCTCACTTGTTATTCCTTTTTTTGGCTGTTTAGCCATTTAGGTAGCTCCAATAACCCTAAATGGATGAACATTGGGATGCTTTCAAACCTCAAACACTATATCCAACAAAAGTCGTAGATTGAACATTTTTAGATGGTCACATTTCCCACACATACACATATACATGTATATATATATACACATACATACACATATACATGTATACATATACATATATACATATACATATATACATATCTATAGATCTACATATACATACATATACATATACATATATAATATATTTACATTATCAATAATTATTACATGTTGACAAGTAGCTCAGCACATTTTCAGCACCTCAGCGACCACGTCACCGGCCTCAACGGCCAGCATCTTGGCTTCATGGCCATCAAAGATGCCCAGGGCCATTGCTGAGGCCTCAGATCGCAACGAACATCGTTTCATAGGGATACCATTGGGATAGTATGGGTGTATACCATGATTTTTTATTTGTATTTAATTTGGAGAGTATGATGAGTATAGGTATCCCATTTATTGTAAGTTATTGATACACGGTTGACATGAATGTTGGATGTATATATATATATACACATACATACATACATATATATATACATACATATACATATACACATATATATATATACATATACATATATACATATATACATATATATATATACATATACATATACATATATATATATACATACATATACATATACATATATACATATATATATATATACACATACACATACATAATCGTTGAAATACCTGTGACACGCATGTCATTATTATGTTGGGTATATATCAATTAAGATCAAAGGAACAATGATCATGTACCGCACAAACATGATCAACATGCGGAATTAAGCAAGAAACAATTAGATTAGTCCAAGAAAAAGTAGGATCTATCTACACAAAGGCAAATTAATCACTAAACAGTGGCGTCACAGGATCCAAGCAACAAAGATGGGGACTTCTTTGGCACGACGAGCAACATCAGGACATGTAATCAACAAACAATCGGGAGATTAAAGCCTTGCATTATCAACCTAAAAATACGAAAGTAAACAAATAATGAAGTGAGAACATCATCGTCATCGTCATCGTCATCGTCATCCTCATCATCATCATCATCACTATCACCATCCTCATCCTCTTCCTCTTCCTCATCCACATCCACATCCTCCTCCTCCTCCTCACCACCACCACCACCACCAGCATCATCATCATCATCATCATCATCATCAACAAAAACAGTTGATGTCATGATGTAGCGTTTTCGAGGCTTAGACTCTCAAGACTGGTTGCACCGGCAGCGGCAGCTCGCTGAAGAAGTTGAGATCGAACTGGCTCAATTCCTTGCGATTTCGAGGCATTCAAGAGAAGTGGGAGCTTCAAAAGCGCAAAATGAGCACTTCATAGGCAAACAATTGGCTTTTTTTGGAGCAACAATGAGGCTTTGACCACGAACAGGGGTGTGCTACCAGTGGAAATGGCACTTTTCAGTGGGTCAACTAACATGGGGAGAAGGTTGTCAAATCCAGCTGCCGCAAACGTTGGATTAAAGGTACTGTAGGTTGACACCGTTGGATTCCGTGAATGCAATGTGTGATCTATACAACCATAGATGTATACATATATTTATCTACCTACCTACCTACCTACCTACTTATCCATTCATCCATCCATCCAAATAGATATTACTGAAACAGTAACCCCAAACCATGGGGTTGAATACTAAAACAGTTTAATTTTGGATGACATGGGGGTACCTTCATGTCACGAACCACCACATGTGTGTGTATATATATATATAATATGTAGGCTTTTCCAACCCCTTCGAACTTTGGAAAACAATATTGTACCGAGCGCAAACTCCGCCTATTCAGCTTGAACGTCCAAGTATCGCAACATGTTGTTATTGTACGAGTCTACCACCTTGTACATGCTCCAGAAAAAAAATGCTGATTCCAGTGGCAATCATGCTGTATCATTTGATTAGTAGGTTTCTGTCTCACGGGGTAGGAGCAAGTTCCTGTTTCAGGCAAAATGACAGCAGCTTTTTACGTGATGAGCAGCTGATGATGCAAATATGTTGAGAAAAAACATTGTCACAAAAACCACATGCAAATAGCACCAGGTGAGAGTATTGATAATTTGATAATTAGTTCCAAGAGGTCGGACCACTATACATATATCTGGGTAAACTATAATATTTCACTAACCTGAATTAAGGCCATTTTGGGATGATTCCCCTTACTAACTATGATTATGATTATAGTGAGGTCGCAGTGAGGTCGTTATAATTTACCCAGATAATATCTATTAATATCTTGAAATATGGGATCGACCATCAAAAAATGGGAAAACCATCAATATTGATCATTCTTGATGGTTGAACTATGGTTATTCATTGTCATTGTGGATTTCATAGATACCTGATTCATAATATCTCTTAATATCCCATAAAAATCCCATAATATCCATTCATACCCATTAATTGTTTAAATTCCATAATATCATTAATATACACTATTAGGATATTATGATATCCATATTATGATATGGCTATGGATCAATACCTATACATACCATTTTTAGTGGGATGAACATCCATAAATCCCAGCTATTTTGGGGTTCACTAGGTACCAGGGTTTTGACCCATCCCCATATTTTCAAATCCTCTATTAATTGTCTAATGGATCAATTAATGGTTGTTGCTTCCCCAGCTACCGCAGGACCGATCTGAAGGACCGATCTGGCCGCCTTGGATCTGGTCTCTTCGAAAGGCACATCGGGTGCCTGGAAAACGGTCCAATCGGAGGTTCTTTTTGGGAGTGGATACCCTCTGGTAAACTAACATAGCTATTGAAAATGACCATTTATAGTGGATTTTCCCATTAAGAATGGTGATTTTCCATAGCTATGTTAAATTACCAGAGGGTACATTGGATGGTATTAATTGATCTAATTTATGAACATATTATGAACATATTTGTATTTATTTTAGTTCATTTGGGAATATATATATCTTATATAAATAGACAGATATAATAATACAATATAACACATCTAGATAAACACACTTTAAATATATGTAGATTTAACATGTAAGCGCCCCTGATTTCACATAGAGATGGCTGTTGATGTGATATCTCCATCATTCTCTATCTATTGCTGGTACGAATCGTTCGCCAATGAGGCACTTGAGTCAAGCAAGTCATGCAATTCAATGCACTAGACGGGGATGAGTCAAAATCTATGGTATGTTTTCGGAGGATCAACATCCATTTAACAGCTCTTTCTACTTTATGCTATTTTGATCTATTTTGGTGTTTTGTTTACTGCGGCACCACGGCTTTGACGCATTGTCAGATCGCTGAAATCCAAGAACGTTCTCAGATGGTCCTCACCCCCTAATTATCATTGCCAATGATTACCGAGTTATTACCAATGGGTAGCATTACCAGACTGTTCAGATTACCACATTCTTCTGTACAGTATGACTGTATATCTAGATTCATTTACTACATACTCATCAGATTCTACATTTGATGGGTAAGCCCATTCAAGCAATGTGCCTTTCTATTGGTATAGTCAGTCTAGTGGCACTCTATCTCCAGCAAATTAACATGGATACGGACAACCCACTTTGATTGGATCATTTCCATTCAGAAACCATACATTCTGCACATAAATTTTCATAATGTCTAATCTAAATTCAGTGGAGAAAACCCTGTAAGCCTCATAAATAATTTACTGTACCAGTTTTAACTTTGTATTTGGGGATTTACCGGAGAGTAACCCTTATCACCTCTCCATACCCTCTGGTGGAAATTTATAAAATCTCACATATGTTTGAAGGGTGAATCGGTAAATGTTTAAATCATCCACAGTGGTACCCGGCCTGGTAAACTAACAGTTTGCGAACTGGAAAATCACCATCGAATTAATAGGTAAATCAACTATTTCTATGGGCCATTTTCAGAAACATTTTCCATAGCTATGTTAAATCACCAGAGGGTAATCAGTCGTGAAACGACATTTTCGTATCTTGGGCACTGCCCATACGACGCACGTTTCATCCCCTCCGCCCGATCGTTGTCACCTCAGCCAGCCCAACCGCGTGCCATTGGCCAAGTTGAGGCACCTGCGTCAGGGTGAAAGATAGGGGTATCCCTAATTTAATTGGTGTCTAATGGGATTCATGCAATGGAACTTCACTATTCTGTATATCTGATGTATAACATACAATTGACACATAGTTAATATAGTTAGTTTACTGCAATCATACAAAAAGAATTCAGCGCATATAACTAATTATGCTACAAGTATAATTAGTATAATGCATAAAATTAAATGACCCAACATTCTCCAGCCGTTTTTGCCAAACTTTCAGCTAACAAGTCAAATAAAGTTTGGCATACAGTATGACTGGATGATCTTGCTGATTTTTGCTACTCTGAGCCTGCAAGGAAAACTTGGTGTATAACACACATGTATCATGAGGCTAAAGCAAGAATCATGATGATAGAAGCAAGCAAAAATCGATCATATCACCAGCAATAGTGAGCAAACAAGGTGTTGTGCGTCTTTTGCGCGGTCCCTCAGTTCCAAGCAAATCCAAATCCCGAGCACTGAACCAAGATTTGCGTCTTGAAACAAACCAATGAGCTGCAAGTTGCAAAGCATCTCTGCTGGCATGGAAGGTTGTATTGACATACCATCAGCTTTCTGGATATTCGTTGTCCTGCATATCCATTTGCGCAAAATGGATGATCTATGCCTGTTCCTGGAACAGTTGGCCACAAAAAACACAACTGGTCGTTGGTGCTTATCGTATATGTTGAGATAGTCAGCTTATTCATAGCCATGCTCACCATGCTCCACTTTTTTCTGCAACATGTTGTAAAAAATCATGGGGATTCAACGACTACCTACCATCCAGTTCGGTGACCCACATCCAAACATCGCTTGCTGATGATTTCATCCCGGCTAAAAGTGGCAGCACCCTGATGTCAGCCTATGATCCCGGGGGAATGCTAGGGACGAGCCTCAAATGAGAAGGTCAAGGCTTTGGGATAGCCATACCTGGGATGCGAGAGATTCAAAGTGACCCGCTCAAAATCCAGGTTTCATCTACAACTCGTTTTGGATGAAGAGCAAACTTTCGCCACTGACTGAATCATCCACTTTTTGAACATTATCCCATTCACACTCACTTTCAGCCGAAGCCTATCTGGGACCGGGCAGCGGACTCCCAAAGTGCTGGAGCGACACCTGCAAGGACCTGCCGTTTTTTTTTTAAAGGATGTGACGATATTTTCAGGGCCAACAAGATATCAATAACATTCAACAACTTATCACAAAAACCAAGATATGAACCCTCTTGATATCTCTTACTGTAATTTCCCTTAACAGCTCATGTGTCCGAACGTGGCACTGGCCCTAAAGCCAAGGCCTCTTTCCAAGCTTCCTCCACATCATCGGACTGAAGAATTTCTTGGGCGCTTGACTTGTCCTGGCTGAGGATTTTTTGAAGTTGTGCATCCGAATTATGGATGTTAGTCTAGTTTAGTATTCACCATCCAATTATTGGGGTACCTAATTTTGACCCATACCCAATTATGGAAATGATTCCAATCCGAAAATTGCTCAACTTCTTTCGCATCTTTGCTTTTGCAAAACACATACTTACTGTAATGTGGGTAAACACATGCCATTTTTCCCCAATTTCAGCATTTTTATAGGTGATGTGTTTACTATTCCCAGTCATGGGTGGTTTATTGTTCTTTGTTTTACCCATACCCTCTGGTAAACTAACATAACTATGGAAAATCACCATTTTTAATGGGAAAATCCACTATAAATGGTGATTTTCCATTGCTATGTTAGTTTACCAGAGGGTATTGGCCCATATTGCTGGAGACATGGGAGCGTCCCATTGTGGAAACCAGTCGCCGAGGATTGGTGCGAGTTATGTCTCCTCTGCAAGACGATCTGCTGGCCTGGGCGTCACCAGATGCAGCGCCATGTATACATTAATATACATGCATATAATTATATTATGTTTATAACTGTTTATATATACATTAATTTACATCATTAACTCTATAAAATATGTGCATTACATGCTTTGATCCTCTTATATCCTCGAACAAATACTTTACCTTTGCGACCGGCTTGTGATGTCGGCCATACAACCCATACCCGCCATCCCCCTGTGGCTCCAACGCTTGCATACTCTGCTCCATCTCCGCCTCCTGTGATTTCCAATTTGTAGGATGCGGCGATTTATTGATGCAAACGGTTTCAAATGATAATTTAACAACAGGGGGGTAGCTCACAGGGGGGCAGCATAAAGTTTCATGATTTAGTGAGTAAAAAGGCAGCACGCCTCTTTTCTTGGATGATTTCTGCACTTTAGAACTACAGGAAAAAACACCTTACTGGAGGCTTACACATCGATCAGCTGGAATTCTTCGAGGCAAAACCAACAGATTCTCGCAACGGGCAACCAAGTCCTGTCCCGTTTGACCATTTGGCTCCATCATTTCCAACAGCAAACGTAGATGTGCACTCTCCATGTTTTTACCTTTATATGATGCATCTATAGTCTATATCATATACCTTCATCTTCATCGATTCAAAATGATTCAAACATATGTAAGAAAACCAGAAAGGCCTCTGGCCGCAGAATCAACTTTCCCAGTTTGCTAGCAGCAAAGCCGCTTGGGGGAATTCCATCCAGTCCTGTTGTGCTTGCGAGGCTTCCTCCGTCAGCCGTTCAGCCTCCTCCTGTGACCCCAGACCACCCAAGAAACCCTGCGAACAGTGGAGAACCTCAAATTGACAGTCGAGGTGCCTTCAAATCTCCTTGCTAAGACCCCAGGAGGCTTCCGTCTGTTTCTCCAAAAGATACAACCTTTTCGGGGGATATCAATGGATATCAGCAAACATTTTGCAACGTTTTCAAGTAAAAGGTGACTGGGTCTGTCGCATTGAGGGATTCGAAAAACAGTTCCTTGGCTGAAAGATTTGGCTCTACACCAAGTGTAAAATCTCCAACACAAATAGAGCTGTTGTAAACCTACAGACCTACAAAATGAACATGACCTAAATACCAAACTATGACGCAACCATCATCTAAAGATCTATCCATGAATAATCCCTGCAGATCTTTCTTCATCTTTGGGTCCTAAAAACATCTGACAGAACCAGCCGAAATTTTTGGCGGCGTTCCTTCTTTTTTTTTGCCAAAGCGGCCAACTCTTTGGTGGCCTTGCCTGCAGCGAGCTTTGCGACCAGGAGTATGGGCTAAAGGGCCACGGAAACCCATGAAACTCACAGGAAATTCCGAGGTTTGAATATCATTTGGAGATATTTTGGAGAGCTATGAACCAAATGAAATGATGGAATCATCTGGAATGCAGGCAACTTAACTTGTTTTCGTTTTTTGTGGTGTATTGAAATAGCATTTGGCAGCATTTGGCTTTGCCTGAAAATATGGTTCATCAAGATTAGACGACTTACAATCATTTTAGTAGACACGTGGGGGCAGGGGTCCCATTCAATGAGACACACCCCATTTCTTCGACTATAGCTATTGAACATGGCCATTTACAGTTGATTTACTCATTAAACATGGTGAATTCTTCCATAGTCTTTTGTAAACGTTTGCCTTTCGGCTCCCCGAAATTCTCTGCTTGACCCGCCGAGAAACTCTCGTCCAGCTGTTGCGAGAGATCGTTGTTGATCAAGGCCCGCTTCAGGTTTCGCATCGAAGTGGCCCAGCCTTTGTTGGCCTCACCGGCGATGTCCAAAATAGGCAGGAACCCAGGAACCCTGCAGAACCACCAAATATACACGTCAAAAGCGTCAAAAGTCCACAAGTCTTATAGCAATATCCTCAAAAACTCAATTGTCCGGACTAGATCACTTTTTTTGCTGCTGACATTCTGAACAAACATCGATGGTTTTTTGGCAGTCTGACAGATGCGAAGGACTCATTCTTAGCCACCAGATTTGGGATTGGAACATCCCCATAGGACATCCATATTTTCTATCCTTCACCCTTAGGACCGACACATTTATTGCTCAAACTCCTCCATTATGTGCATATATATTTCTCAGGGCGTGGAGGAATATTTTAAACAACATATATTTTTTCATATTTGTTTCATATTTTTTTTAACCTTTTGATAATTAATCATCCAATTCTGCTACCCAATGACTTGCAGCTTGACCTCCAGATTTTTTGACCGAATTCTCCTACACGTCTGCTGTCCCCTGGGCCTTAAACTTCCACGCTACCGGTTATTCTCCAGTGATATAGGCTAGGTATAGTGTATATATACCGATACATATATCATCATATATCTATATGATTACACACAAATATATGTATATGTATTATATATATATATATGCACATAGGATATACACAGTTACATGTTCACTTATTTTACCAGTTGTAGAAACACAATGAAAACCACATATCTCATATATGATCTTCCTCTTAGATCCCCATATCGTCCACATAGCCTTGGCCAAAGTCAATTACATACAAGATCATACAAGTCATATATACTTACCAAATATATCGTTTGATATCGTTTGAAAAAAACACCACCCGGACATAATGGTAAAATTACTTTTGGCGTTCTTTTAGGGGTAGTGTTTACATACATATTATATATATACACATAAAAACAGAACTCGCTAGATATACGTATAGATACACATATAATATCATTCAGTTGCCAATACGATATATTTAATTATATTTATACATTCTATGATCTGCTCAATATTTCATATGTATCATGGAACTAGTTTAATTGTCAGTAAATACCTACTATATCCATATAGCATTAGTATTTGCTGGTCATAACTATTAAATTTGATAGCATAGATAACGGCGATAACTGGAGCCCAATATATTCCAAATTATCTATTGCAATAGGATTTCCATTACAGACACCATCCAGTTTTTGGGGTACCCCCATGACTTAGGAAACCTGCATTATAAAATATGATATCATCACTAATCCCCTCCTATGGTCATTATCCAATATTTCCGACTTTGACCAATATGCCGCTATAATAATCCCCCACAGTTTTATCACATTTTAAGATCTTTTTCCTCCTTTCTTCCCATACCCTCTGGTAATTTAACATGGCTATTGAAAATGGCCTATAGTTGATCTACCTATTATACATGGTGATTGTATCCCATATCATCCCACTATTCACCATTGTTCACCCAAGGTTAAACCATAAAAAATCATCATTAAATCACCATTTATAGTGGTTAAATTGGTAAAATCATGTTAAATCACCATTTTCCCATGGTTTTCCAACCAACAAATCACCATCTTCCCATGATCCACCCGGAATCCGCCCTTTCCCCGGGCCTTCTCCTCCGTAGCCCGGGCCTCCTTCGCCGCCGCCACCAGCGCCGCCTGGCGCTGCTGCGCCGCTTGGACCAAGGAAGGCCGCTCCGCCAGCGCCGCGGCCAGCGACATGCGCCGGCAGCGACCGCCTGCAACGGATTGACCGGGAAAGGCCCAGGAAAACCTGGGAAAAACCTGGGGAAAGCTGGGAAAACCTGAGGAAAACTAGGGAAATCTGGGAAAACACCAGGAAATCATATGGAAAATGGATGAACATGGGGGAAAGCTGATGAAAAACCTAGGGAAAAGGTAGAAAGATTAGTGGAACATGGGAGAAACATGGTTCAACAATGTTCAACATATCTATATAAAATACAAGGAGAACATGCGAAAGAGAATGATGAAATCATAGAGGAAAACACGGAGAAAACTACATCCATAATCATGAGATAGCACATTGATCATTTACCAATGAGTATACCATCGACGTCCAACTCTAGTCCCATCAGCGGTGCAGACCTTGCCATCTGGTTGATCCTATGGGTCAATAGGCCCCCGAATTCACAGATTTTTGGACAATGTTTGGTATTCAATCAGGGAAAATCGTTCCCTTTTCGAGGGCATATCCTGAAATATACACTTCCCAACAACATATTTCGATGTCCTCACAACATATATCAGACAGCCACCTTGAACCCTTCCAATTGTAGGAGATCCGTCACAACAATTGCCAACGAAAATCTTGCCAACTGCCGATATGGAAAACTGGCGAATTCAAAATCCCACCTCGTTGATAAACCAGATCCTGCACCAGGTTGTAGGTTGAGTCAGAGGGGCAACCATGATATCCATGGACAACAACATCATCAAACCACGGGGAACGCAGCATCAAATCCCATGTGTCAACACAAGTAAGAATCAAATGTCACGAAAGAAATGCGGTGAGGACCAAATGCCATGTTCTTCCAATTTGGCTGGTTGTACCCTCCAGTGTTCACTAACTAGTTCCTAACGGTTCCCTATGATCCCTATGGAAGCCATAGTCGCCCCCATATTCTTCGATGATTTAGCGATCAAGTCTTTGGGCTTGACTACTCTTTGTTTGAGAGATTTTCAGCAGTGACTGGGTTTCAATCTTGTCCGTGCTGTTGTGTTAAATAAAAACTCGGCTCATCAAAGATCATCAAAGAATTCTGTGCACCTGTGCGAAGTGTAGCTTCAGCCTTCTACCATGCCTTGATGGGTGGCCATGATCAAACACTTTTTACTTCCAAACATGTGCCGTTCTTCCCCACTCGTCAACGATCACCAGCACTGCCAGAATTGGTTTCAAAGGAGTAAATCTACAGGAACTCCTCATCTTTAATGACCACAAACGCAACCCATGCTTTCCGTGTAAAAAAAATCCAACCCCCCAAGAAAGTGACGATTTCGTCGAACCATCTACAGGTGACACACCCATCTTTGATGGAGTTTATCCATGGAAAATTCCACGGTTTCCCATGGTTTTTCCATGTCATTTTCCCGTGATTTGCCACCCCGGATCTCCGCCAGAGTCCTGCAGTGCTTGGATATCAGCTCGGCTCTGGAACTGATGCGCCAGAGTCTCCAAGCTCTGGCCATGCAAGGCCGGGAGCAGCTCGTCATAGGAAGCCCAAAGGCTGGGATTTCCTGAACCGAACACCGGGTTTTTGGTCCCAAATCACCGGGGAAATCCACATGGGATGATGGGATAGACTTGGGATTTAGTGTTTTTTGGGGGGTTTCGACAAAACAACGGGAGAATGATGGGATTCCCTCCGGTGTCAAACATGGCTCAAAAAATTTCCATTTACGGAGGATTTTCCAAGCTATAAAGCTTCATTAATATTATGGGATTTCCATGGAGTTCCTTTTGCCATGTTTGGTTGCCAGAAGGTAACTGCTGGGAATAAGTCGTAGTCTTAGTCATTGGATGGGGATGTTTTTTCTTTTCACTGGGGGTATAACTGAGGGTAAACACCAGATTGTTGGGACTACCACATTACTTGGGTATTCCATAATGTGGTAACTCCCAGTAACAAGTGGTTTATAACTGAGGCTCAATACTGGCCTAGAAAAGCGGAATGGAATGCTAAATGGTACCTGTGTCATCAAGCTTCATCACGCTGGAATCTGGGTGGGAAATCCTCAAACTAAGTCTGGATGCTTTTTGGGAAAGTCGTCGAACTGAGGGAATTTTCTGTCGCAACTGGTGTGATTACCAGCGGTAGTACAAATCAGCAACGGAAAACGCCAAAACCCAGTTGGAAAACGGCAAAAATCAAACAAACCAAAACCTAATAGTCGATCATCACTGTCTCTATTCGAAAGGCTTTGACTATTATATAGATGGTTGGGAAACTCTAAGTAGCTCCTTGGCTCCTCATTCAATAGTATTCAATAGGGAATATGCATACCCCTAGCTCCGAATCGCTCCCTCCATTCACCACTGGATAGTTCAATTGATGGTAAACCCATCATTTTTGAAGAAACCCAGGAGCTCTTGCAGTGTTCCTAACGGGGGATGGCCCCCAATTTCCTAGCATTTCTAGGGGTGAAATCACCACCAACCAGAAATGGTTCATTTCACTTAGAACATGTTAGAAACTGTGGGTTAAATACATGTGAAATGCATTGACATGCACTAGTGAAGCATTTTTGCAGTTTGCCATTCAAACTTACGCCTTGTGCTGTTAACTGTTCTGACCACTTCTCTGGTAAGGCTCTATGTCGTAGCTGCTTGCGAAGTGTTGCCATGGAATCTCGATTGGCCTGTTCGGCAGGAGTCAAACAGCTGATTGGCGCCTACCACCCTGCAGATTGTTGGAAACAAACATGATCAGAAAAACTCATCAAAATTCAGCAAAAACAAGGTAAATATGTAAAAGATTGTAAAATACCATCCACAGTCTAAGAGTTTGAGCAGAGCCTTCAAAAGGTGCTGTAAGTGGAAATCCAATCGAAATCACCAGCCGTGATACCCGTGCCTGCTGCAGGGCCACCTGACTGCCACACGTGGCTTGTCTCCAAGTTGGCATCTGCAATTCTTATCAATTCTTTCATTTCTGAAGATGTCTCAATGTGAATGATTGTCTGTAAGGTGATTTCAATATAGTGGTCCAAAACCTTTTGCCATTTTTCCACCTTAACTTTGGGCATCCGACCTAAACATGTGACGCTCTCGACCTCAGAATCATCCAACCCTGCTCCGACATCATCCGAGTGACATAAAGAAAAGCCGTCGCCACATCCCCTCCGCGGGCTTTCAGTGCCTGGTGTTGGAAAAACCCTCTGGTAACGACACAGTGACTGCGAACTGGAATCCCCTGGTTTTGAACTGACACCTTCGTGTGCCCACATGAAGGGTATCTGATAGGGTGGGACTATATTCAGGCATGGGTCAGACTTCTCAACCCAGCAAAATTTGGATGGTTGGATGCAATCAACAAACTATCGAGCCTGCTAAAACATACCATTAAGTGCAGCTAAATGCACTTACTGCTGCCGCATTGCAATACCTCGATGTCAGCCTTCGTTTCGTGGTGCTGGTTGTGTTTTAAATCAACTAATGAAACAACACCAACATCATCTGGACTGGTAAGTTGAAACATCTTGACGTTCACAGTATTTCCAGCATCTGTCCAATCTCCCGCAATATCCTCCAAGCCCCTTAATCCCCAAACCAATTTCTGACGCCCATGGCACCACCGCACCTCCCACAGTTCTTGGACCGTACAAGGCGCGGAGTTGGCTTTTCGCGGACCTTGGACTCTGCAGGTCGACATCCCCCCAGACTGTGGCGGTTTCAGGTCCGAGATGGTCATCATATGAGCCATGGTCAATACTCACTATATGGTTGATGGTCATCCCATCCACAATAAGGATCCTTATAATGGTTACTATAAATCCCTATGAACCATTGGATGACTAGCCCCTATTAATGGTTATTAACCATGAGTATTGACCATAGCTCATATGTCGAAATCCAAATGGATTTCCGGGGCCATCGTTTTGTTGCTCCACATCGATCACAATTTGTTGCTTCAACCAGAAATGATACAGCAGCTTAATGCACTTCATCTACAGGCTGGACCTCATTCAAAGCATGCGGTTGTTTGTTTAACTTTGCTTCATGCAGGCCAAATTTTCAGCATGTCCACCCTAACCAAATAAAACACCCCAAATCCCCAAAGGTCTCTTCATCTTGCCGGATGTTCATCATTTTGCTGGCGAAAAAAACGCAACTTTTGCCGGTGAAATCTCATCTTTTCTGGACGGCAGCTGAGGGGCGAATCCAACAGTTCACCATGAACTCCAAGGCGGTCATTTTGATCCTCAGAGGAACTGAAACGGGATCTTAGACGATGGCTAACTTAAGGTGCAATAACATGCAGTAGCTAGGTTTACAACATGGTCTCTGGCAATGGTAGATATCCAACTAGTTTTTTCAACAAACAAACAAAAGAGAGGGACATCACCTTGCAGCAATTTTTGTTGTTAACAGATGGTTAACCCCTACCCGCAAAAGAAACTAGATGCTGGGAACATCCCAAGTTGAGTCGTCAGAGTTCGCAAGAAAACTGCCCAGCGGCTCTTTCTTTGTTCATATTGTGACCCTCCCAAATATGGGAAAACACACCAACTTATGATTACAGTTATACAATGTTATACATATATTCCATAGATCCCATGTAAATCCATAACATATCACCATATATATATATATATATATATCAAAAACTGGCTTGCGGCGAAGCAGCTCTGAAGTACCTATTTTCCTTCACAGAAGGGCGCCCTCGAGCGGTAAAGTTGGATAGCGGAAGGTGCTATGAACATGGGTGGATGTCTGCACATGACTGGGAAATTTTCACCCGTCCTCACCCATTTCATCAGCCTTCTTTCTGTACTTGCGTAACTGCCGATCCATTCGAATGCGGTTCTTCTTCTCCTTGGCTGTCTCGGATGGCTCCAACTGCCAGACTCCTCGGGCTAAAACATCGAGGATCAGCTCCCTCTCACAACCCAGCTTCGTCAGAACGTCTGCAACCATTTGCGACGTATCGCACCAGTGGATGGTCGTTGATCCCTCCTCTGGGCTGCGACCTTCATTCAAGATCTCCTTGATCTGGGCGACGAGTATTTTGACTCTCTTGTCAGAGGGTTGCCCGGCATCTTTTGATACTGTGGCCTCCAAACTCTTGGCATCTGTGAAAGCCAGGAGAGGTCGTTTCACGAACTCGTTCTCCAAGTTTCGCACTTTCACACCAGGGTTGGTCATCTCAACCAAGATGGAGCGCACATAGTCGGCTGCTTCCACGCCCATCAACACAGCGTTTGATTCAGCCGCCAAGGTGGAGCGACAAACTCTTTTGATAGAGCTCGAATTTGTTTCCAAAATCAGCACTGGTGTGGGGTCTCCTTGAGGTAGCGAGTCAAGGCTTAGACCCACAATGTAGCCACACTGGGACTTCAGTCCATTGATATTGGCAAAGGAGCTGTCGGCACAGGTGAAGACCACGCAGTTGGTCAGGTCAATCTTTGAAGGCTTGAAGGACCAGACGGCGTCCTTGGTCTCCTTGAGCATCTTGACGCCTTTGTTGAGGTCTAAGACGTCACGCACCGTTGGGTTGCCCATTGTCTGAGCAGCCATGCTCACGTTCACCAAAACGTCAGGCCTTGTTTGGCGGGTTATCCAGCCCATTGAACCAACTAGGCCCCTGAACTGGGATTTCTCGGTCTCGGTCAGTGGAAGGTTTGGCTTCGTGCGCCGATCCTTGGAGATAAGCTGGTACTCCAGGACCTCAATCATCTCTTTCTGGTCAAGGGTGATCGTGCCATCCTCCAACTGTGTCACGTTCTTCCCGCAAAACTTGAAGGACCCAGAATTTTCCTTCAGATGCAGCTTGGTCGTCAGGACCTTCATGGCGTTCTCATACTTGGAGCCACTTCCGCAGACAAAGAGGTCGTCCACGTGGGTCACCATGACACCTACCAAAACGTCTCCATCGTAGAGGAAAAAGAGTGCAGCTTCAATTTTCGAAGGGATCCAACCTTCAGCTTTGGCATCTTGCAAGAGTTTGATCCACCAAGATCTGCCAGCGTCCTTGGTGCCATAGATACTGCCCTTGGCTCTGAACAGGTCGTTGACACTGATTCCAGGAGGCGGAGGTCTTGGGGGTCGTAGAATCAAAAGTCTTGCAATGCCCTTCGCTTGCAGGTATGCCGTTGAGGCATCATAGGCTCTCACCAACCATCCCATCATCACAGCAACAGAGCAAACCAGGTTAAAGGCCAGGAGTGATGCCGTAGGCGAGTCAGATCGAATTCCAGTGTCGCTTTCTTGATTCCCTTGCACCACAATGCGAGACTTCGCAGACAAGGGGTGCTCTCTGTCGATCTGTTCCTGCGTCTTCTTGGTTCTCTTTGATGTTGCAGCGAGCATCATTCGAGTTTTCTTGTTCTTGTCCGTGTGGACCCACCGAGTTCCGATCACTTCAGCATCTTGAGGAAGAGCAGCAACTTGCTCCTCGGTGAGCACCTCCACTGCGTTGAACTTCATCCAGGATTCCCATTCCTTGGCCATAGCTTGATCGAAAAGCTTCCGATCTGAGGGACTGAGATCCTTCAGGTTGATTTCAGATCTCACAGCACGGCCAGTAAGGAAGGCCTCGGCAGGGTGGACATCGGTCAGGATGTAGTTCTCAAACTCATCGTCAGACTCAGAGAGAAGTTCTTTGAGCCTCATCTTCCTGACTGAATCTTCCATCCCAGGACAAATGATCTCCCAATCATCGTCCGCAGTCGTGCCGTAGGTCTCTGCAGAAATGATGTCCTCCTCGGCCAGGTAGGGTCCAGAAACCGAATCACGTCCAGCATGGCGTGTGGTTCTCATTGGTCCCAGCCCATCAAGCCGATCAGGATTGTTCATAGCAGTGTGCAGTGTTGTTGGTGGAGATTGTTGAAAGTCCATTTGTGCTTGAAGTAGAGAAGGTTGTTGTAGTGGAGCAGGTAGAGCAGAGGGGAGTGCCTGTTGGCCTCGCATGCTCTCTTGCGCTGTTGTTTCTGGAAGTTGATCTTGATGAATGATTGTTGCTCTTGGTGTTGGTGGCACTGGTTCAAGTGCTGGTTCTGGTTCTGTCAATTGTCGTCGATGTGGTGAACTTGCAAGTGGTCGTGGTAGAGCAGGTTGTGCAGGTTCTCCAGGTTGAGGTGGCTGTGGCAAAACCGCAACAGCAGCGGGACCCGCAGTTGGTTGATGTTGTCCAGGGGTGTCGCCAGCAGGGAAGTCCATTGCGACATCATCATCCCCTTCTTGGATTTGAGGAAGAGGCCCATCTGAAAGTCCATGATGCGGCATCTCTCCAAAGGGTCTTGTGTGTGACCTCACATCCAAGTACTGTCGGGCTCCTCGAACCTGATCAGGCTGCACAGCATAGTGCGGCACATAATGTGCTGCCAGCAGCTCATCTTCACTTGCAAAACGAAGTTGTTCGCCAGTGGCCAAAATCACAGACGGCCCATACCTCAGCCAGTAGGAGTGTGGTTGGCCTCCTTCTGTCGCAGGGTCTTCATCTTCCAAGCGTCTTGGGTTGCGAAGTTCAACTCCAATGACCCGAGCAGGCCCAAACCACTTGTAGTTGCGCTGGTCATCGCGCGGCTTCTGTGCCTTGAAGAAGTACACATAAGCTCCAACTGGGTATGGTCCTCTGGTAGGAGTCGATTGATGCAGAAGAGCTCGTCGAACTCTGGCATCTGTATCCATACGGATCTGTGCGACCCTTGCGCTCTCTCTGATGTTGAGCGATTTGGCCATGGCTGAATGTGGATTCTCAGCCGCTTCCAAAACCTCAAGGTTGGGGTCAGTGTCACCATCAAGTAGTGACCCAGGAAGTCGTAGATCACCAACTCCAAGTACCCATTGCATAGGGCTGTAGCCATTGAACCTTGGAAAGGAGTTTCTGGTCTGAGTGACAATGCTGGTGGCCAGGATCACATCGCTGAGACCTTGGATCTGGGAGTCCACAACGGTCTTGTAGAAAAGGTCTTTCCAGAGTCCACCTGCTTTTTCACATTTTCCACCTTTCCATGGTGCCTCCAATGGCATCACCTCTTGCTCAACGCCAAATTGGCGGAGGTAGTTGGAAAACTCAGCAAGGTATTCCTTGCCTCGATCAACTTGCATGGATGTTGGAAGTCCAGCCCAAGAGCTCCAGCTTGCAGTGAAATGTCGTAGAATGACTTGAGCAGCAGGAACACCTTTGAGCTCTCCCAGGCAACTCACCACCTGAAATCCGGTCGCATCGTCGACCACGTTCAAAAAGCCATAGGTGGTTCCAGTGGCGTCCTTGGCAAACATGGTGTCAGCCAGGATGTGCCGGTTGAACTCATAGCGATTGGGCAGCCGAACAGGTTTCGGACGCCTTCGACGAATTGTTTCGCCACAGGCATCGCAGCTCATAAGTCCAGCAGCTTTGATCGCCTCAGGCTTGGCGTTCTGACGCCTCAGAATCCTCTGCAAAGTTGAGCATGTTGGGTGGCCGAAATTCACGTGTAAATCTCGGAGAATCTTCCTCAGCTGTGGGTCGACCTTGAGCCACTCGTGCCGCCTCACTCCTTCATATTCAGACAGGACAGGCTCTAAGGCAGAGGCACTTGCGGCACGAAAGCTTGCATCGTCCTCATGCGCAGGGACATCTTCAAGTTGTGGAAGTGGTTCATCAGGAGCTTGTGGCCTCACATAGACCGGTGGTGCTTGTTGTGGTGCTGACAAAGTGAGCACCCGTCCTCTCCTCTTTTGACGTTTCCGTTGACCTCGTTGTTGATCTGGTAGAGATCGTACTTCCGAAGGAAATGCTTCTTCAACACTTGTAACTGCAGAGGCCTCGATGGAAGCCTGTTGAATCACTGCCTCCAAAACCATCCAGTTGAGTTTCGATGGCCACTCAGCAGCTTGTGCAGTTCTTGGACCAAAACAGTTGGCACCCTCAAGAGGTTGATGTTTGTGGTCACCATTGCACATGTGGTTGGAGAAGACGCTCTCTGCCGCAATCATGGAAGTCAAGTAGTAGGAGGATTTTCGATGTGGCAAACCGCTCTCGGCATCAATGTAGCCAACCATGCAGCCGTCGACCTTGATCATGATGAGGTCTCCAGACTCGATCAAGTCGCGAACATCATGCATTTCAGGCTCTTCAAGTGATGCCGATCCCCAGGGCTGTTCGACAAAAACATGCCTTTTGGCCTTCAGTCGATCTTTGATCACCTTGTTGACGGCCTTCAGCACTGGGCGGTTCTCCTCTCTCTTGGCGAGGACAGTCTCAGCAGCGGAACCACCACGTTCCAAATTGAAACGGCTCCATGAACCCCAGGGTCCGCATGGGTGTGTGATCACGGTGAGGTAAGGATCCTCGACCTGCATGTCTCGGTTCATCCATTTGATTCCAGCAGGAGTGGAAGCATCCCATGACGTTGAAGACAAGTCCAAAGGGGTTGCCACCTGCATTCCGATCACCACCGCAGCTAAGGTCAAACCCATTTGTCCTGCAAAAAGTTGTTTGATCCAAGTCTTCCCAGATGGCGGGGACTTGGAGACAGCTCGAGGGTTCTTGTTCTGGAGGATGCGCTTCTTGTCCCAGTCATCAGAGTCCACGATGCGGCACATTGTGTCCAGCTTCTTGCCTTTCTTGGCAGTGGTCTTGCGGACAAGGAAGCTCTCCTCTTGCAGCAGTTGTTCAAAAGTAGTCAGATCTTCACACATCAGACCTTCACCATGATGTCGGTCAGGTTCATCGGCAGTGGACTTCATGACGTCCTCAAAGTGCTCAGCTTCAGCCCGTAGGTGTTCCATGTAGTCTTCATGACATTGTTCTTCAAGTTGTTGATCTCCATAGTCACTGTCGTGAGCATCAGAAGGAAGTTGATAAGCTTCCGATGGCCAAGAAGACTTTGGCGAAATGCCAGGGCTGACAGAGCTGTAGTCCTCGTACTCCTCGTCCTTGTTGCAGGGCTTCAGAGTCATGTGAGGATCTGGAAGACGATCACCAAGCAAATCCACGGCCAGATGACCCTTGGAGGTCTTCTGCAGAGGCAAGTTGTAAACTCCAATAGCCTCAAAAGAGACAGTGCCACGGCTCAAGTCCAGGACCGTTGACAACTTCTCCATGAATGGTCGTGAGATCAGCAAGGGCACACCGCCTTCGGTTTCTGCAGAGTAGATCTCGCCAGGCACACCACCAAGTGTGATGGGGAATGCCTTGACACATTCAGACTGAGTTTGACCTCCGACTCCACGGAAGATCTGCTTCTTCTTTTGGATCTTGGGGTGCTTGCCCTGCTCTTTGAGTTTCTCCTCAAAACGCTCAGCCCAAAGTCGGCCGTGCATGGTTCTGGTGCAACCAGAGTCCAAGATTGCCAAACCAGGTGACTCCTCATCCTGCAGGATGTAGACCATCTCCTCGGGCACAGTGCGATCAGCACCAAGCAAGGGATCTGTTGATCCAGGAGGCTTCTCATCAGCGTCGTCCTCAACCATCATGACGTCGCAGTAGTGAAGTTCCAAGTGGTTGGGGTCGTTCTCCATGACTTGCAGTGGAACTTGAATGCATCGAGAAGCTTCCATCGCCGAGGGATTTGCAGTCCTCTTCAGAACTGACTTGGAGTCGCCCTTCATCATCCTGATTGCAGCAGAACGCACCAGCTTCAGTCGCCCGTAGAGGTAGAAGGCAAACCGAAAAACCTCAGGACGCATCGGCTTGTTGGCCAGGGCATGCAGCATTTTTGCTCGGCAGAACCACTCACACTCAGCAACTGATGAAACCTCGAGGAAGCTGCGTCCAGACAGGGCGCCATGACCAACCAAAGAATCATCAGCAGGTAGAGGTTGAAGGATGGCCATGTCCTCGTCGGCAAGCTCTGGAAATGGCGGTAGTTCTTGATCCAAGCTGAGAAGAACTCCATAAAGCCAGGCACGATCAGGTTGTGCACCATCATAGACGATTCTGGCCTTTTGGTTTCGGGAGAAGCTTGCCTGGTCTGCGGCTTGCTCCCATGGTGATGACGGTGCTGGGCTTGCGCTCTGGTAAGTCCAATCAGAAGCGCGGCTCACGCAAGTCCAAGCGGAACCAGGAGAGGGAGTCTGTGGGGCCCGACCGGCATGACCAGCACGGAAGGGAACCAACGGCTCAACCTCTTCAGCCTCAGCAGCGATTGACAAACGGCCAATCGTTCGGGCAAGCTCACGGGATCGAGCTGCCTTGCCCCATTTGGTTGTCAGGGCAATCATCACCAACCATCGCCACATGCTGATGTTCTCACGCCTGTTGGCTCGGATCACAGTCTTGCCGCATGAAGGGTCTTGGCAAGTCACGTGGCGAGTATAGCCATTTGCACCTCGGAAGTAGTGCTTTTCGTCACCTCCCTTGTAGGAGCTATGCTGGCAAAGCTCTGAATCCTTATCCAGCTTGAGGACCATGAAGACGGAGTGGATCTCAACGTCTTGATTGGAAAAAGAATCGGTGAAACTGTTGGCACCATCGCCAACGGCCAAAATGGCTTCATCTGCCAGCAAAATGCCGGAGTTGTTGTCAGCAGCGTTGTTGGGCTCATTGTTGTTGCTGGCTGCCAAATCCAAACCAGCGGAAAAACCATAGGAGTCCAGTTCATAGTTGGTTCCATCGGAGTCAGAGTTGAAGACAATCTTTATGTCCCCTTCATCAGACTGGATCTCCTCGTGCAAAACGAAAAAGGTTGCCGGAGGCTGTGCTTTCTTCTTGGGGCTATGGTTCACACCAGGCTTTCTCTTTGGCGATGCCTTCCCCTTGCCTTTCTTTCCACCTTTCGGACATTCAGGATCTCCAACCCAGTGTCCACGTTGAAAACAAGCAGTGCACTGAGTGACAGACTTGAGGAAGTTGGTCGCCTTGGCTCGTTGATCTTTTGCACGCTGATCGAAGCTGAAGTCACCATGTGCCTTGAAGGGAACCGTCATAGTCGAAGACCCAGAAGAGCTCTTCTTCGAAGAAACTTGATTCCGCTTCTGCATTCTGTGCTGAGCCACAGTTGCATAGGCTTCAGCCAGACTGTTCTCCTCAGGGTCGTCCCATGGGATCTCCTGCAAAAGGGAATCCAGGGCTTCGTCATCACTGTAGGCAACGTAGGCGCCTTCAGACTCGTCCTCATCTTCAGCAAAGTCGCCCTCGACATAAACCTCGTCATCTTCAGGGGCGATGTCATTCACATCAGCGTCGTCAACGGCAAGAACCTGCTTGATCTTGTGGGACCCCTTGAAGCGCATCTTCGACTGGATGCTAGCAGCAGCAGTTCGACCAGCACCAAGGAAGTCACGTCGCATGACTGGCCTTGGAATGGCATTCGGGTACTGGATCCTCAGGGCATGGGCTACTTTCTTGAAGTCATACTCATTGCCAACGGATGCAAGGACAGCTTGTTGTTCTCGTCCATCAAGTCCGCTGAAAAGCAGCAGCAGCAGACACCTGACATTCTCACTCACCTGAGTCTGCTCTGAAGCCTCTTTCAGCCTCACAAAGTCCTGCTCACGTCGGACAATGTATTGAGCCATTGTCTCCGTTGACCGTCTCCACACCTGCGGCGAGTAGAAGCACTTCAAAAAGAGCTCGTTGAGGCGCACAGGTTGCTCGACGGCTATGTTGTCCTTCAGGGTCTGGAGGAACAGCTTGAGGCCCTTGTCACTGGCCTTCCCATCAGAGTTCTTTGTCCTAAGATCTTCGTGGTTCAGTTTGCGAACAGCCTCATAGGCCGCACCTGACAAGTTGGCCCTCAAATGCAGGGGTGTCGCGACCTGCAAATGGTCTTGACCCTCTCTACCATGGAAAAGATCCCAACATCTTTCTTGGTATTCTTCGAAAAGTTCTGGTTGCCCTGCATATTGTGGAACCCCATACCTATCACAGTCCAGTTGGCCCGATCCCGAACCATTTGCCATGTTGCTTCTGGTAGAAGCCTTTGTCCACGGGTGTTGCCCTGCTGCAGCAGCAGGAGGTAGGAGCTTAGCGCCACCTTTGGCCTAAGCCCAGAAGCACAGGCGCTTCAGGAGCGCGACCTCAGGAGGAAGCGCCAGCAGGCCACCGTTCAGGCTCGAACGGCTCCGCTTACCATCAAAAACTGGCTTGCGGCGAAGCAGCTCTGAAGTACCTATTTTCCTTCACAGAAGGGCGCCCTCGAGCGGTAAAGTTGGATAGCGGAAGGTGCTATGAACATGGGTGGATGTCTGCACATGACTGGGAAATTTTCAATATATATATATATGTATATATATATATCACCATGAATATCAAACAACATTTGATCAACTCCCATGAAAAGTCACCAGGTTTCACAGTTACCACGCGAAGTCCTCACTTCTCCCAGCGATCACCGAGCGGCGCCATCTTGGCCACTTGAACCAAGTCGTCTCCCTTCACCGAGTGGATGGCACGAGCGCCTTCCACCTTAACCCGCCCGTGGCGTTTTTCATCGCCGTGGTGTTTGGATGTTTTGTTGGGTTCATGGGGATCGAACTGTTAATGAATGTTAATGAATGTAATGTGAAATGAGTGGATTTGCAACTTGGTGAATTCTATGTGAATTCTATATGGTTTATGAAGGATGTAATGAAGTAGTTCATGGGGTCATAAACCAACAAAATCCAACACATATTTATTTGGGGGGCCTTAAGGTCAAAGAACCTGAAAAGTCTGAAGCAGTCGGAATCAAAAAATGAATCTAACTCTCAGACTGCCGAAATTATCCGAAATTGGAACTCTTCAAACTCATCAGATTTTTTGGGTGGCCAAAATCAAACTATTCAAACTTGTCTTGGTTCCTCTCCAGCTGCACATGTCCGTTTCGACTAAGGCTTCGCGCCAGAAAGCTTGCCAGGTGCCGCAGATGAGGCAGCACGCGGCCGGAGATCTGTGCCACTTGGGGTTGGGAACAAAACATGGATAGAACATATGTATGTACATACACATACATACATATATTATATATATATAATATATATATATATATAATATATTCATGGCAGATTGTGGCAGTATAGCAGAACCACCAAAATATTTGGATTTACTGTAGTTGGTATGTAAGTGGGTTTGTCTGAACATAGGGGATACCCATAAATAGCAATCAAATAATAGTGAACATGATGGAAACTCCATTGGAATCGGGAGGTTTCCCCTAAAGTTTCAGACAGAGCCATATCGGAAGTCAACCCAACCGTTCAAAAATATGGATGTGTCTAAGAAATTTGGGAAAAACACTTACAACCATGGTTGAGAAAATGTGTGTGTTCTTTTCAGCTATGCCGGGTATCAGCCAGGCTGGGAGGAATCCAATCACGAGGTGACAGGTGTTACCTTAACACCACACTGGACTTTGGGAGAATAATTGCCAACAGCTATGAATATCTACAAGTACTTGATCAAGGTAGTGTTTAGAATCCAACGAAGCACATGCGTTTGCCTAAAAATAAGGTACCGCAAAATCTAAGAGTTTATCATCATCTTCCTCATGAACATGGAAATATTGAGGTATCCACCGTTTTTGGACAAATCCACATATTACAAAGTTCGGAAAGATGAACCCGTTTCATTGCAGTTTTTTATTGAAGTACGATAACGATACCCGTGTTTCTTTCCATCTTGTGCCAACTGCCTCACACCAAGCAGCAGTGCGTGTGTTGATCAAGCTTGACCAGCTTGTTGTTTCAAATGACTGATAAACACGGGAATCATGATGATTCAACAGCTGCGGTATGGATCAATCGACAGCCTGATCATAGTGACGAAAAGTGAAGAGGCTGGCTGAACCTCCGCCAAATAGCTCAGAACATGTTGGACAAAAAATGACAACACATAGGAGCGGATCCTTTTGAACCATAGTGTCTCTATGATGTGATCTGACATGGTTATGGGGTGACGTTGTCGCCACACAGCTCCACTAAGACTGCCACTGAGCCCCATGTCTTTGGCCTCGAGGATGGCAAATGCTTTGGGGATGGGTCAAAACCATCCATATCTGCGAGGATTAACATCTACGAGCCATTTTGATCACATGAATACCTGAATTTTGATCCATGTCAGATTTTTGAAGTAAGACCAGCCACCCAATTTTCAGCGGGGTCTGAAGAACCCAATCTAGGGCCTAATCCCTGTGTTTCCATGTGTTTCCTGTGTTGCACCGCTGATCATTTCTGGGCGACCCACAAACTGATGGGGTTTCTCTCTAATCCATTGGTCCAGTCAGTCCAGTCCAGGATCAAGAAAACCATAGAAAACCCAGTGCCTCGTCGCCTCATTGCCGACAAAAATACTGACAACTTTTGAAGAATGGAATTCCCAGAAGTCTCCCAACAAAATGCATCCGAACTCATCCGAACTCATCCGAACTATCTCAACTATTCCGTGACAATTCCCAACTCTCGGGCTTTCCCTCCCAGGACCAAAAACCGGACCCAATCGGGTTCATGCCGGGACACCATTTCCGGGCAGGGGTCCAACAGCCGTGCTGCTGCGGTCAGGTGATGGGATACCCTCAGTCCGAAAGGTTCCAAGCTGTGAAAATGGGCTATGCCGCCCCCCAGAATGGCTAAATTTTAATAGGGAAAATGATGATTAACACGTGTATTTATTGGCCATATGAATCCATATGATATATAATATATATATATATATCATTATATATCGTACATCGGATGTTCTTTGGACTCCAGGACAGCTAGTGCGAATTGAGCAGCTGTGATTCCCAAACATGTTTTTTTTTTGCTTTTTCATATGGCATGCCCCCAAATTGTCTTTTACAAATGAGTTTCGTAGACCTGACATTCGGCCGCTTAAATCAGGGCTTCTGAAGTCATAGGATCCCCAAGTTGTCATAGGATAAACATGGATAAGTGGATAAGCTATACTAAGTCATGGTCATCCATTTTCCTGGGATGACTGGAGCTACCATTTTCCAAAACGGAGGCACTCAAACTGGGCCCCCCCGGCACCACCTCAGGATGCATCGCAGCACCTGGAGCGACGAGTGTCACCCGAGTGTCACCCTGAAGAAATCCGGTCGGTCCAATATGGTTTCCCAGGTCATGGGGGTACCCCAATAGCTGGATGGTTTTTGTTATGGAAAATCCCAATCTAAATTGGATGATTTGGGGCTACCCCCATGGATTTGGAAACCTCCATACTGAGAATGACTGATTTCGTAGGTCTGTTCGTGTTGTCATTGACAAAACTAAACCTCCAGAAACTCACCTGCCCTCTGGTCAACCAACCTGTTTTCCCACTCAAATCCACCCTCTGATCCACCACTCCCAGGGTTTTGAGGGAACTGGAAAACATGGCCAATCTTAGAAACGAATAACATCAGATAACTGCTTGGGTTTTCCAGTCCCAATTAAATGGCAACATCTTCAAGCACTTGCCCATCCACGTGGTTGACCAGAAAATCCCAAGTTGAAGGTGCTGCCCCCATAAATGTTTGTTGGAAAAAATCACCCCATAACTAGTGCGATATCTCCACCACAAACAATAGTTGACCATAGTTAACCATAGTTAAGTAATGTTAAGTATATAGTACACGATAGTTAACCACAGTTAACTGTAGTTAACCATATAAAAAACCATAGAATTCACCTAGTTCTTTGCAGCACCGAAGCGCCATCTTAAATGGAGACCCATTGTGACGGCAGCCCGGCAGCCCGGGGGCCGGGCGTTCGGCGCTGGCGATGATATCATCCCTGGGGAAACTGCAGGATGGGGCCCCAGTTCGTTTGCTAAGTTGGTGAACATATCTATAACAATAGTGTATGATACTTGTAACTTATAACTTTATAACTATATTATCTATATTTAGATGGGGTTATAAACCAACAAACAAAACTGGGGGGCCCCATCCTGTGGGATAGTTCTGCGAAGGAGTTAAGAATGTTAATATGTAGAATATAAGAGAGTTAATGATATCTGCTATATCTATCTATATCTAAGAAACAGATTGTGGTGACACAAGATGGATATACTTGGAAGATCTTGGAAGTGGAGTTCCAGCTACAAGTGGATAAATAAAACCACACTTATAGGGCTTCTATCCTAACGTTCCTGGGGGTTTATTACCATGGTTGGACCCGCAACTGCACTCCAACAAAGGTCAGGACATTGATTCCTCAAGTTGGGATACTGCCACAAACCAGTTCTTGTTAGAAAAGCCCGCAAATAGATAAAGAACAGTGGATTCTATCTTGAAAGTAGCAGGAGAACATATTGCCCATCTGTTTTGGTGGGGCAGCACCGTATCTTTTTGCCTCGTATATTTCGTGCATCGCGCGTTTTCAAATCGCCGATTGGTGGATGTTTCCCAACAAACGACAGACAGTTGAATGGTATCTCCTTTTCCCATGCTGCATTTTAGCACAATCACTTGTTACCCATGTTTCCGCAATTCCCAAACCTCAGTGCAGTGCAACCAATAGGTTTTCTTGGGGAAAGCTCTGGGGAATTTTGGGGTCCCTTAGGACAGCTTAGGAAATCTTAGGAACCCCTCATTTCATTCCATGGCACAATCTACACTAAGAAAAGGCCCTATCCTATCTATGGATGGTCATAATACCCAATAAATTAGCTGGTATAACTCCCAACTCATCAATCAACCGGGCTATAACTTCCACGCGAAAAACACTGCGAACAGGCCACTGAGTGCGATAGGGGAAGATCTGATGAAAACCAGTTTCATCTGGCCTCGGGATAAACTGGGAGAGCCAAGAGGGTCATGTGTGATTTGGATTGGCAGATGTGTTCAAAATTGGGGAATACATGGGAATACCACATCAAAATAAGGTCCTTTGAGGAAATATCTTTTAACGCGGAAAACGATGATCAATCATTGGATTTCGGGCTACCCTATTTTCAGACCCAACACTTTGGCAATTTTTGGCCCATGTTTGCCCAAACACATGCCATTTCCTAGGCGAATTGCTCAACCCCTACGGATCCCGAACTTTGCCGGAGGCCCCAGAGGCTGAGCATCCCAAACTGCACCCCTGCGAAGAGCCGCTTGGGCGGATCCGCCCAGCGCAGCTCCCGGCGACTCGTGCGGAAGTGGTGCCTCGGTGCCGACTCGTTCGGACATGGGATGGGGAGAATCATGGGCTGCCAATTCTAAGCTATGGCAGCTATGGTCTTTCTCAGGGGAAAAACGGGAAAACCATGGAAAACACGGATTTTTTGGTTGATTGGCATAGTTTTTTAAACCATTTTTTTGAGTTACGACAACTTGATTTCTGATGATTCTCGACCCATGACGTCAGAACATGTCAGAACCATCTCGGCCAAGAGGCAAAATCGCTTCTTTGGATCGAAAACCACAATAGCAAACGCCCTCCAAGTGCGCCTTGCCACTTCGAAAAACATGAGATCCACTGAAATGGAGATGGGACATGGAAAACCTCGACGAATGGTTGATGAAAATGAAGAGCATGCTTTCTGACACCAGAAGAAACCAGACACATCAGCAAAGATCCAAACAGCCCTGCAATCCGCGACTTGGACTTTTTTCGACGCATCTTTAAACTAAAACGCAGGGCCCGCGCCTGTGGTTCCCTCCGTTGTTGCCGAATCCAGGCCTGTGTGGTTCACCACATGGGGAAGCGGGGCATCAGAAAACCACTTAGTCAGACTTAGGTTTTTAGCATTACAAGCCCATAAAATCCATAGTGATTCCATAATGATCCATAAAGATTCCATAATGTACAACAATTGCAATCATCAATCATCAAATATCATCAAGAACTATAGTTCACTAAGTAGATAGGAAACTCGTGGCTGTAGCCACCAGTTCCAAGTCGCTCGACCTGGCCTCATGGCCGCGGCGAATCTCTGCAGCTTGCAGGGATTCCTGTTCTGCTCGGCAACCTGGCCAAAAAAAAAGGCATCCGCACATTTCGATGGTTGCAATATGTTGCAATGGTACCCAGTAGACTAACCAAACTTCTCCACATATGATACATATGGCTATGAGTCAAAACCCTGGTACCTAGTGAACCCCAAAATAGCTGGTAAATGGATGTTCATCCCATTAAAAATGTATCTATAGGTATTGACCCATACCCATATGATTGTTGTTGCCCGAATCTTTCTCATCGTTGCGTCGGTTTGAGAAACAAATCGCCTGCAGCGGCGTCGGGACGAGATGTTTGAGCACTGCTCTTCTCCAGGCTGCTTCTGATCTCTGCCTTCGATGGATGCTGGACCCGAACTCCGTGGCCATGACATGCCATGACGGATACCAACGTCTCACATTTAGAATGGAACATATGGAACCTCAAAAACTCGGATATGGATGGATATGGTATGTCTAACTCATTCTCTAAGTCCAACTCATGCTAAACTTTATAACTTTGGATTGATAGGTGCCGTCCATAGTTACCGTTGTTCCCCCTGTTCCTCCGACACGACCCGCTGCACCTCGGGCTGACGAGGCAATGGCAACTCTTTGTTGTTGCACCGCAGCAGCTGGGGTGTTTGACACCACCTCGGGGCGATAGGAAAAAACATACGCAGCAAACTAATGGATTGCTTAGGCAACAAGGGATTGGACCAGCAACAACATTTGGAAATATAATGAAATATAGATCTGAAGAACCATGAAAGCAAATATTAGCCATATAGTTATTGTTGCATATTGTTGCTGGGTCGTATTGTTGTGGTTCTTCATGGTTCTTTCAATGTGGTTGTAGTTCTTTTTTGATCATATTCAAGAACCATGAAAACCTATAAGCATCTCGCGTACATGGGTGTTTGATAGCACGGGAAGACATGCGCAATTGTTCTAATTCAATCCCAGCACTTTTTAAATCTTTTGCACTAATAATCCCCCTTGCTGGTCACTGCAAAATCCATTGTCAGGGTACTTTGCAAACGGATGACCTCCAATTTTTTCATGTGAGTTCACTTTCAGTAGTCTTATTCTAACGGGGACACTCGTACATTTGGGGCTCGAACATTTCACCCGACACCGAAGATATGCAGGTCATATATACAACCAGTACTTATTGCTTGACATTGACATTGATGTATCAACTCTATTCCCATCTTTTGGAGTTTATACCCGCTGCTCCCACGTTTAAACCCACGCGGAACGCGGACGTCCATCGGATTTTCCCTTGCGATTCTTTCAGGATTCCCAATGACTGGCCCATCCTCATACAGTATTATACAAGATTGTTGATTTGATTCATCTCCCGTGATATCACAAAGCAATTTCCCCATATCATAGCATTCCCTTGCCCGTTTGATATCCCCACATCATGGGTTGGCTCAAAACTCCCATTTCATGGCCAATGAACAAAGGTAACAATACCTTAAAGTACGAAAGTACCATAGAATTTTTCATCCATTAGTGCTAAAGTAAACTAGGTAGTCTTGAACTACTTCCCGGCCAATTCAAGTACATCTCATCCAGTGAAGTGCATTTCCCCACAGCACCAAGGGACTCTGCGTGCTCTTCCCGAAAGCTCCAAATGGAGGGAGCAGTGCCCACTTCCAACGCGTGCAGCGCGAGGCTATGGCAGGGTCTCAGGATCGACCAACATCTTGGGCTACAAGGATGACCGATTCGTGGAATGTATGGTGATGTTCCACTGGCAACACCTTGCGTTTTTCCTTGCTCACAGACTCGCAACTTATCATTTTTGGGATATCAGAAACAATCATCAACATCAAGAATATATCCATTCCGTTGGGGGGTGTATAAAAAAAGACTAAACATCATCCGCATGTCTAAATTCACTGCTGAGACAGTGGCAGAAACACTTCCAACTTGCCATCGGCAGCCACATCCTTGGCGAATCAGCGAGCTATTGGAAAGATCATCCACAACAGTATAATAGGCTTTGACAAGGGTATCAAACCGGGATTCCGACTCTGCATTTTGAATCTATCACGTGTGTGCACGCACTCATGTGTTTAGTCTAAGCATCTAGATTCAAACAACGTCGACCGAAACTGTAGAGGCAATGACCATGAAAAAACATTACAAAGAATATCAACATGGCATACGTGTACGGGTCAAACGTCAAGACAAAGGACACCACGAGTCCTGGTCGCTTTCAGTATCCAACTATCCGATAGTGGAGTACAATTTGACCCATCCCTAAATGGGGTCAGAAATCGGTTATTTGTGTTGAACATCCAGTTTCTGAATACATAAATACAGTATGTATCTTGTAGGTACCCCAAGTATGATTGCGGGTAAACCAAGCAATAAACCCAACCGAATTGTTTATACAAGCCATTTATGGAGGTTTCCTAAGTCATGGGGGTACCCCAATAGCTGGATGGTTTTTCTTATGGAAAATCACCGGCCACTCGGTCGTCAGCACCAGCTCTTCTCCATCTTCTGCATCGCAAAGCCGCGCAAAGGCCGCTGCGGCCAGCAGCAAGGGCACCTCAAAAAACCGGGACATTTATGACGCCCCACATGTTAATGGGTAATCATGATATATAATGGGTAATATTAAGAATTGATATATCACAATAGCTATAATCGTTTAATTAGACAGAATAACTATAAATATTAACAATTATGTGTATATATATATATATAAATGCTTGTATATATATACACTATGGCAATAATGATAATATAACAACAATACAAATAGTAATAATACGATAGGTTCCTTGACTTTTGGCTTTTGACTTTCAACCAATGCCTCTCTATATTATATATATACGTATACATACTTAATTATATATATATATAATGATCTCTCTCTCTCTCTCTATATAATTATAATTATATATATATCAGTGGTTGGCAAGGACAACTTTTCATGGTTTAGGACGTACATCCATCATCAGGGTCAACTACTGGAGATTCAAACGTTAAACATGTGCCACACTTAGTGAGGGCGATCTCCGACGGAGTCTATACGGATTCTATATGATAAAACTAGGCTTTTTATATGATAGGTTTTCCATATACTGATTGTATATGATATGTTATAACCCAAAAGTCATCATAGACTTTCCACGGAAAAGGACACCTTTTTAGGGCAGGCGTGTCTGCCATTGCTGCTGATTACATGCTTCATGGAAGACAGTGTACGCCTGAATACACTGTCTTCCGCAAAGAATCATGTGAGTATCAGTCACAATCAGGCGCCGGGACGCCTCCGTCCCACAGATTTTGGTGATGTCTAGGTACCCAACCCTCCAATGTCTATGGGCTAAGATCTCATTCTTGTTTCCAAACATCCCCCATTTGGTGCCCTTCATCAGGCATTTCCCCAGAGGGCTTGGCCATATCTTGCCTCCATCTTCTCATATTCTCCAATTCAGACAATATTTTCCAACATATTCCCATATTTGCCCTCTCTCTCTCTATATAGATATATACCTATTCCAACATTTTCCAATGAACCATACTTTCCACCATTCCTCGATATGTTTTCAACATCTTGGTCATAATTTCCCAGGTGGCTTTATCTGAAAATAGGATTCCCCCAGCATCCACTACTTAAGAATCTAATGTTCGATCATTTTCCTCTTTGAAATCGCCATATTCGGAGATGTAATTACAACCCATTTTCAGACGAAATCATCCCATGAGACATCATATATATCATATTATGTTATATTGTCATGTAGTATCCAGGGTATTCACCCATAAATAATTCCCATGATATTCTCACATGTTGATATTCGCAAACATTTATAGACATTTTCTATTTCTCGCCCTTTCTCTTGGATGGACAAACTGTTCGATTACCAAAGGGTAGACGATTTTTTTGCTTTTATCCCTGAAGAAATCGCAGTAACATCAGTAACTCTCCATTTCTCCGCCAAAAACGGATACATTCCCAATTCGATAGTTTCCCCATTTTCGATAGTTTCCCCATTTTTCCTCCCAAATTCGCAGTAAAATTCGATAGTCTCCCCAAAAAATCCAATTTTCTTCCGTAAACGGGTCAACTATGACCGTGCACCTGCGAGCCCCCCATGCTGCGGCCGTGCCGTTCCGGCACTGCCGCGACGGCCATCGCTGCGACCTTTTTGCAGCTGGGAGCCTGTTTAGCCTCTGGTAAACGTTTACATAGCTATTGCAAATCATCATTTTTCATGGGAAAACACACTATAAATATCTATTTCTATGGCCATTTTCAATAGCAAACTGTTAGTTTACCAGAGGGTAAGCGGGATCCACATCCAAGATCATCCACAATCCGAGATTTTCGGAAATTAGATGCAGGATAAGACGGATAAGATAACACAGAGAAGGGAGAAGACCGATGTTTTATTGCTACAAACAAGTAAGATCAGAGGAAAATAAGTCTTACTGAATATTCAGAAGTGAATATATATATAGATTGAGAATGATATAGACATATTCACATGAATGACATGATATAATATATATCATATCTAAACGAACCGCATATTATCTTCCTATCGTGGACAACGAAAAATATGCTCTGGGCTCTCCAAACGCGAGACGCCTCCGCCTGAGCAAAATCCCGTGCATTGTCACGCCTGGCGAAGATTTTTTTCGGGCGAAATGATAACCGGATTCCCATGTTTTAATGGGGGAAAATGATGGGCAAATCATGGGAAGATGGAAAAATATGGAACAATGATGGGAACATGATTTCTGAACCACTGGAACATCAAAATACATCAAAAACATATAATGGGGTATGCTATTCTGACGTACAAAAGCGGCGTTGGGGCCACTTTCTTTCGAAGGTGATGAACATGTCTACAGTCACAGGCAATTTCCATGCAAGGTGTGGACTCCCCAAGGCACACGCAGAATCATGCAGACATCAACCAGTGACAGTCGGCCATTGGATTAGTGGGGGAAGTCTACAGGAAACCATCATTTTTGCTATGAAACATGGGGTTTAGGTCCAACAGTTGGTACCCTGGTGAACATCAAATTATAATTGCGACAGTAGTTGTGGATGTTCATGTTCATCCCCCTGCACGTATTGTAGTTTATATATATATATATGTGATAATATATGTATGTATGTATGTATGTAGGTAGGTAGGTAGGTAGGTAGGTAGTTTACATTATATATGGTTTTGAATGGTTTTTGACCAGTCGCAATGAGACCGCCCCCCATATTTTGTTGATCATCCAATGAACCTGCAAGGTCCCGCCCCCTAGATATTGGTAAATTCATCCAACTATAATATATATATATATATATATGTATGTATGTATGTATATATATAGATATCCGCAAGCCCTACTTCACCTATAGCACCCCCAAAAAAGATCGAAACGCGTTTCTAGGATGGTAGTTCGATGATGGTTCTCCAATCTTTTCCAGGTGTCCTTCACATTTTTTGGCATCTTTTTGCCAGTCCAACACCTCTTCAGCTTGATGACCGGACGACTCATGGAGCCATAGTCCGGCAGAACCAAGGCGTAGGACAACTTGGCCTGAGGCCCCGATGGCAGGGGCCTGGGGTGCGATCTCCGCCACCAGATTAGCAATTTAATATATGATATAAAATGAATTAAAATGATATAAATAATCAGTCAATCAACCAGTCTGGATATAAGACCCTCCAAGAAACTCTGGATGTAGGGGATTGGAAAACATATGACCATAGAATGGGGGTGTAACTACTTGGTTCCCGACCCATAGACGGCCGTATGGTTTTAGGAGTTTTTCATCAACAAAAATGTCGTTTTCGCTACAGCGAAACGTCATTTTTTCTCATGTTGACATGAAAAATAGGGTTTTGAAAATCTCCAAAACTACTTCGTTTTTTGACATAAGTTCGTGTTTTTTTTGGGATGCAGCACTTTTTTTCCTTCTTCTCAGAAGCGCTTCATTGCTTTGACGGCCTTGCAAAGTTCTTCGAGAAACCGGTGAGGTGTCAATGGTCCCAAAGATTTTCGCCAACAGTAACCCAAGACAAACTTTTCCAATTCAGGGTGTTCTTTTGTGTTGACTCCATCATACAACCGTCTTGGAAAGGCCTTTCCACCATCTGTCAGCGATTTGCGTCCCTGCCACAGTGGACAGGAAAAAAAAGGAGGTTCTTCGCATTTGTTTGGTCCATTCTTTGTTTTGATGAGACGCTTTGGCATGTTTGATTTTCAAACTTTTGGCATGTGACTCCCAAGCACGGTTTCCATCTGCAAAAACAATGGTGCGCATGACGTGTGTGTGCAAGTGCAAGAGAAGATCACCATAGCGTAGCATGACGTGTGTGAGCAAGTGCAAGAGAAGATCACCATAACGTAGCATGACGTGTGTGAGCAAGTGCAAGAGAAGATCACCATAACGTAGCATGACGTGTGTGCGTGTGCAAGTGCAAGAGAACATAACAATAACGTAGCATGACGTGTGTGTGCAAGTTGACATGAACGTTATTGCCCCACCCCACCCCACCCAACCCCACCCCAAGACAACCATAACGTAGCATGTAACGTGTGTGTGCAAGTGCAAGAGAAGATCACCATAGCTTAGCATGACGTCTGTGAGCAAGTGCAAGAGAAGATCACCATGACGTAGCATGACGCGTGTGAGCAAGTGCAAGAGAAGATCACCATAACGTAGCATGACGTGTGTGCAAGTGCAAGAGAACATAACAATAACGTAGCATGACGTGTGTGGGCAAGTTGACATGAACGTCATTGCCCCACCCCACCCCACCCAACCCCACCCCAAGACAACCATAACGTAGCATGACGTCTGTGTGCTAGTTGACATGCAAGACCATCAAAAAACGAAAAATTGCAAAAAAATGCTTAAAACACCACGGCCGTCTATGGGTCGGGCTCCAACTACTTCCCCAACAGCGTCGGCTTAGGGGTCGTGAGACGTCTCAGCCCAGATAAGGTCCGGTGGCGGTTCTGGGCTGGTTCCGGTGATTCCCGTGCGGTTTCCGGGTGCTGGGAAGGGTTCCGGGTTGGTTCTGGGCAGGTTCCAAGTGGTTCCAGGTTTACCAGTCAATCAATCAATCAATCAACCAATGAACCAACGAACGAATGAATCAATCTACCTATGTATCGATCTATCTATTTATCTATAATAAATATAGGTATATATTATCATATGTAATGACAAATATTACACATCATTCTATGTATGCAGTAATTACACACACACACACTTCTATATTACATCATGATATAATTACCTAACATATGGTTTTATTGTTCATCTTCTTTATATTCCTTTTTTTTGTGTGTAATAGTTGGCCAATAATTATTACCCCATTGAAAATCCCATTCATCAATACCAATTTTAATGCCTGAATAATGGTATAAATAATGGGATAAACCACCTATCAACTGCAGGATTTCTTTCATCCCCAGTATGGTTTTGCCTGAAAATAGTGCACCCCAAAATTCAGTGCTTCATCTCATCATCGCTAAAAAGGCACCTTGCCAGCGAAGGCCTGTCCAGCTTTCAGCAGCGCCGGGATGCGAAAACTGGCGCCGAAATTTCGGTGAAGGAGGACACCCCTGGGGGTATCATGGGGATATATATATATATATATATATTCATAATCATATATATATATATATTTTTGCACAGCACACTGGGACTTTCGTCGCTGCTGGCTCGGTCTCGAATTCAGCCGGAAAGGAAGACGGTCATCCTCCAAAATCAGGCCCAATAAAGTTGCCAAAAATGCGACAATCCATCGCATGGCAACGCTGCAAAAAGTCAGGGTCCACCTGTGCCTCGATGCATGGTGCATGGTCGTGGAACCACTGACAGAAGGACGTGGCCAGAGCTCTATTCATAGCCGGTGGATACTCCTTAAGAGGAGCTGTTCTCCATGATCCATCTTCGGCTTTGCCGATGGCACTACGTCTAGGAAGGTCTGTTGTGACCTGGTGCGCCCTCAGAATCCCACGCAGCGATGGCAGGTTCAGCGTCAGCAGCCTAGTAGGTTTAGGCGAATGGGCACCCCATAGTCCCTGCGCCAAGTCGATGATGTCAACACCAGGGAATTGCTGAAGGAGTTTCAAGATCGCGAGGCGCCAAATGGATGCTTTCGCCTGATCCTCTGGCTCTTTGGGGTGCTCCAAGACGCCAAAGCCCTCCATACATGCTAGCGCATAAAGGAGCTCGATGGAGAAGAGGAGAAGCTCATTGCCCGTAGCCACTTGGAGTGCTTCTCGAATGCTTAAGGAATCAAAACCCCAAAGACATGCGTGATCTCGAAGTGGTCTGGGCCCCTTTTCAGGTCTTTGTGCATCAGGGACATGTCGAGCTTGCGACCACGTCTCGCAGGGCGGCCCACACAAGGCCCCACAGACCCAACCTGCACGGACTCCTTGAAGCCAAAAGTCTTGGGTTGCTTTGAGCCGCACATTACCCCATTGCTGGTTGATCACTAAGTCAACGGAAACAACACAAAGAATAGTGCCATCCGGACAAAGCTGGTCAAAAAGCTGCTCCATATAAAATTGCAGGTCACCTTCCCGTCGACGGCCGGAGAAGATGTGCAAGAAAATTCTTTCTCGGCTGCATGTTCGAGGGACCGCAGACTGCTGGAAGTGCAGTTTGGTCTCCTCAAACTCCTTCTCAATCTCATGGAGCTGCGGAATAACGTCTGGGGCACGCTGAGGGTCTCGCAAAAACTGCCAGGTCTCGGGCTCGCAAATCCTCTCAAGATCCCAAAAGATCTTCTCTTTGAGCTGCTCATTGGGATGCAGTTCCGCTTGTGGAAGAAGGTTCTGAATGCAACGCGGCGTCCTGCAACAGTCCGTCCAAGAGATCGGGAATCCCTCAATCACATGCCTCACTCTCGACTCAAAAAGGTCTAAGTCTGTCTCCGCAACCTCCACGATCATCAAAGAAATTGCTTCAAAGAGATCTGTGTTCTCCGGCTCGAAGTCACGAGGGCAGACTGCTTGAGGGAGTGGTCCTGCTGCTTGAAGTGGGGGCAACCGCCCGTCCCAAGCATGATGAAGGGCCGCATTCGAAGTAGAGCCTTCTCCAGGTAGTGGCACAACTCGCATCTTCCTACCAATCAACTGCTGTCGACAGGAATCTGATCGAATGAGGTGCTGCTTCAACTTGCTGCATGTGAAGTATTCCTTCAGGCAAGCTCCACATTGTGTCCCATCAATAAGGGTGCGAACTGGGTGAACTCTTCCATGGGTTCTGTTCATATGCGCGCCTTCACCTGCCAACGTCTTGCAGCGCAGTCCACAGAGCATACACCCGAAGTAAGGTGTTGGTGTGGAGGATCTGGAAGTGCAAGTACTTGGTGTGCGCCAACACTGTTGTTCCTTCAGCATGGTGCGCACTCTAAGGTGGGCTGCAACACAAAGGAAATTCCTCGAGTTGAGCAGGATGGAATGTTCTTTTGCTCTGCGGATGAGGCGTTTCCAATAACCTCTGTGAAATCGCATGATCTCAAGCCACCTGTCGGTGTGTTCAAACGGATTTCCAAGGTTGCACGAATTGGCTAGGTGGTCACCCATCCATTGAAGATCATCTCGAATGAGATCCAACCAAGTCTGGTCTTGATTGAGAAGTCCCCAATGCGCTGAAGCTCCACTATTCAATAGGGAGCTCAAATATCTCAATCTCTTGACCCTCAGTAAGGTCACAGGAGATGGCATCGCCAATCGGTGCAGGACCTCCTCATCCATGATGTGATCGTCTGCAGAACATCTTAACAAACGCTTGTAGAGCTTGATGATCGCACTGTGCAAGTACTCTTTGGTTCGCATGTCCTGGATCGTCCAGGTTTCAGCACCATACATCAGGCGACTCAAAATCAGACTTGAGAAGATTTCAACTCTGCTGTCCATCGCAAGTGCTCCATTCTGGAAAATGAGTTTGCGATGCTTGTTGTAGCTCTGATGTGCAATGGAGATTCTGCGTTTGATCTCTCTACGAAGGTCCCCTGAATAATGTGTGAAGCCCCCCAGATGCAAGTAGGAGTTCACGAGGTTCACCTTGTAGATATCATATTCTCCCAATGCAGTGACATATCCAGGAGCGAGAGGTCCGAAGAGTTGCTTGCGCCATTTGTGCGCGCCACTGCCGCGAGGCTTGAAAAGGATCTCCGTCTTGCCCTTTCCTAGGTTAGGAGTCATGGCATGCGCACGAAGAGTGTCCAGGATAGAGCTGGTGGCAACTCGTAGATTTTGGAGAAGCTCTTCATTGTTGGTAGCCGTAAGTGGAATCGCCAAGTCATCCATCCAACAGGGCCCCAGTAGCGTCATTGGTGGTGAATCTTGGTCTGCAAATCCACGTGAATGAAGGTCAATGCTGGGTTCATCTGGGAACTTGGACAGGATATTGGTGGTTTCCACCGTGGCTGCAAAAGTCTTCAGCACTCGAGACATTAAATATCCAAAGACCACATCAGCAAAAGAATCGCCCGGCCTTGAGCCGTGCCTGGTGCGTACACGATCCTCCTGCCCTGGGAGAGCAAAAAACGTGTCCGTGTGCAGCGCTTGGATGGCTCTACGAGCAGGCATACTCATTTGCGCCTGCTCAATTGCACTGGGGTCTCGCAGGTGCGCATAGAGGTCATGCAAGATGGCTTGGTCAAGCTGCAACCGCTCTGCCATAGTGGCTATGAGCTCATCCGACCAAGGGCCAGCAATCGCCAAAGGGCGCACAACCCGATAGAAGGCTTCTTGTAAGTCGATAAAGATGACCGCTGTAGGCTGATTTCGAGCTGCAAATACCCGAAGAAAAGCGCGCACCAGATGCCCACATAGAACTACTGAAATGCCTTTGCGGCCTCCAAGCTGCTGCGGATGGAGATATCGCTGGTACAGCTCAGTCTGTTTCGTCCGCAGGGCTTTGTGCATCGTCTTTCCCACCATTGATGAGATGAGGATGGATCTGAACGCCTGGCAGCAATCTTTGCTGAGCTTGCCTTTCCAGATTGGGATCAAATAACCGCCCTTGTGCTCCAAGGGCTCTTGTCCTTGTGTAGCGATTTTCAGCAGAAGTGAATAGAGCTGCTTGGCCACAATCTTGGGGCAGTAACGGATCAGCTCGGATGGGATTTTGTCCATTCCGGATGCTTTCCCCGCAGCAACTTGGCGACAAGTCTGTTCCAGCTCAGTCAGGGAGGGAATCTCGGTGACCGGGATGTCCAAGATGAAGGTGCGCAAGGCCTCCAGGTTGGCTCTCCACAAAGATCTTTGTGTCTCTTCGTCAACTCTTTCCCCTCCTTCCATTTCGCTGAAAAATTCAACCCATCTTTGCAAGGCAGCAGTGTGGGAGACGCAAGGTCGCCCATGTGCATCCCTGATCAGCGGCAGTGGAGCCATACCTTGTTTCAGTCTGTTGCTGGACCCCATGAAGGGTTTCAACTTCTGCTGAATTTCAGAGGCTGCCGTGGTATGGGAGAAATGGCTGATGACTTCTTGAAGAGAGGCATTCTTGCTCTTGTGAATCTGCTCCTTCAACTTGGCCGCCTGGCGTCTGAAGCCGAGTCCATGCTTCAGGATACCAATTCGCAATGTGGTCCCGAAGTTGTAGGACTGTGATGAGTGCCAACTGCCAGGAGCTCTCCAAGCCGCAAATATGCGTGCAATGGTCTCTCTGCGGAGTAGGTGGTGTACATGCTTCAATTGAGCTTTGTGTTCCAATTTCAGCTGTCTCTGCCTCCAAATCTCTTCATCGATGTACGGTCTTTGAGGTCCTGTCCTTGGTCTTGGGCAGTGACGCCTCAGCTGTGAATGGAGTTGGTCGTTGATCACGTGCAGGTGCTGTTCCACATCAGCCGTCCACGGTGCCACATCAAAAGGCTCAAGAACTGAAGGCAGAGTTTGCTGGATGCGATTCCGGTCGAATCCTGTCAAGGAAGCACCTGTCGACTTTGAAACTGTGCGAGTTTGCTGCCACTGCAATTCGACTGCATGAACCGCATGGTCAATCACCTTGTTCCCAAGATCAAAATCTTCAAGGATGCGAGAGCTGGAGCAATGCTCTATCCAGTGTACAGGAATGAGGACATAGTCAATGGTGAACTCTTCCTGAGAAGGGGAGGTCCATGTACATGCGGTTCCCTCATGAACTGCACTGGTGATTGGTGCACATAACCGAAGATCTGTAAGGAAATCACGTAGAAACTCCGAACCAGATGAAGTGCGAAATCCTGGCAGAAGAACATGAGTACCATCAGCATCTCCAGGACCCGCGTTGGCGTCAATGCAGACAAAGAGTGGGGTTTGTCCATCCACAAAGTCCAAAACCAAGTCTTGGGTGGCTTTCCACCATTGTTCTCTCTCCTGACGGCTATAGCCGCTATGGGGGGCATAGCCCACCAGGAACCAAGCTTCGAAATGTTCATGCAATACCCTGACAAGGAGCCGTCTGGAGTCGTGGCAAACAACTGTGAAGTGGCTCCTTGCCAGGCAAATACTCTTGCCGTTGCAAAGCGCAATGGGTTGGGCTAAATTGCACCAAAGTTCCACGCCCCCATGTCCTTTGTCAGCACCAGAAGAGAGTCGAAGAATACCATTACGCAGAGAAGAACCTGCTTCTGCTCGAGTTTCTTGGACTCCCAGAAAATTCAGGTGCAAGTCCTTGAATTGTGAGCGTAGATAGTCCAGCTTGCCCTTGAAGCCTGCAGGCCCTTGTCCCAATGAGAGAACGTTCCCTGTGGCAATGCTAATGGTGAAGTCAATCACTGAGGTTTTGAAGCTGGGCTGCTGTTTAGGAGCTGGGGGCGCTTCTGGAGGCAGAGCCGGTGGATCTACCGCAAAGCCTGTGCCTTTGAATGGAGGGATGCCTGCCTTCTGGTCAAAAAGCATCCAAAGGTACGGAATAAGTGGTCTCCATGTGGTCAAGCAAAACTTTGGCCTTTGCAAGTAGAATCCTTGACGGCCTTCATACTTGGCTCCCCAATCGCAAAACTCATTAAACGGGTCTCCAGCATGGCCAGGCACATGGTCCAAGATGAAGTCACCAGGTGCTAGTGCCGCTTCAAGCAGTTGTGCACAGCCTCGGAGGGTTTGGAAGGACATGTCACAGCAAATTGATCCAATGTCGCCTTTGGCCTGTTGGAGTGCCAGCAGTGAGTCGCTGCGGAACAAGGTAGGAATATTGGAGTTTTGTCCTATGCGCCAGATCATGGCCCATGTAAGTGCTTCCCGTTCAGTGATCGCAGATCCGATTCTGTCTGCACCAACATACCAATCCTGGTCTGTGTCGCAACGGACCTGATGGCTGGACCAGCCAATCAGCGAAAGCTCCGATGTATTGCAGGAGGTGTACGTTTCACCTAGCACCAGGAAGCACCAGGCATCTGGGATTCCAACTTCCTCGTTGAGTTGGGGTGCAATGTGGCGGCTTCTTGCTTGAGATGATCCATCAGCATAGATGACCAAACGGTCAAAGTGCGAGTGATGCGAAAGCGTCGCAAAGTGCTGGGAGCAAATCTCAGGCATGTCCAGGTTCTCAAAGGATGTACAAAGTGATCCTTTTGTTGAGGTAAAGAAGGCTTGCAGGTCATCGGTCGTGATGCCACAGTTCAGGGTGCAGTCTGCTGACAGTTCTGCCCGTGAAGGATGATACATCTTGTCCAACTTCCGCACGGCTTGTTGCTGTGGCCAAGGTGGGAGTGTCTTCTGCTTCCCAGGTGAAGTAGGCAGCTCGCCAAAGCTTTCCTTGAAAAGAATCTCTGTGATGTCATAATCACCATGTCTTTCATGAAGGAGTACAGCCTTTTCAAAGCCCAGTTTGTAGAGATGCCGCATATGGTCAATCTCCGAAACCGAGTCCACAGGCATGGAATGAAGATGCACAGTCCAAGGATCGCACTGGGGGAGGTAGGCAAAGTGCCTCAGATTCGGATTCTGGTGTGTCTCTGTGGGCAGACATAGGGCCACATGTCCGCTGGAGAGCAGAAGAACTTCACAAGAGATGCCGAAGGTCTTCAGTTCCTGTTGTACGCCATTAGCTGTGGCAGGTTCCTCAATGTCAACAAAGGATGGAAGTTGTGGTAACTCCTGTCCAAGCTTGTAAAGACGAATTGCTCGGCGAGGCTGATGTTTTGAGTCAGAGAGAGGCCCATGGGTATGAGCCACCTGCCCATGTGTTAGGCGCCTTTCTCTGCTCTGTCGGAGTTGAGTGCCAATTTGAAGGAGATTTGTGGCATCTACCCGATTCATCTGTTGTTCCTGGAAATTTGGGCGCCTTCGCAATTGAAGAATTATACCCATACCATCACGTGCAGGATAAGGATGGCCAATCCGGAGTTCCGTGGGTCCGATCCAAGCTTCACAGATGGAAGGTGCACCTGGGTAGAGACATCTACCTTCCCATCCGAGGGCAAAAATGAGGTGTTCCAACAAGAGATGTTCATGCGTAGTGATCGCCAACTGGTGTGTGAATCTCGCACTGCCGTCTTGGACCTCGAAGACTGTTACCACACTGGAGGAGAAGGTGTCCTGAGGATTTTGCACCAATAAGACATGTGCTGCTACTTCCGGTCCGGTGTTGGGAGGAACTGGCAAGACCAGATGAAAAAGAATGGGTGCACCTGGTAGTTGCAGGTCAGGCCAGGCTGCTCTCATCGTGCTTTCCCATGTATCAAAGTCGGCATACAACCTGACAATTCTGGATTGCCTGCAGGTTCTCAGTGGTTGGTGATATTGATCGACGAACCACGTAATAACCGACGTTGATGCTGATTCATCCTCCCAGCTAAATGCAGTTCTTGTCCAGTGCTCATGTAATTCCTGTATTGTCTCAGGCTGGACATTGAGCGGGGCTTGTCCCGGACAAAAAGGCGCAGCATTGGGATTGAAGTTGAAGATGGGACCCTGGTCATCATCTGCAGCATCTGCTTGTGGTCCTTCAGGAACTGGTGTAAGTGGTCTTTGCATCAAGACAATGTCATCATTCGCGGCTGCGCTAGACGTAGCAAAGAGGCCATTGTCCCTCACAAAAACGACCAAACTCATGCCAGGGTCGACATGATCGACATCGAAAAGGCCAAAGGGAATTTCACCTCTTCTCACTGCGCAGCTTCTGGATCTGCAGGTTTCTTGGAGATCAGCCGTTCTGATGACCGCTTGTGCAGACATGAGCGAAGGCAATGAGAAAGCAGAATGATCAATAGTGGCTCCTCTGAAGTTCGCATCGTACACAGAGATGAGTCCGACAACCTGGTCTGGTCTTGGCGCCTGTTCAATGATGAGATGTGCCAAAATGCATTGAGTCCAAGGACACGGAGGAGAAGGTCTCACCAGAAAAATCGTGATGTCAATGCTGGGGTCAATGAGATCACGCCAAGGTTCAAGAAGATCTTCAAGCCACGTTGCAGGATCTTGGAAAAGTTTGACAGCCCTTGGTTCTCTGCATTGTGGCCATTGAAGGTGGTGAATGTACCAAGTCTCCACGTAGGCAATAGGGCCTTCCTCCTCACATTCGATCATGGAGCCAGAGGCAAAGTAGTTGGCAAGCGTGTCAAAGTCTCGCCCATGAAAACGACTGAGGGGTCGTGGAGGTGGTAAACCTTGAGGATTTCCAAATCTTTCACTTCGCAGTGAAGGATGTACAACTTGCTCCGGGGAGACTTTCAGTTGTTGTGGTTGCCAATGTTCATGCCAACTTGAACACACTTCAACAAAGCGCTGGATGGAGAGTTGTAGCATAGTGCTGCCATCTCCTGCATCTGGACGAGGTCGCGGTGAAGAAGGCTGATTTGCTCGGCAAAATGTGGATTGTTGCCCCCGATCCGACTGTAGTGCAAATTCCCTGGAGATCGCAATAGCCGTCTCAGTGTCCAAGAAAGGGTCATCAGGAGGAGGAACCTGAATCCTTATGTAGGCACCATGTCGTAGGTTATGAACCGTACGATCATGTGCTGGCCAGATGAGGTTGTTCTCGAAGATGATGCATTTGCCACCATGAAGTTCGCAATAGTCATGCAATCCTGTGAGGAGTAGCAGCTGAGAGCGATGCACAGGTGGATGGATCCTCATGACTTTCCTGGAAACAGTTGGTGGAACAAGAAGACCGTTGGGCAAAGCATGCGAGTGTATCTCAAGGTCCAGGAGAATCAACTGTTCCGAGGAAGCAGCCTGAATATCGCTGACCATTTGCAAAATGATGGCCCTCTCATGATCCTGATGAAGTCCAACAGGAAGGGCTTGCAGATAGTGCATGCCAATGACCTCGTTGTGAGTAGTCCTCAGGAAATTCACAATGTCAGAGAGGATGTATCTGTAGTCCCTCCAACGGACATGACAATGCCCATCAGGTCTCTCAAGACGATATACATGAATTCCAACCTCGTTGGCTGGGTCAGAAGATTGCGATGAGGCCGACTGCATACTTCTCGGAGAATGGCCGGCATCATCAATGTGGGGCAAATCCTCATAGTCATGTTCTTGCACTGCACAATCTTGTTGTGGTGCATGACTCTGTCCAGCTCTGTCATCTGATGTAGGAGCAGATGTGATCGTGATGGTGAATGCATGTCCATTTTGAACTTGATGAACTTGTTGGAAATCAAATGGAATATGTTGCCATCCAAATGAAATGCTACAACGGTGGCGGGCATTCAAACACCATTGATTGGCATCTGCTGCTTCGGCCAGTCGTCGTCCACTGACAAACATCTCAAGTGAGCTTGCAACTGCATAGGTGTGAGGCTCCAGTTGATCACCCTGATAATGGACTGTCAAAAGGCCTGCTCGTCTCGGCAAGTCGTTGCCCTGAGTGATGATAATGTCACAGTGAACCGCCCGTCGAAGATAACCTCGATAAGGGTCAGGTAGGGCCAAATGGAAATAAATACTGGCACCTGCTTGCATGTGGGTGCGCCATGATCCAATGATGTCATCAGCCCATCTTCTCCAGTCCTCATCAACTTCCACAATTCGAGGGTGGAAATTCACCAGCACATGTTGGTGGTGAAGATACCATGTGCGTAGCCTCAAAATGCCGTCTCCCTCAGGATCGGTGAAGGCCGCGTTCTGGTCTGCGATATTCTGCAGATCTTGTGCAAATTGTGGTGCTTCATTGATGTCCGGAATGACGTCTGGGTCTGGTTCTGTAGGATCTGGCTGAAGTCTTCTCGCCGGATTGTCAAAGTGATTGTCCGTGATCTTGCAATGTAGGGCACCATTAGGGAGAACTGTTGTCTGCCCTTCCGTGCTGGCGATACGTCCAGAGAAGTCGCCAGAAGATACTCCCGGCATGACTCTGGGATCTGCGACAGCGACATTGGCAATACTTGTAAAATCCATTGACAAAGGGCAAAATTGCGATTCATCAGGAGGACGACCGCTGCATGAAGCCACAATGGGATATGTAGGCTCACCACTTCGTGCGAGACCTCCATCATGCCAAGGGCATACTTGAAAGCGGCTTTGTTTCATTTCAGCAATCTTTGGACAACCGCTCCACGGAGTGATTCCAGATGAAAAATATCTTGACGGCAAACAAAATTCATGAAACTTCCAGTCATCTTCGAAGCTCAACCGCAAATGCGTCACATCCGCAAAACCCACATGAAGATTTGGACGCGTGCTGGTTCGAGGATACGAAGAGGAACGTTGATCTGGGAGTACATGATGACAGCCATCAAGTGCGACCTCAAGGGCGAGTTTCTGAGCTGCTTCTCTGGCACCAAATTCACAGCAGAAGTCTGGCTCACAAATGAAACTGTGGCTCCACTTCAGCGCGGCGATAGCTGGGACATCAAAAACATCCGGCTTCCGACTGCTATACCATAAGGTCATAGACAGTCCGCCTAGCTGAAAGGCTGCTTGGAATCTTCTCCCGCAGAGCTTTCTTCCATTCTTGGCCTCTTGGCGGCCGGTCCCTCCACTTGGATGGATTCGGCATCTTTGGAGAGCTTCAGCAAGGAATTGGAAAGTGTCTGAATGCTCTCCGTGATCTGCATGGCCGAAGTTTCTGAATCGCCAGGGAGCTCCTCCTCGTCGCTGATCTCCGTGACTTGTCCAGCGGCCGTCTTGGAGGCATCCAGACATTCCTTGGCTTCTTGAAATTGCTCTCTGGCTGATGAAATCCTCATTTGCAACGCCTGCTCGTTCTGCTCGAACATCTTGGCGTAGTCTGTCCAATTTTTCACGGCCTCCGCCAAGAAAGATTTCCATGAACTGATATGTTGGGTGCGAGCCAACAAAGCCTCCTCGTAAGCAGTACGAGCCTCTCCCAGAGACTTTGCTGCGACTTGAAGATCCTTGATGGCTCTCTTCCCTTGTTTCCTTGACTCGGATTGAACTTTCTGCTGAACATCCAGTGGAAGGTCCACTGAACGTTTTTGCAGATAGTTGAGCAATTCGTTGGGCACCTGCTCCTGCATCCCTGTCGGCACAGATGGGGCCGGAACTGCCAAAGGGGCAAAAACTGGCACAGGATTGCATGGTTGCGGTGGCGGTGCTTGAGTATTCTGCATGGGCATCATGTTCATCATAGGCATCATCGTAGGAGCACCAGGATGCGCCCAAGGTGGTGGTCCACTCGGAGGGGGCAATGGTGGCATAGCAGGATAGCCCTGAGGCTGCAAATGCTGATAAGGTTGGTACTGCATAGGAGGACCAAACCCAGCACTGTCCTTTCCTTTGCCTCCTCTGGGTGTTTTCTTCTTTGGGCTCTGGTATCTTCGTGGGGACTTCTGACTGCGAGGTGATTGCTCCCCCTGGTAGTATTGATGTCCTCCATGATAGTTCCACTGCTGTTGATACGCCTGTGAAGATGCCGCCGACTGCTTGATACCATGGATGTAGGTGCGATCCATCGCCGTCTGCCAGGGCAAGTGACAAGTCTGGCAGTGAGAAGCACTGTGTTTGCGCAGCTGCTGGCACTGCAGGCAACGCCAGGGCGCATTTTGAGATTGCATTGCTTTCACAATAGCTCGTAGGAGCCCACAGTCGCGAGAATGATGGTCGCCAAGAACCCTGAAGATCCTCTGCAATTGAGAAGGTCCCAGCAAGGCAATCCCAGTTTTGTGCAAATGCCACTGAAGTCGCGCACGGGCCCGGAGACGCCTCTGAGCACGTCTGGTAGATGCCGATGCCGTACTTAAAGTCCAGGACGTTGACAAAATCCAGAGCGAAGCCAAAGGACAGCAGGAAGTGAAGGCAAAGAAAAGGTCGTAGAGCCAGGGAACGTCCCATGCACCACGAAGATGTCCAACCCGGGATTTTGTACGAGGCCGGGACCTCAGAAACCGGTGATGCTAGGGCCTGCCCCGGACCCTAGCAGAGCACAGCTGGCCACGATCCAAAGTGCCAGGGCGAACCAGTTCAGCAAGCAAAGGAGAGGTGGCGCAGCGCAAAAGGCAAAGGAGAAATTGCCCGGGGGTCTAGTGAACCGAGAGACCCCCTAAGGTTGAGGTAAACGAGGGCTTTGCTTCGATCCAAAACCTTTATATATATATACACATATTCATAATCATATATATATATATATGTATACACATAATTTACATTATATAATATTATAGAGGATATTGCTATAATGATATTTTGTTTAGTGAAATGTAGTTGATAGTTGGTAGAATATCAGTCATTATTCATGATTTATCATGTCAATAGTAAGAATAAACTGGTGACGGTGAAAGTCGACTGTCCAATGAAAGGTTATCCAATGACTTTCAGAAGGTTCCAGTATGAAGTATGGGCAATCTGGGGTTGGCAGCAAAATATGTGAAACCAAGAAATGCAAATGGACAAATTGTGTGGAACTTTGCGGGTGGCATGCCACGTGCGGAGCAACACAGTGATGCCTCATCCAAATCTTCAAAGACAAATTTTCCACTTCCATGGGTTTGTCTGAAAATATGCTACCCCCAGATCCCATGGTTTTTCTCGCTATTTTCCCACATAAATTAAAGGCAAAAAATCTGGGTATCATCATCAGATAAACCCCCATCCACAAGCTTGGGAAGCCACCGGGCTCCACTGTGCTTGTCCTGCCAGTTGGGTGCGTGGGTTTCACCCCACCGCCTACGCCCTGGCTGTTTTTCATTGGGGGTACCACTTTGGTAGCAGAACTCTCACTATTTGGGGAGTATACAACCTCCTAACTAATAAACCAGGAATACCCAGGATGTATACAATATTCCGGAGTTGACCTTGCCTCAAGAATCCCCCAACACGGTCTTGAAACTCATGGCTTTCCCCGAAAAAAACACTAAAAATCTCCTTGGTTTCCGTTGCAACTGATAGAAACTCACTCCTCGAAGAGAATCCGCTCAGTCGCACTTGCCTGCCCATCCCAGCCACGTGACATCCTTCAAGAGAACCCTTCAGAACCGTGACGAAAAATGTCGCCTAACTACACACATGTGGGCTAGACCATCGGCTTGAAAAAACCAAAGCCTTCAAACTCATAACAGTAGAATAAAGCTGCCATATTTGAGTTGGTCTGAGAATAGTGTACTCCCAAATCCAGTGGTTTATCATGGTTTATCATCATTTTCCCTATATTTTATCATGGTTTATCATCATTTACCCATAAAATCATTTTCCCATAAAATGGTTTATTATGGTAACATGTTCATTTTATGGGTGTCCCGATTTTCAGGCACACCCATTTTTCAAGTGAACGCCAGTCTCTGTTGGATTCGGAGCCGAATTTTGACCACCATTCCCAGGCCTGAAAGTACCACGCTTGCAGCGGCCTTAGGACAGGTAACGCCATGCAACCAATGGGGGGATGGAACCTATACAACCTATACAACCTATCTTGTTACTGGTGCTGATAGTTTTACCCACACTAGTATATACAGTGTATAGCAGTCCCGAAAAAGACAGAATTTCGTAAAATGCTGCTAAACTAGTAATACGTGACTTTTCTATCTTTTTTGGGGCTACTCTATACGTATAATCACACATATATGGTCTTGAGTTCCGTGTTCCTACCCCCCCAATGGTATGGTTCCCCAGGTAGCACCCCCTTCCCTTCTATTTGCAAGCTATTGGCAGCATTGCGGAGGTCCAGCCTCATATTTGCTAGGTACATGCTACCTTTTAGACGACCTACGTAACACACATACTCCCTCAAAATACCTACGTGCTACCTATAGTCATATATACATGTGCTATGTATCTACTTCTTATTTTATACATATATATATATACATAAATATACATATATATATATATATTATATATTATATATTATATATTATACAGTATATACATGTATATATGGTCCAGCGTTCCAACCCCACCGACAGTACCACACCCCCACCACACCAGTACTATGGCTGACCCATGACCATGGCCCGGGGGGGTTGGAACGCTGGACCATATATAGCCACATTTTCGCCAAACAAGCCAGCGAATTCATCCATGGAAAGTTGACCCAGGAATGAATACGAATGGCGCGACCTGACAGTCTCTCTGGATTTTTTAAGGCCAGGCATCTGAAAATATCGTTGTGTTTTGCACGATCCCCTTTTTTGGTTCTACATCGATAAACAATATACTGTACAACATCTTGATATCTTTAGGTGCCGTACTGTCGATCACTATAGTCACTATGGTACAATCGAAATATCCCTCCACGTTAATTTCTTACCTGTATGAAATCTGGTATGGATTCTTAAACAGTATAGCAATCCACGTAGAAAAGTTTGCCATCGTAGCAAAAATAGTGACAACTGACTGAAATCACCATTAAAATCCATTAATCTCATTGAATCACCATTAAATCCCCATTTATAGTGGTTAAATCACAATTTTTCTTACGGTTTTCCTAGGGCATCACCATTTAGTCACCATTAAATCACCTCCAATGGGGGTTGCTACTTTAACCGAGTTCCCTGGCAGCATCTCCATGCGACATCTCTTGAGGCCCTCGCCTGGCTCGTTTCCCCTAGAAATGGCAATTTTGGGTGAAATTCCCTGAGAAAACCCGCAGGAACATGGTGGTCAACCATAGGAAAACCCATAGGAACCATGGTGATTTAACCACTTTTTTAATGGTGATGGAAAAATGGTGATTTTTATGGTTTAACAATGGGTTGACAATGGTGAATAATGGGATGATATGGGATTTAGCCTCCGGTAAACCAACATAACTATAGAAAATCACAACTTTTGATAGGTAAATCAACGAACTAAATGGGACATTTTCAATAGCAATGTTGGATTACCGGAGGGTATACCATGCTATACCTATACCGATGCTTGCGGCAGATTTGGCCCTGTTGAGACCTAGACAATTCGAAGATCTCACAGCGCCTGCCATCTTCCTGTACAACGGTGCGGCCCCACGGTGCCGCGTGACCAACAGGTGGTTGCTGCCATCTGCGGAGATGAAGGGGGACTTGGAAGAGAAACAGGTGGGATCATAGTGCTGCTTGGTAGTTTCAATATCTCCAACATAAACATCCAAACATATCCAAACGTATTTCGAGAAAAAAATGGATCATCGAATCATCACTGAAACTAGAACTGGAAAATCTGCAACGTTTGAAACCACCAAGCAGCTGCTTGGTATGAGTCTTAGATCGAAGGTAGGATGATAGGATTCGGACACATTTCAGGGATGGAAACGAATCGAGTTCCGCGGTGCCTTTCTGCGGACTCACAGCAGTGGAGACCTTAAAGATGCCTTCTGAGGATGACCTGGTTGTGCTTGAAAAGGGTGAATGGGTGTCTGAAAATGGGGTATTTCATTTAAATATAGCTATTTCATGGGGAATGTTATTATATAATATTACACACACACATTATCAACTTTCGAGGTATCCTATTTCCAAACACACCAAAATTAATGTGCTAAACGAATAATAAAGCATCCACAATATTGACATCAATGGGTGGTAAATATTGGGGATTCACCAATCACGGGTTAATTAATCATATACAATTGTGGATAGATCATGGAATATGTAAAAATCGTAGCGAACTTGATATGATAGTTGGGACTAACCCCAATTGATGGCAATTTTCCGGAAAACTTTGTTCAGAACCAGTAGATTTGGGGGTCCTGAGAGAGGCACCAGGCTTCTCAGAATTTCGATTGTCGGAGTTCCAAAATGAAGAAATTCTCAACTCAAATGCCTGGGGTTCTGAGGTGTGAAAATGTGTGAAATGAAATATTCCCAGGGCAGGGATTACTGATTGATGTCAACGTGAAGACATTGGGCTCAATTGCCATATTCGGTCACAAGCGCAGGACCTCTGCTACTAATATAATTACCACATTCTCAACCATGGCCAATCTTAGATACTCTGCACAAACATACCTTCTCAGCTGGGCAATAGCAAGTAATATACATTGGAAACCATTAGAACATATGACATCTTATGAAAGCACTCAACCACCCAGCCAAGATTTTTCCCAATTTATGTCAGCCAATCTCCCCATTTTAAGGGCTAACCATGGTTCACCAATAACTCGTCCATTTGTGAAGCGCACTGGATCCGAGGACCTCCCCATGGAGCAGGCCCCAACTAGGCTCCTTGCTTGGCACCTGTCTTGCTACCCGCTGCCACATCCTGCGACCCGTAAGGATCAGATGCACCTGAAAATGTGGTGAAAAAACCCTCCATTTCTATCCATTTCCGACTTTTTTTTAAATGTTGGGAACTCAAAATCAGTAGATGGAATAGGGTTTTCCCAGAAAAAGTTCAAGATTCATCCATATTTAGCAAGCATTCTCTGGGACAGTTGAGGGAATCTACTGGACATCATGGATTTGCCAGCCAAATATGAGGGTATAAATATGGGGATACCATAGGAACATCATGTTTGGAATCAATGGGATATAACGAAACATAAACCAACAATATAACGTGGTTATGGGTCCAGCCATTGGGGTACCTTTATCGGCCCCCAAAAATTGAGTATGTAGTATGAAACAATCCATTTTGGGTCTTGATTCTGATAATTTTGACATTCCCATATGAAGCCAGGTATCATGAGTATACATCACCGCACATCAGAATCAACCAACAACCCATCTGGGACTGTATTTCCCATTATTTTCCAGGCATAATCACGTAGATACAACATGCGCATGGCGCTAACCCGCGGCATTCCCAGGATTCTCATGATCCCCCGTAGATTGGGTACTATAACCAGCTACATGTGCCATGGTAAAATATGATATACTGTATAATATATATATATATATATGTATATATGGTCCTATATATATATATCTATCTGGTATAGTAAGCATGGTCATCCATTCCAGAATTCCAGAATTCCAGAATTCCAGGTGCTGGGAATTCCAGGTGCGCATGGAATCCAAGTTGAGTTTTTGGACCGGAATCCCTATGGATTGATGACCGGAACTCGGCAATATCTCCAGTAACTTATTGGACCCTGAAAAACACCCAAAAAATGATGCTTGAATTCCCAAAAAAAGTACTTACTCACCATCTTTATCAACCAGCTTTTCTTCCAGAATGAACAGCTCACATCATTTCCCATGAACATCCATGAACGATGTAATCAAGCAGTAACTGTTTTTTTTTCTAGTGCAAAAAAAACACTTTGCCAACCCCCCCAAAGCACCAACCCAAACCACCACAGCTTTTCCGCCACTCTTCCTGGAGCTCAAGTCGCGACGCTTGGAGCACAGCCTGTCCACAGACCACACCTAGACGCGCGTTTGAAGGCAAGGCTTGCCCGACACTTAAGGAGGAGGAGGGGATCTAATTTGGTTCATGTATATATATATATGATATGTATGTATACATATATATTATATACATATGTAACAATATGTTTATAATTCTAATTACATTTATATATCATAACAAACAGATGGACAGATGGAGTTTTTTGTAGCCCCAGGAATGACCACAACCACCAACAGGCGTTTGCAGAGTCACACTCCAGATTTACGGAGGGGGCTGTTGAACAACATCTGGTTGCTGGTTTCAAACCAAAATCACATGTTAGTTTAAGTCGGTGGGGGTCACCGTTTCAAAGAAGGATGGAAAACATATTTGACACCACCGACTTTTCAGTTCTCTCTTCCCATTGCAAACATATTAAAACATATTAATAAAACATATTAAACATATTAAAAGCCGTTTCGTTGCTTAAGCTTCAATTTTTGCTTCTTGTTCCACAAACCGTCCCTTGGAAGCCCGACTTCCACGCAACCTGGGACGAGATGAGTTCCATCGTTCTATGGGGATCAAAAACTGATCAGTACCCTGCTGAAAAACCAGAAAACATGTGAATAATTCATACACACACATATATATATATACATACATGATCAATTATCCATGATGACATATCTTCTATTATATACATTATCATGGAACTATGTAACTATTGAATTTCATTATATACCAAATATCCCTCGAAAACAATCAGGACTTGCGAACATCAGCAACATGAAAAGTACAATGAGGGTCCATGTGCCGGACCTCACAATCAAATGACAAGGCCAATTGTGGGCAGTTATAACTAGCCACAACCCCAATTTTCATATCTGCATGAATGTAGATCATTTATAAAGCAATTAATGTATATATATATATTATAGTACCATTGATATAGTGATATATGTAAGCACCCTCTGGTAAACATAATTATGGACATCCATTCTTCGTTCGAAAATGATATAGTAGACATTTTCTAATCACCATTTTGGATGGTTACCCTCTGGTAATGGCTAACATAGCTACTGAACATTGCCATTTACAGGTTGATTTACCCATAAAGAATGTGATTTTCCAATATTTTCCATAGTTATCTTGGTTTACCAGAGGGTATACCGGGTATGGGAAGATGATAGGGGGGGTTCCTAAGTCATCCATTGATGGACTTTCCATTAACCATCCATGATGAATTACCAGAGGGTAAATCCCATATCATCCCACTATTCACCATTGTTAACCATTAAATCACCATTAAATCCACAAAATAATCCCATTAAATGGTGATTTAATGGTGATTTAATGGTTAACAATAGTGGATTTTTCCATTTTCACCATGGAAAATGCCATTAAATCACCATTAAATCACCATTTTCCAACCAACAAATCACCATGGCATCGGTCGCATCTCGGATCTGAGCTCAACACACCATCTCTCCCAGGCGCCGTTCTGCCAAGGAAATCACCAGCTTTTGCCTCAGCCACGGCTGTGGAAAATCGAGAAAGACATGCGTTAAACAAACATATAAACATAAAATACCTATAGTGCATATAATATATATATAACATACATATATATATATGTATATAATATACATAATATATATATATGTATATATATTCTATAATGTATATATATGTATATATTTAAAGTAATATATATATATGTATATGTAGTAATATTATCTATATATTTCACACGAATCTAATTCAGACATACATCTTTTCCTTTGGAAAGCGCACAAACCTTGAGATTCACCCTTTCTGAATCAAGCCGGCCAGGAGGCTCTGGAACTTTCGCTTTTGGATCCTTTGGATATACATTGGGGAAGGGATATTCATGATACACACATGAATGTATATATATATATATGTGTATATATAGATATTATACAACAAACTATCACCAGCAAGAGGATCTGGGAATGGGTCAACACATGTCAACACCTATTTTGTTTCCTTTGTTTTTGGTGTGAGGGTGAACATCCATGACCAGCAGCTATTTTGCTCCCTAATTGGCGATGTGTTTACCAATTCCGATGAGTAGAATCCCTGAGAACACATCATGAAAAGGACACAGAAGCGCTCTCAGAACCTTGCCATACTGATCCCGCACAGTCCGTGTTGACTACACTATTTGCCAAACCCATATGGTGGTTTCCATAAATGGGGGTACCCCAAAATAGATGGTTTATTTCATGGAAAAACCCCACTATAAATGGATGATAACTGGGGGTACCCCTGTGACTTAGGAAACCTCCATATGATATCTAAGATCTCTGCATTTCCTCCAGAATGTTCTTCTCTTTTGCCTTGGAGGTCGCTGGAGGATCCGACAAAACATGGCAGAAGCTGCAAGTCTCACATCATGGCCACCGTCATCATGATCGGAATAATGACATGATATTGCAATTTCAAATATTATCACCATCAATATGATATTGGTCCTGGTATTGCTATATTCATCATTATTATCAACATCATATTATCAGCACCAATATCATTATTGTTATTGCTTACCATCATTCACAATAATGATCGTCATCACCATCACTACCTGAGATCCTAGCCCGACACGCTTCTCGCTGGCTTTGCACAAGCGCCTGGAACCACGAAGGGAGTCTGCTCGATATGGGGCATCTTTTATTCGGATGTAAAACGTACGAACATATGTGTGCATAGATACAACAGAAGATGTACACATGCAAAGGCAAGGATTGTAAAGGTACATATGTATACATCATTATACATATGCATACTGTATATAATATAATATAATAATATACAATATAATATAATATAATATAATACAATATTGTGTAATCATATATGTATACGCACAATATACTTGTGTATACGTGTATATACACGCACATTCTCTTCCACATCTAAATGCCCGCCCAGCTTTACACAAGGATGCCTCTTAGACTCTTGAACATTGTGGCATGCTTTGAACAGACAATTACTACAGGGCACGGGCATGTGTACTTTGTGGTAGATCGGGTGGATCAACTGCCTGAGGGTTGAGGATCCAATTGTATCCAATTGTAATATGCATCTGCCTGAACAACCTGGGCGACAACTTCAAGATTGAATTAGGAAGATTATCGCATCAGTTCAGTGGGAATAGGTCACTAAACCGGTTCAAAGATGGCTTCAGATCCATTGAGGCATTTCCTTGGCATGTGCCTGCCTCAAAAAATTGAAGCCGCGCCAGGTGTAAGCGTTCAGCCAACACGTTGGATCTCACATCGGTCTGGCTCGGTCAACACGTTTAGAGTGATTCAAATGGCGAGGATCCGATTGTGTTCCCCGGGATTCAGTTCTGGTCTTTATATGGGCTTTTATATAGGTTACAAAAGGGCTGTGCATGAGGTTATATGTGTGTATATAATTATATATACATATGTATGGGTTTTATGTGGTTATCTCTATATACAGTCATATGCATATATCATATATATATATGGGATTGTATGGGTTATAGACCACTAACTGAGATGTACCCCCGAGTAAGCATCGATGGAGAGAAACGGGGGTTTCCCAAACTATCTTTCCCGTTGAAATGGCGATTCTGAAGCCTCCCCAATTTTGGACACACCCAGGTATACTGTGTAAAACAGATCTGCTGGATGAGAGGCCCTGTAATTTCTGATATCTTGCCTTCCCTGAATTTGTTTTGAAGGAACATTAGATAAGAGAAGATCCCCTGAATGGATTTTGAATCCTCTAGGCGTCTCCAGTCATTTTCCCATTTTCCCCGCCAATCTGGTCATTTTCCTACATGGAATCCGAGCATTGCGCTTGACAAATCTGCAGGAAAACATCGGAAAACCATAGGAAACCCATAATTTTGATGGATAAATCCATGATAAATCCATGATAAATCCATGATAAATCCATGCTTTCTTCTTCATTTTCCTGACTTTCAAGCCTCTGCAATGAAACAGACTTCATCTGCCTCCTCCAGCGCACGGTGAAATCTGTTCACATATAACTGGAGCTGCACCCACTGTGAATGGCAATTTGCATCTTCTTGATTTTCGAACAATTTGGGTCGTCCGCGTGCACAGAGAAGCCATAAAAAACCGAAGTTGCCAAAAGTAAGCCATCTACAAGTGGGGCTACAGCAAAGGATCAAGCGTAATTTGGGTAAAATCTAAGTTCCCCAAATCAGTGGATTTCCCAAAAATCAGCTCCCCATCGTGGCCCATCGTGGCCCATCGTGGCCCTCTCCTCTTGGACCAAGGCTGCTTCCGCCAACTTCTTCTCTCGATAGGCTTCGTCGTCCGAGGATTCCTATGCAGGGCCATGGAGGCTCAAGATGTTGGAATCACATGGAATCACCGTAAACTTCGCAATCTGGACCCAAAGTTCCCAGACGGGCTCAAGCCATGAAAACTTAGCTTAGCATGGCTGCGCTTTGCTTGTTTGATGCACCATGTTGACATATTTTGACAAAGGGCTAGAGTCTTATGCTTTCAGGTTGGAATGCGTGCTACAACCGTCGTATTCCTGGTCGGAAGCCAATTGTCTGCATTTTGAATATGTTTTGCTAAAGGGCTGGTGAATTTCCCCTTCGTCTGGCCAATCTTTGATACCCTGCGAAAAACACAAATCCTGGTTGGTTCGCATATATTCTCTTGCATGGCAAAGGATTCAAGTATGAAACTACCATAAATTATTGCTGCTTGTTGCTTATATATATATGTATTAGTTAACCATAGTTAACCACTGTAATTGCTGTCAACCTCTCTAATTAGTAAGCACAGAGGTTCTGGTCGCTTATCTCATACAGACCCCCGACCTCCTTCAGATTGAATTCCTCCTCGTAGGTGTCGAGATCGAATGCCACCTGAGAGCAACCGTTAAAGGAACGAATTCAAAAGCAGCAAAAAAATGGATGGTTTTATCATCAAAAATGGTGGAACCCATTCAAAATTAACATGATTGAACTAGCAAAACATGGGATTAAACCTACAGAACTGGCAGAAAACTCCAGCAAATTAACAAATGGGTGCATATAACAAGCACAAGTAACACTAGGAATACGACCGACCAGCTTGGATATGCAACTTGCGGCAAATTGGTATGCACAACCTGGAATAATGGAGTGAACAAAAGGCCATTGCATGCTTTAACAGCTTCATTTTCATTGATTTCCCCCATTCGCGATTGCCATAGCTTGGGCGTAACCTCCTACTCTAGTTGCGACAAACCCATATCATATTGCTGCTTGTTGCTTATATTTCCCATAACACGTGTCACATTCCCATTATTGACCTGCTATTAGCAAATTTTCAGACGCCATTGTTTACCATAAATTGGGGTTCATGCCCTCCCCATGGCTATATCATCTATATCACATAAAAACTCAACAATTAACTCAGACTCCAAAAATCGATCCGCAAAGTTGTTTGGTGCTTGAAACAAATCCCATAGCATGTTCCCAGACCTCTCCATGATCACGAGAATCAAACATGGCAATTGAACATCCGGGAAAAGCCACGTTTGATTCTCAGAGGGCACCCCACAAAATGTCCTACCCTCTGGAAATTTAAGAAACATCGCCATGCCCAGATGATTTACCAACAAATATGAGAAACCATGTCTTCGGTCAACATTTTAAAACAAAATTGTCTAGATATGTCTAGATGATAGACCATGGAAACTTAGGGATTTCTAGGGATTTCTATGGGATTTCTAGCGGTTTCATGGGATTTCTAGATGATGTTCCCAACATCCAACAGAAACGCTCTTTTTTTTTTGGTCGCCTCAACGGGAGGCTGGACGAAGCCCTTGGCAGCGGTGGCCATACCTCCACCACCTGAGCGTCTGAGGGAACACACATATATATATATATACCCTAGGGGGCGGGGGTTCCCCGAGGGGGGGAAGGGGTGGGGTTGGGGTGGGGGGATTGTGATTTAAACGTTCATGTACTTGCGTGAAGGCGTGGGGTGTTGTGACGTTCATGTAAGTTGGTCAAGGGTTAGGGTGGGGTGGGGTGGGGTGTGATAACGTTCATGTAACTTGCGGGAAGGGTTCGGGTGGGGTGGGGTGGGGTGGTGTGTGATAACGTTCATGGAACTTGCGTGAAGGGTTGGGGTGGGGTGGGGTGGGGTGTGATAACGTCATGCTACGCTAGTGTGTTGTCTCTTGTACTTGTCACGCATACGGCAAGCTACGCTAGTGTGTTGTCTCTTGTACTTGTCACGCATACGGCAAGCTACGCTAGTGTGATGTCTCTTGTACTTGTCACGCATACGTCAAGCTACGTTAGTGTGATGTCTCTTGTACTTGTCATGCATGAGTCCTGCTACGCTAGTGTAAGTTATCTTGTACTTGTCATGCATACGTCAAGCTACGCTAGTGTGATGTCTCTTGTACTTGTCATGCATGAGTCCTGCTACGCTAGTGTAAGTTATCTTGTACTTGTCACGCATACGTCAAGCTACGCTAGTGTGATGTCTCTTGTACTTGTCCTGCCGGCAGCCTGCGTTAGTCTTCAAAGAAGCACCGAGGGACGCCTGAGAGAGAAAATAAGACCTGACTCAACGCAATGGGACACTATGCTGATCCGCATAGTCTTGCCATCAGAAAAGAAATCTGTTCATATAAAATGAGATAGAAGTACATCTTCGTAGGGTTCTGTGTTCCACGCAGCACGGGGGGGATTGCGGGTGGCACATGCCTGCTGCGTGCTTGAGGTTGGGTGACCCAGATGGGACTTGGCCGCGAACGATTGCGGCGTTTGTGGCGGAACACAAATAATGATTTATCCCAATCAAGCAAAATGTATCGGTATCCTAACATAATGTACCACCATCGTTATATTTTATTTTAATGTTCTACGATGGTATCTTGTTGCATAGAATAACATTTGAATTGGTCGGGTTTGTGCCTTCTATAGTGGTTGATATGTCTTGTACTAATGCTTTTGTATAAAAACAGAAAAAACAGCTGACTGTCAGCATTCGGAACTTTTGATGCTATGCAAAAACACTGTGAATTACCAATGAAAAACAGCATCACATCAAAATACCTGTGGAAACACAGTATATTATACCCTTTTCCAATGATCTTTGATATAAAACAAAAAGTCCACCTCGTAATTCCAATGGAGAAAATGAGAGCACCAAAAAAACAAAAATGTGAGGGTCCATAACTGACTTCAACTTCGACGGACGAAAAAAAATTGATCCGTAATTAAAAGACACCAACAATGAAAAGAACAACATGAAAAATCTCCATTTTACCACAGTGAAACACTGTTTTTTCTCCAATTCAATGATCCTGATTGACATCCTCTCGGGGAACCCCCGCCCCCTGCCGTATATATATATATATATATATGGGGATGGGTCAAAACCCTATCTCCCTGGTGAACATCAAAATAGCTGGTAAATGGATGTTCATCCCCCTAAAAATGGTATGTATAGGTATTGATCCATAGCCATATGGGGTCATATACTGGTATACCATAACATTACCATTACTATATATTATGGATAGTTTAGCATCCATGTTTAAACTACATCTGGTTGGTGGTTGACCTACCCCTCTGAAATATGAAAGTCAGTTGGGATGATGAAATTCCCAATATATGGAAAAATAAATAATGTTCCAAACCACCAACCACATATATATATATATATGTGGTACCCCCCAATACCCACCTTTTAGTTATCGTATTGGTATTTACGTAAAGGTATGCATCATTGTGTATCTATAAATGCATGGTATATTTGTATATGTCTATTTGATTGTATTGTATGATTGTCTATGATTGCGTATGTGTATCTTTATGTATATATATAACATATCAGCATAAGGTGGATTTTATCCCGTTTTCAAATTGGACATAACTCTGGTTATCATCAACTTATTTGAACAGCACCGACCTGGTGCAAATTGTAACGGTAGGTTTTGCAAACCTTTCAAACCATGATTTCATTATGGTAGCATGAGGATGTGCATACGGAGCAACATGTTCTATTCCAATGAAGATCTAAACAGAACAATGTTGAAGTGTTCAGCTGCCATGGGCTGCAGTCAATCGTATCCAATATGGAAGCGATTTGAACGGCCCGGCTACCACCAGTCATTGTCCCCCGTGGTTTCAACTCATTCCGCGAATATCAGTCAGTTGGGATCATGCCAAAAACCCACATCCTGCAGTAAATAAAAAAGGATGGGCACATCACCTACATCTTTGGTGGGTTTTCCAAGTCTTTCCAACTCTTTGTCTGCTTGACTTACTATACCGGAGGGTATACCGTGGAGGTATTTGATGGCCATCTATAGCTACCCTCCAGTAGTTTAGATAGGGGAAACCCATCATGAATGTAGACCATTTGTCTAGACTTCCCCCTTTTCCATATCCATATTCTTCATTTACCAGAGGGAGTAACCCTCAAACCCACCCAACCACTCGTGTTGGGTAAGTTTTTCGACTATGTAACTCTGTATTATTAATCATTACTAATTATCAACGATTATTATTAGCTATTATTAACCATTATCAATCATTCTTAACCGCTAGTAACCATTATTAACCATGATGAACTAGTGATTTTGCTCGTTTCGCATCATTCCGGGCCCCCAAACTCGCGTACTTTCTGGCGGAGCGTGGTGGTCGTGGCGCTGCTTTGGCACTGGGAGCCTCCATTTCCGCAGGTGGACCGGGGATTTGCCAGGCTCGCAGCCAGGATCTAATAAAATCCGTTGGATTCAACAGGGGATACCATCTATAGCTGATGATTATACCTTGTAGACCCTTGTTGATGATAATGGATCAACAACAAGGTATAAATTTCTAGTTGAACATCATAAATGGATTGTAGATATATGTAGATATAATCAGATCTGGTTGGTTATAGTTTAGAGCTGCCAGATACGATCCTTTGGTATAGCTGAAACAGTTTCTGGTTTGTAGTCATCAAATACAGCTCAAACCATATATCAATGGAGGCTTACAGCCCTGAATGATCCTGTGTGTAATTTTTTTGTGCTTAGTTTGCCCATTTCTACATCTTTATACATTGCGAGGACCATGGGATGATCCTCATGATCCTCCACCTCACTAAGTGATGATTTGGTAAAGCCCAAAGCCTAAAGCCATCTGTTTGGAGCATGGTTTTGAGATGCCTTGAGTCTCCCCCATTTGGGTTAAACTTTGGTAGATGGGGAATGGATTATTCTTGGGTTTGCATGGCTTTACCACAGCAAGTTGAAGCCAGGTGAGTTGATATGAGTTAATTGTTGCTTCGACCAATGACATCGAGGATCAGATTTGGTGCGCTAACCAGCAACAATCAACAAATTTGGACAAAACATCTAGCTGCTGTTGAGGTACTGCACTAGATTTCTTATCCTTCTTGTTTGAAGCATGTTTGTCTGTTTCTTTCATCTGGCCAGGTGGGTCATCTCCGAAGACATCTGAAATATCTGGTCATTCTTTCATTTACCGTCCAGTAAGACTAGTATAGCTATGGAACAACCACCCATTTCTAGATGATTTTGGAGCTCCAGATTTGTTGTTTGTTCGCCATTTGGAGCGTTTGAAAGTCATCCCATTAACGAATTCGACCAGTTTCCAGCAACATCAATTTGGCAGCCATTCAAAATACCTTGGCCCATCTCATTACATATATATACTAGTTACATCTAGTTGGTTTTCGAGGTTTCCCTACTATAGGGCATCATAATCTCCAATAAACTGGTCGTATACGCTCTGGTAAATGAACAGTTCGACCCTGAAAATCACCAAATTTCGAGTGGAAACTCATCTTCCAACCCCAACTCATGGATTAAACTCTCATAACACCATATAAAACCACCAAAACTGATGGTTAAATCCCACCAAGCACTTACCACTTTTGAATATCGGCACCTGAGGCGGCCAGGGGCTTCGTGGTCTCGGTCGATGTCTCGGCCTCACGTGGTATCGGCGGAACGTGGAACATGGTGGGTGGTTCCTGAAAAGTTGTAACAAATATGGAACACATATGGGAATTATGCACCATATGGGAATATGATACCATTTCAATATACTTTTTCATATTTTTTCTGTATACCAATGTATATCATATGAATCATGAATGTATATTAAATTGCCATCTGGCTATGACTAACAGTTCGCCATGGAAAGATCCACCATTTTATAGCTAGGTAAACCATCTATAAATGGGCCATCTATACCCTGGCGATGTTAAATAACCAGAGGGTATATATATATATAGGAATATAATGTTCCAAGTTATATGAGAATATCATATATGATATGATATAATGGCAATATCTAGCATATGATAAAACGAGTACTTTATGTGGATATAATATGATATAATGGGGATATCCAGGATTAGCAATGGGATATTGATTGGGATATAGTGGAAATACCACGAACAACTACGCTCCTAAGAACAAATCGATCCTGCTATCTGTTCGAGGTTGGAACACTATTTTCGAGTGCGGTTTCTCAAGGTCTACGTTAGCTGGGTCATGAAAACGCATCTCCACATCCTGAAACAAATACATCTTTCTTAGAGTTATCTTAATGGAGACCCCTATAAATACATGCATGCCTGTAGATGTGGGTCTACGCATTCCAAGATATTTCAAGTATTTCAAGTTCAACTGAATGTAATGTGTTCTCCCCAACCTGAAATTCTGAAGTTGCACCAACACATTTCAAGCTCCACCCATGCCACCCGGCGTCATCCGTTGTGAGCGGCTCGACTGGCTTGAACTCCTCTGGCTGCCAGGATTGGCAGATTTCAAGGGACGCACCCTGGGACCTAAGCCAACCTGTAAAGGGTAAGGGTTCCTTCTATTTTCATTTACCACACCCGGACCACGTGATGTTTTTGTTGACGTTTCAAAAAAAAGCTTCGATCAGTTGTCTCTCCACTTAGGCTCACACAGGTGACATTTCTCATCCTTTTTGTGTCCCAGTGTTTTGGAAATGGATGAAGCCGATGAAGCCACTGGCTGCGTCCTCTTGGACTTGATGTGCTCCCCAAGTTTTCGGCAACGCTCCGAGATTTCCATCTCTTCTCCCGTCACCTGAGAAAAGACAAAGCAGCGAATCAAAAGCACCCAAGGATAATGACCACTGGTCGCACAAACGCATGATTCTGATTTCATATTATATATCGTTTATTGTATACATACATACGATTAACATAAATAAATGCAACTCATTTACAATCTACAACTGAAATCCTGAATTTGATTCTTGGCAGAGTTGAGGCTCGCCCAGTCGGGAAACGAACAGCACTCAATACGGCTACTGACCCTGAGATCCGGGCCCAGAAAGGTGCTTGCCACTGCAGTTGCCAACGAACAAAGCCCTGGAGACGTTGTGGCTGCCCCTGAAAGATGTCGGATGAACCGATGGGGATCATAATGAAGGTAGGTATTTTCCACATGCTTAAAGCATGTTAAAACCAAAAACATACATACAGTTGAGAACCACCAATCATTTGAACATGTTCCAACATGGTAAATCGTGTGGGGGAAAAATCATGTCAGGAGCACACAGTCCGGACATATTCGCATGATATCTTTGATATCACATTATGTGGATGTATCATGATGTATCAATGGTCTCACCGATACGTGCTTCTGAAGCATAGTGACCCCAGAAATACCCTGGTACGAGCAATTTAACATAGCGATGGGAAAACCAAAATTTTCGTAGGTAAAATCGTTGAACTAAATCGGCCATGGTTTCCAGTTGACAAACTGTAAAATTACTGGAGAGTACGGTGTGTTCCACTTTTTAAACACATTGTTCGAGCATGGCATGGCGACACTTAAGATGGGTGTTGAACCATCTTAGCGTTGGAGTGAACCCCCATTTGTGTATCATTTACCTATGTTTTGAAACTGGTCATTTTGCCACGATATATTTTTAGCTGGGTGAACCATTGAAATAACCAGTAACTGTTTAACTTGGTTTCCCCATTCAAGATCAGCAATGACTTGGATGGTTTTGGCCGCCCTCACAACTCAGGAAACCCCATCTGTCTCGACTGACGCTTGCCTACTTTGGGGTGCATCACAGCTAGTAGGTGGTTAACCACCTATATCTAACTAACATAGAGCTCGATGTGCAACTCTTGATTTTCCGCTAATCTAACTAGTATACCATAGTATGGGTATACTGTGGTATACTACTACCCACTTACTAAGTAATCATAAGTAATCTCATCAATCTTACCCGAACCATCCAACTATGGTTCCTAACCAGTTACTAGGATTTACTCGCGGAGGGATCCTCCAGGTCAGTGCACACCTCGAAGCCCAAGCCGCCGCCATACTGTTGGACTTCCCCGGGCGCACGAGCCTGGAGGGGCAGGATGCGACAAGCAACCAGCAGCTGGAGATTTTTCAATGGATTTTAAGCCCTAAGATGGGGATCCAACATAAATATACATAAATGGGTATCCAACAGTATCACGAATAAGTTGCAAGCCAACAACAGTTGCAACATCTTGGTCCGTCATCAACATTCCATCGATTTATAATCAAATGTACTGGGTGTGGTGCCTTTAAACGTGCTACGAAATGCTACGAAGGGACCTACACATGACTAGCCAATGTCTAATTTCAGGCAATTTTTGAGAACAGCCAGTCTGCACCCATAGCCATGTCTTGGAATGTACTGTGGCAAGTAGTAATACAAGCTGTAAACACACAAAAATATGTAAACATTGTCATTGAAACACTCAGAATCATCTGAGCCATTACCGTGGTTATCATAATCCCCAGTAAACCAGGTAGTATAAACCACTTTTTCGCGATCAATTTTCCTCCCATCCCAAGGTGACCTGTAGGTACTGCTCCACCAGCCCCTGTTTCACTGGTGCACCTCGTCTGGTGGTGGGGGCCATTGGCATCAAGAACTTGGATGGTAGACCAACACAGAAAACTCCAAGAAAACTCACAAACGAGATGAAACAAACAACCGGAGAAAATAATGAAACTAAGGGTAGAGTATGAGGACCTAAATCAGATACCAAACAGAATAACCATGATCTAATTATTGATATATATATATACACATATGTATAAATATAATCTGTGGATTGGATAAACATTTTCCCCTTTTTGCGAAGTTATCACGTAAAAAACGGCCAATCACTTGGGATACCAGGTTTCAAGCAACCGCTGATTGAAGGTATTTCAAGAAATACACCCTCCTGTAATCAGACATGGCTGGCTGGGAAATGCCCTATGTATAAATGGAGATTTTAATGAGAACATCAACTATAAATGGTGATTTTTTTCTGGCAAAGTGGGCATACAATGTAGACAATATCCCCAAGTCTCACTAAAAATATGGCAAAAGTCGTCCCCAAACTTTCCCCATGTCCCAGCTATTCCCAGTTTTCCGGGGAAACCAAGCGAATCCAACCTGGAAGTCCATAGAGCTGGGAAGCGATCCCCTGGACTTCGATTGGAAGTCCCCCAAAGGCTTTTCAAACCCTTCGGAACATGATCTACCATCTGGTTATGACTAACATAGCCATGGAACATCACCATTTTATAGCTAGGTAAACCATCTATTTCTATGGGCCATTTTCCATGGCTATGTTAAACTACCAGAGGGTATATCTGCTTACCGGAGGGAACTGAAACTGGCTGTAGGAATTCTGAATCGATCTGCGCCAGAAATCAACTTGGGCCTTAGATGGACCTGCACAAATCACAGGAATTGTCTGATCTGAGCCGCGAACAAACACATGACATGACATGACCTTGTGAACATGATTGTGCACAGAGGTATCTGATGGTACACACATATTCATTAGGATATGAACTGTGATAATATGATAGGGACTATGAGCTTTTGAGGATCTAAAAGAAATATAACCATTGTCATTGTATAACTCACCGAAGATGTGGGGGGCCTGAGGGATTGGGCTAACTGATGCTACCCCCATCAAACCTGGCAAAGGACATCGGTGAAATCCTCGTTGGCCGAGATCCCCATTTCTGGTGGCGTCCCAGCAGTCTGGAGGTCCCGTTGGAGGGTAACATTTAGCGGACACATCCATACCATCCACAAACCATCATTTCAAACACCATAGATCCACAGATTTGGTGCTTCAAACGCAAACCTCCATTCTTCTTGCTGAAAAACTTCCATTACATTCCCACTTTTTATTACCACCATGGAGGGGTTACATTACCCGTTTCCACGCCTGAACCTTGACAAACTCATCCAGGTCGATGGAACCGCTACCATCGACATCCTCGTGCAAAAATCCACGGGCCCACGGGCCGGGGAAGATCAGGAATATCACCATAGTCCAATGATGACGGAGATCTGTATCTATCAATATAATAATACCAATATGTATATATATATATACATATGTATGTATATATAATATGTATGTATGTATATATATAATATGTATGTGTATATACATAACACATTAATATTAATTCAATCATATTTCTTCTAATTATCAACATCTATGAACTTTTAAATATCCACCATGTTATGGCAATTATCCGATGTGTTTTTTCCGAAAATCTGGGTTTATAGAATGACACTCAAAACTGCATTCCATAAACGTCCACAAACGGATTCTATAAAGGTACTTTTTTGCGGATGATCAAAGTACTCAACTCTCCATCCAGTTGACCCAGATTGAAACCCGGCCAGACATAGCCACCGCCACCAAGGGTCGAAGGTATTGAACAAGGTCTGCATCGCAGCGGTCATCTCGATCCGAGCCTCAATTGTCTCAATCTTGAGGGGCTACTGAATTTGATAACATTAAATCAATGCTTTTTTCATCATGTTCCTTTTTCACAGTGTCATTTGGAGCTATCCTCTACTTTCAGACGTACTCTATCGTGGTCTTATACTGGTCGTGCTTATATATAATCTTATATATATATATAATTATATATATATATCCTGAGCTACAGCCGGAACATTGTGGCTCGAACGTGACCCAACAGGCAGGGAAGTAGGCCCAACGCACATTTGCAAACCGTGATGGATGCTGAATAAATCAAGAACCAAATCATTACTGGCCAACACTGGCACTGTATGAACAATTATGAACATCTTTTCTGTTGTATCATCATTTCTAGGGATTTCCTCTGATTTTTGTATATTTTTCTCCTCTATCTGTCCTCTGTTCGAAATTTCCAACCTCTACCCCTGTTGCGTCACGTGGTCCCCTCGCATCTGGTGCTTCTCGAGCTTCAGATCTGAGCGCAGCGCGAGCGCCAGCGCCCGCACGATCGTCCCATCCCCAGTGACCCTTCGCTAAATTTAACATAGCTATGGAAAGATCCACCAATTTTAATAATGTTTAATAGGTAAATCAACTTTAATAGGAAAATCACCAATTTTAATGGGAAAACTCACTATTTCTATGGCCATGTTCAATAGCAAACTGTTGACATACCCAGAGGGTAATCCACATTAAGCCAGATCAATTGCTAAGTTTAATAGTGTTTAATAGGTAAATCAACTTTAACTGGCCATGGATACCATAGCTACGATAAATCACCAGAGGGTAATATATTCAACACTTTTCAACACCAGCATTCTCTGGTCCCCAATATCTGATTTCACCCCCGATATACAGTACATCCACCATGGTTTCTGGGGGCGTTTAATGTGAACGGAGGAAGGGATTATATTTCAATTAATAGCAAACATGGATTGTGAAATTACACTAAATCGTTGAAGTGTCCAGTGCCCACGGTTTCCCCAGAAAACATGTGGCTACCACAGAGCTATTGGTCATGTCCAACGTCTTTTGGTTATGTTATATTACCAGTATCTATGGGAGTCAGATCTACCACTTTCATTTATTTTTAGATCTTCTCGGAGACCATATAGCAACCCCGAAAAAAGATAGAAAAGGAAAGCTTCACTCAAACAGTGAAGAATGCCTTCTTTTATCTTCTTTTCACATTTTTTGGGACTTTCTATAAAACCAAACTTTGCCTCAAAAACAACTCAGATCCACAGCAGAAATTCCTCCGAACCTGGACTTGTTCTGAATATCTTCAGCCTCAGAAGCGTCATGGGCAATTCAAGAGCACTTGGGGATAATTCACTGATTGGTTAATATATGTCAATATGGGGTTATAACTTGTATATACTTATTAACCAGTAAAAATATGAACCAACAACATATACCAACACATATCTGGTTGGTGTGCTGAGCCACCCGGTTGAAAAAATATAAACATATCTCCTGTCGTAAGTTGAGAGCATCCCATTTCTGGGGTTGAAATGAAAAATGGATGAACCACTAGAAAAATATTGGACGGCCCCACCTCCATTGGAGCTTCCTGTTGGGGATCTCTAAAGAACCTTATCGCTACTGTGATACTGTCCGAAGACCGCTGGCCGACAAGTTCAACGGAATCCGAATCTACTGCAGACTTGGAGAGTGCAAAAAACAACTTTGAAATATATTTGATTATATATGGTCCAAACATTATTTTTTAACATCAACGTAGTCCACGTGAACAGTGAACGGTCTGCAATTCATTTTTCAATAGTTCTACGATAGCTTTGCTTGGTAATCTTCAGGTATTTCAGGTCATCAAGCAGTTGTGCGAGCTTCGGGTTCCAGACTCTCTTCCCTGTCCTGCTGGACAATGTCGAGCGAGAGGTTCGACCACCTGAAGAGGAACCCAAAGGTGACTTATACTAGCAGTAGCTACGGCTTCCTGAAATTCAGCATGGAACCCCAAAAAAGGATCCTTTTCAAGAGGAACACGATCTTCCAAACCATTTTTTGCGATATCTTCAATTTGAGGCTTGATGCCCTGGAAAATCATGAGTGACCTCTTTCACTCCTCTGCCATCTGTGTGAACCCTGGTACCTTGGTAAATATCAAAATGCTTCGTTAATTGATATTCATCCCATCCATGGTATTTCAGGACTCATCCCCATATCCAGCACCGAATTTTCAAGGAAACAACAATTGTCGCTCATTTTTCGTGACTTGTGAACTGTTCAGAACTGGTGATTCTTTGCTTTCCACCATACTTCAAAGCCACTCTTGTAGCAACTATCTAAACAATTGAGGCGCGTATAAATTGCTTTTTCTTTATCACAAAACACGCCCTGAACATTGCCACCATCGTAGACAATGCTGCAGGTCCAAACATCCTTAACAATCATTTAGATGATTTTATATGCAGACTTTACTTCAGCTTTTTGGGTGTCAACTGGATACTGCGCTGGAATCACCCGCTTGCACTTACTTGGGGACATACTTCACCATAGTTCTTTCGGGACCCATATTACCAACTTATGGGAGTAAAATCGCCATGAAATCACCATGAAATCGCCATGAAGCTACATGATAAAACCCCAGTTCGTTAGCTAACTTGGTTTTATAACCATAAAAACAATAGTGTATGATACCTATAACATCCTATAACTATATTTAGATGGGGTTATAAACCAACAAGCATAACTGGGGGGGGGCCCATCCTGTAGTTCAATCCCATCTCCACCTCGTGAACTGTCACCTTTGGGCGTTCGATTCGAGCGTGGCGTCTCTGCCTTGGCAATGCTGGTGCTCGGCCTCGGCGGCGGCCGTGTACGGAGATAGATCATATGTGCAACTATGGTATATAGATATGTAATGTGCATATTCCATCATGTGGATATAATGCATATGCTGGTCTATTTCTATAATTTTGTATCTGTGCTGGGTGTTGCCACAGATTTGCAACAAGAAAGGTCCCTCTGCCCTGCAGCAGCCGGGAGTCCAGGCGTTCCCGGTGGCAGGAATGCCATGGATGCCGGCCTGCGATCGTGGCGAGAGAAAGATGTGGACAGCTTGCAGCTGTTGGAACTGCCTGGATCGGGATAGAATTGTGGAACATGAATGGATAGACAAGATGTATCAAACTATGACTATATAATACTGTGTATATATATATATATTATTTATATATATATACCAACCATGTATGTATATATATATAATAACTCAAACGACTGGGAATCTCACCAATCGTCACCACCAGCAATCATTAAAAAACTCAGGCCACAAGCGTCAAGCCAATAGTAGGGGATGATGACAAACAATGTATAGTGGCCACATGGAGTTATCAACACTAGCACGGACTATGCCACCAACTGATACAGTTGTAATATGTTGTAATATGAGTTCCCATTCCGTCAAGACGCTCGCCAACTGGTCGCAATTCAACAACTGAGCAGTGTGCAAACTCCTTGCCGTTCCATTATGTTGGTTGCTTAATGTCGTGATCCACATCATAGATAATGATAATCCCAGAACTAGTAGATCTCCAGAACCAAACATCAACAATCATCAACCAACAACACATATCACATAAGTATACATAAATCATATAAGTATAAGTAATACACACACATATATATATATAAGTGGGGACATATCCCATTATTATCATGATCTCTCCCATTATATTCCCATCAAAAGGACTTAATCATCGGACTTCCTGGTTTTCCATCATCGGTTATCACAATCCAAAAGAATATTAGGCAGAAGTCCGAACAAATTAACCAATGAACCAAGATGAAGCGAGGATTTTTCAGTTATATCATGTCATGAATTTTTCTTGAATCTTCATTTTTGATGGTTAAAAACCACATTAAAATCTCTATTTCATAGTCAACCAGGGTATTTCCAGTGGACCCCCAGTCCCGCTGGGCACTTACTCCAAAACCAAGGGACAGAAAAGGGGGTGGTTGTCTCGAGGGCCTGGCGTCGCAAGAGATCAATTGCTCCCAAAAAAGGAATGTTGAATCAACAAACATGTGAATAATCCTTGCATAATATATACTACTTGTTTCTTGATTGTTTATCCCCAATAAAACATGTATAATAAATAAATATCCAATAAACAATCAAGATAAATTGATATTTGTATCCCTAATTTGTTTATCCAATGATAATAAATAAACTTCTGTTCTTTGGATCTGTACTTGTTGCGTCAGATGATCCTTCTATCCCTTCTTGGGAAACAATCGCTGACCTGACCAGATATCTTCAGCATCAATTGTGCACTAGGAAACTGCAGGGAATAATATGTTGTGAACATTTACACATTTACAAGACATATCGAATATCACAACATTGACTATCACAACAAAATTCGCTTCGGCCGACCTGAAACCGGAAGCTGCAACTGATGCGTCCGCCATAGGTGCCTGGCACAACGGGATTTCCTACGGTTGAGCTGGAGGGAATCAATGCGCACACAGCGCTGGGAACACGTCTCGCACCTCCCGTTGACTGTCTGGCATGATGGGTGTCATGGAGAAGCTGAGGGGCCGCAACGGGTCATGGCTTGAGGGAGCGCGTTGCGGTGCTATCGGTAACGGCAACGGCGCCGAGCTTTGAACTTGGATCTGGGAAAAACATCTGGCAAACTTGGAACATCATCTATCTACAGTAAGTACCACAAAAAAAAAGGAAAAGAACATCCCATTTAAAATCACTAAAATAATGATGAATGACTTTTCTATCTTTTTGGGGTTGCTGTACATATCTATACATTTTCTTTCTTCGAACGTTTACTGCATGTTAATTTGCTGGAACGTCTAACAACTTCCACCAAATCTGAACACCTTCCATTGGCAGCTTCTCCGAAAGCGGACTCTTGACTGATCATGACATATCATGACTAAGAGCTGTGGTGTTTTCTGCTTGCCAGGTGGGCCAACGATTTTGATGGGATCTACTCATCTCCAAGTTTCGCCCTTCGCTTCGGGATGTCTTATCCCAGGAGCTGCTTTGGGGCGCTGAGCCGAGCATGGCGTCAGGTTGAAGGGAATATTTACAGGAACCCCTGGGTTTAATCTGGTTTTAGCATAGGGAAGGTTTCCTGCAGATTTACCTTACAACAAGTCAGTGAATCATAGTTTCAAGAAATCCATCAGCGAACTACCTCTGTAATGAGGTCATGTGGACGATGTGGATCATCACCATGGCTCTCCAAGGTTTTGTCCAAAACATTGGGTCAAAGATGGTCAAACTCCATGTCAGGGGGGGTCATTGCTTCAATCATTTAGAAAGACACCAGATCTACCAGGAATATGGGATCAAAAAGGCCAATTTCAAGGGATCATCCCGGCGCATCCCGCCGCATCGCGAGATTTTTTCACTTCGAATGAGACGAGGCAATAACCCTCCTGGAGGGACGAAGTTGCGATGATCTGAAGGACCGGCGATTTTTATATCACCCGCGAAAAGAAATAAAACACCGTTCCTTAGTTGGCCAGTGTATAGATATAAATACATATATATATAATCACATATATATATATATATGTATAACTATATATATACACGTATCATCTTCTCATATCACACTTTATAGCAACATAATAAAGGATTAAACGATCAAGTAAGGGTTTTGATAATTGTGGTGATTTATGAATAATGATGATGATGATGACGACGATGACGGCGATGATTATGATGATGATCATGATCATGATGATGATGATGACGACGATGATGATGATGATGATGATGATGATGATGATGATGTTGATACTTTAATCTCTACAACTCTTTTTCCCCTCCCACGTAGGTGTCTCTCAAATTTAGGACACCCAAAAAAATGGATTCCACATTCACATCATTCACTATGACCAGTAACTTAGATGATTTGGGGGTGCCCAAAAAACATGAGGGAGACCACCATCCCTGGCATCACCCCACTTCACCCCGGCATGTTTCATCAGCACCGGTGTGGCTCCTGCGTGGTTGACGTTTCTTTCTGACGCGCAAGAACTCATCCTGGCGGCAAAAGGGGTTAGCATATCCAAACTTGATGCTGGGTAGTGCATCCCCAAGTGGTTGGTCTGGTTTTTGCATCTTTTCGTATCCCATATCCAAACTGATTCCGACCTGCCAACACAGACCCCTCCAATTGCAAAGGAACCAGGCATGAATTTGAATTAGAACCCAGCAGGAGAGCTTTCAATTCATGACCGGGAACAAGTCAAAAGTGGGTTCCGCCACAAGTAGACGTTTGACCACAAAAAGCAGGAGTACACAGAGTTCTTTATCCGACCCAAATGGTGTGGACGGTGGGACTTGTCCGAGTCCTCAAGGTAGTCAACCACCCTGAATGCCACTGGCTTTATCCCCTCTACTTCAGGATAACTGTTAGTGGATTTTGAATTTGGTCCACCTCTCAACAGTGCGGACACAATTTTTGATGAGCCCCAAGCCACGAACCAGCCCTCGACTTATCCCATAACTGCTGTGCCCTCACCTTGGGCGCCATCTTTGGCGACAACTTCGGCGACACTTTTGGCGACAATTTCGGAGAGGCTCTCGGAGAGGCTCTCGGAGAGGCTTTCGGAGAGGCTTTCGGGGACGTAATCGGACCTGCCAGGGAGAGCGAACTCCACAGGCTTTTCGGACATGTTTGGTATGGAACATGGTGACCATGTGACTATTTGATTTGAACACAACATGTATATATATATATATGTATATTCTGATCTACATACAAAAATCTTTGGGATCCCTAATTTTTCAACTTGGTTCAGTGGGGCAAGGATCAATGAGTCACTATTTGTTCGTTTTGTTTTCCTTGGCAATTGACGACTACGGTGCTCTCGAACCATCCCCGATGTTGATGCTGACATCCTCCACTCTGATTAAATGGCTAGGTGGCTGCTGTTCCTTCAGTCCAAAACAGCGCATTTCCAAACAGCTCCCCATTTCTTCGACATGTATCCAGAGATTTGGAGAAAAATCAGGAACATCATGGAACATCCACATATTTTCCATCATTTTATATATTTTTTTTGATTTTCCACAATTTTTTTTGGTTCCAATGCAAAATCCACGTGACCTGCAGCACTGTCTGGATCCGCTGCGCCAGCGTCTTCAACGCCTTGGTCCCAGCGAAAAAATCACTGGATGTGGATGGATTGAGACACCAAAAATTTAGATTTTTGACCAACACAATGGGACAGATATGAGACATATATGGCATACATTTGGGGTATATATATATGTATCAATTATATATCCTGGATATCACGTATGATGGGGAAACTACATGAATACCGGTCATCAACGGATGGATTGAATAGAAGATTTGCATGAAACCAAGGTTTTATTGTCGAACATCGACGGTTTTCTGCGAAATTTCCCTCCAACCATTTCTGGGAAGACAGGGAAGTGGTTTGATTTTCTATGAACAGTCTTGAAGAAGCCATGACGTTTTTCACCATGCAAATATGCTGGTTTGAATTTCCTTGATTTTTCATCCTTCGACGACAGAGATTAAAGGAACTGTCTGGACAATTCTCATCCGATGTCAACCATAAGGTATGGTGAAGTCGTGTGAGATTGCTAAACATTGCCCTGAACGATATGTCTTGATTCACACTCATTGTGGGATCGATCAGGGTGCCATGGGCAACCCATCCCACAATTGGAATCCACACATACTGGGTCTATAAATCTGCCTGAAGATGAATTGATGACTACCCAAATCTGGGCAATGTGCCCAAGTATATACTACTGACAATGGCACATATCGAATCTATATCCACAGAGTCCATAACTTCTCATAACTATATCCATACATATGTATATATATGTAAATATCTTTCCCACAAATATCCATTGCATATCCACAAAAACACCATAGAATATCTCCTTTTTCAAAGGGGAATGCTTGTTGATTCAATGATGCATCTCTGAGGCTCAGTCCTTCTGCTTCCTGCGGCAGACTGAGCAAACCCTCCGGTAATTTAACGTAGCTATGGAAAAAATCCATTTATTATTTATGGTTTATTACATTATATATATATTACATATATATATATGTATTATATCTTATATATATATATATTATATATATATATCTTATATAAATATATATCTATCTTATATATATCATATATAAATCATATATATATAATATATACATATATCTTATAGATATATATCTTATATATAACTTATGTATATATATATCTTATATATATATATTAAAATACAAATCTTATATATAATAAATATTTAATATATATATATAATATAATATAATATAATATAATATTATAAAATATATATCAAATAATATAATACAATGTAATATAATAAAATATAATATAATATAATAATATAATATAGTAAACTATAATATAATATGATATAATATAATATAATATGATATAATATAATTTAATATAATATAATATAATATTATAATATAATATAATATAGTATAATATAATATAATATAAAATAATATATATCTTATATAATATAATATAATATATATCTTATATATATACATACATATATATATAATGTATATACACATACATACATATTACCATGGTGATTTTCAATAGGTACCTTGGTCTACTGGAGGGTATCAATTTTGTAAGGTATAATATCTGACGGGCACATAGCTGGATATACTTGGATATTGAACCAGCAACATGGTATACATATATATTTGGGACCGTCTGAAACTGCACCCCCCACCTCTTACCAATCTCATCTAATCTAGTCTAAAACAATCTACCATATGTATTGGTAAATCTACCTATCCATCTCTAGATGTAGAGATAGTGTAGTAACGCATCCTCAGATACACAAACAATACACTACAACAGTCCAACATGTGTATATATCTATTAGTCTATATATAAATATGAATAACGGAATATATATATATACATACAAGTAGTTGTAATGACGGATAATAAAAAACACACACACACACATATCAGTCTATAGTATAGGTAGAATTCCAATGGACATGAACATGGCATCGGCCAAAATGCATCCACAAATAAACCTCACCTCCTCTGCCACCTCCGCCATATCGACCTCATCGTCCTGACTGGTGAACTGATGCTGCCCCGGGAAAAATGGTCAACGGAGGAACATGCCAACGGAAAATGCTGGGAAACCGTATTTTTTTGATGACTTCACCTGCGACATTGGATTTCGCCAGCCAACATGTCAACTTAGCCAGCATGAATGATGGCTCAACAATGGAAAAATGGGCTTTACTTGAACACTTGAAAGGAAGCCTACATTTTTTTGCAGAAATATATGGGATTCTTCATTTTTTTTAGCAGAATTCTGGGAATGATTGAATGGTTGGTTAAGAATCTGGCGAACCGCCAAAAATCCCAAACAGTCTTGACACTTTCTGACACAGTCAAAGTGGTAATTTGTGCTGCTACTCAACTCATGTCTTGTGAAGAATGTTACCCCCCAAATTTTGTAACTCCCAGTCCGATTGCCAACTTCAATCGTCATTCATCACTCTATTTTGATCGATTTTTAAGGTAACACCCCCCAATCAATAATAATCAATAGCCAGGGCTTATCAATCTGCGGGTGACATTATACCAACTATATATAAAGCAAGCATGGGTTTGAAAAATGAGCAGCTTGGATATGCACCAAATGCGCCTCACCTAGCCAATCTTGATCAATCTTTGAACACATGAGAACTTTGTAGAAAATTAACAAGTTACATAGTAGAACATAGCATAAACTAGGATAAAGCCACTTGGATAGTTTACTAAGCTAACCATAAAAATATCATATAGCTATAATTCCTGTTTACCCATCTCGCCGTTGATCTAAGGCACTAGCGCATGACATCCGAGTTTGGGATTTTTATGGCTTGTTGATGCTCAATCTTTGATAGGTAATGGGGATCATACTGGGGTGTACAATAGATGTATGCTGTATGTCATGATGTAGGGTAAACACACATAGATTAGGAGCTGCGTTAGCCTCTTTAAGTGGTAGGTTCTGTTTTTAGCAGAAACCAATCACTAAAATGCAGAAACCATTCACTAAAATGCAGAAACCATTCACTAAAAGTGTAGAAACCAATCACTAAATTTGGGGTGTTTTTAGCAATTGTCATTGAATGCTATTGAATATAATATAATATAATATAATCATTAGAATTAGAACTATTTTTAACATTGATCATACAAGAGGTGTTTTGGGGCCAATGCCATGTTGATCACACGCAGGAAACCATTGAACATGAGCTGATCATGGCAAGTTAAACATGACCAGTTGGAACCCTATACACTGTTCAATGGTCAACGGGCCAGACTATGGACTATGGATTGGTTGGTTTGCTAATGATTTGAAACCACCTGATTCACATGATGGGTACCAATTGTAACATGAAGATTGTCATCAGAATCCAGACTCATTTCAATATTACAGATCCAAAACACTGTGAAACATGATTTTGATATCATATGCATATGACTATGATAACGATGATGATTTATGATTCATTCATTGTGTAATGTAATTCATGCCGGCATATGTGGACTCAGCTGACTTGGATTGATCATTAAGATTTTTATAACATCAACCATTCATGGCAATCCATGGTCATGATCACCAGCCGTGGAGAACAGGGGCCAGAACATCCAACAGCCACAGCTGGCTCAAAGAGGGACACTTCAATGTCCAGGAACATGGGGGAGTCAGAGTCATCTGACCAAAGCCATGGCTTGGTGAAAGCCTTGATTGGTATGGTCAGCGACGAGGAGACGTTAGATGAACCTCCGAACCTTTTCTTATTAAGTGGTACTCAGGAGCGACTTGAACCCAGAATAGGATGGCAGGGCCAGTGTGACAACAGCCAGTATTTCAGATTGTTTGTGGCCAATGTATTCAGTCCCAATCCACCAAAGGTGCCCATCAGACATGAGATGCTCCATATGCATCCGAAATCCACAACCCACGAAATCACACAGTTTGGGTTTTGTGCATTCTAAGGTCTCATGTGATACTCTTGGTTTACCAACACTTCCATCACATTACATTACCTACTTACTCGTCTCATGTGTTACCCTTGGTATACCAACACTTCCATTACATTACTTTACTAACTTATTGTATTGGAATAGTATTGGGACCAACCCGGCTATTCTTATGTAATAGTGCGTGAGTCAGACTTTAATCATGATCCAGCAAAGAAATCTTGAAACTTATTTTTTTCTACAGATACAGTCTACAGTTACATAATACATCATATGCCACATGCTCACTTTTCAGAGTTGTGGTCCTTGCTTGGGCCAGCCCAAGTATGTAAGTATGTTTGCTGCACACTGCATACTGCCACACGAGGTATGCAGGAGCCAGGGTCAGCCAAGCACACTATCTGTACTATAGCCCAAGATGGCCATTATCCAGGATCCATGAAATGGTTGCGCCATATCACCATCAAAACCTCATCATAGGCCATTGGAAACCGATTTTTGAAGGGGCCATCCAGATGTGTTCCTCTACCACTCCATCTCCATCCATTGAGCCGACTCAGGATCATGACAGAAGGGGTCGTGAGGGAACCCGAAAGTTTCAAGTGAGCCCAGTACTATGCCAGCAAGCTGGGCCTGTCTTCGATGGAGGGCAAGGTCGGCAACGTGAGGTCACATGTCTGAGATTGATAGGATCTACTAGGAATGTATGTGATTCCTGCCTCATGGTGAAACACAAACACTTTTGTGATCAAGCCTCCATCATCTTAACTTGGGTTCTGGTTTGATGACGAGGTTTGCTTAGACTAAAGTTTCTGGGTGGTTTCGGTTTTCAAACGTGCAGTGGTCAAATCCCATCTCACATCTGTGTGAAGTGGTTATAAGAGTATTAGTATTTTAAGTACAGTATAAGTGATAAGTTTCACTGATAGTTCACTGACGCCTTTTAAGAAACATCCGGTCCTTGTAAGTTATTCGAAAAGGACAGGCAAAGTTTAAGCTGCAAACAGTAGTCTCGTGCACACCAGGTTTGACATATGCGAGGGCTGTGCTGGAGCTGCAACTGGAACCTACGCCATGAGTCTTGGCTGCGGCGTGATGCCATGTACCCATTTCAGGCGCTCAGTCCAACTCCTTAAACAACTCCCGGGTCTTGACATGTTGTTTTTATCGTGTCCAAGGAGGGAATTGGCCGAGTGCCTTGGGTTCTCCTTCCGGACCATCTCAGTTTCAGAGCCCATGGAAATGAAGAAGAAGTTCATCAAAGCCAACTATCCCGGGACCAGTTTCTCAGCGAAAAACCATGGGGGCACTGGATGAGAATATATGCTGCATTGGAGTAGTTTAGATGGCAAAGACTGCAATCAGCCAGAGCCAGGTGCTAATCAAAAACGCTTCTGAACTTCTGAGTTGTTAGATTTTATCAGAGTTGTTCTTCTCCTTCTTCTTCTCCTCTTCCTCCTCCTTCTCCTCCACCACCTCTGCCTCCACTTCCATGTTCACTGCCGCCTTGCCAACTCTTCGCCAAGCTCTTCCCCAACTTCCGCACGCAGTGGGCACTGCTGGACCTCAACTGCAAGGGTCTGAGCGCACTGGGCACCGCTGGACCTCAACCTGGGACCTTCCGAGCTCAGTGAGCACTGCTGGACCTCAACCTGGGACCCTCCGAGCTCAGTGAGCACCGCTGGACCTCAACCTGGGACCCTCCGAGCTCAGTGAGCACCGCTGGACCTCAACGGCCAGATAGAATGCCAGAAGATATGCCAGATAGAACGCCAGATAGAATGTGCCAGAAGAAAGAATGCCAGAAGATATGCCAGATAGAATGCCAGAAGGTATGCCAGATAGAATGTCAGATAGAATGCCAGAAGGTATGCCAGATAAAGTGCCAGAATGTTTGCCAGAACATATGCCAGAAGATTAGAATGCCAGAAGATATGCCAGAACATATGCCAGAAGATATGCCAGAACATATGCCAGAAGATATGCCAGGTAGAATGCCAGAAGATATGCCAGATAGAATGCCAGAAGATGTGCCAGAACATATTGCAGATTCAAGCTTTCGTCACGAACATTGGGGAGATAGTGACCAAAGTTTTGACCCATGCTTTCAACAGTCCTTCCCGTGGAACTACGGAAAGGGAGACCATTCAATTTCTGAGGATTTTCAACCAGGAAACCTTGCGAACCATGGGCAAAGAGCCAACCCTCCCACTTCCGGCCAAGGACCGTGGTTCCATATCTTTGTCGGTCAGTTTCTGTTTCCAAGGCCCCTTCATAACATGTAAAGAAACTAGTCACTAATTCTCAGAAACCAATCACTGTTTTTTCAAGAACCAATCTCAAACAGAGAGACAGCATCCATCCAACCAACCCTTGTGCTTTGTGAATCCAAGTAGATCACCAGTAGATCCCACTAAAAAATTCCACCAGCTCATGTGGCAAGATGGCAAAACCTCTGAAGCCCGCAAAAAGATTGTGAAATCCATGAAGAAAGAGCTTGGGTTGGCTCCATATGGGGATTTGCCTTCATACTCTGCCACCTTCTTGCCAGATGAGGTAGCAAAACTGCCGAACAAAAGGGAGAAGGAGTCACTGGACATCCAATGGGCCATACCCCAAGTTTCTCAGATTGAATTTTGTTGGGATGGGCTGATGTAAATGAAATGATTTTTCAAATGGCTCCAAATCGAATGATGATGTTCAATGATCAGTGACCAATGGATTCATGATTAAGTTAAATCAAATGACTTGATTACATGGTCATATGACTGATGTGAATCATTTATGTTGGTTTCATGTTAATATCATAGTTTGGAAGGTACCTTGATATGAAGGACATCAGTGATTAGTTGGGAACCGCTGGAAGCCGCTTCCAACCAATCACGGGTGATTAGTTGGAAACCGCTGGAAACCGCTTCCAACCAATCACACGCCCAAACTACCACCCCCCCGATTTTTTTGCAAATAGTTTCTAATGGTTGGAAACCGCTCGAAGCCGCTCACTGATTTTTTGATCTTGGTAGGTTGTGTGATTGGTTGGAAACCGTTGGAAGCCGCTTCCAACCAATCATGGGTGATTAGTTGGAAACCGTTGGAAGCCGCTTCCAACCACTCACTGTCAAGGCTAAACCTATCATATGTTAAAAATATGTTATTAACTTAAAAAGCTAAGTAACTAATTCAAAATTTATAGCTCACTTATAACTTATAACTTAAAAACTTATAACTTATATAATATAACTGAAATATATTTTTAAAAATGCTTAATATATACTTACTTAAAACTTATTTGTTTCTTTTGGCAAAGCTGCATGCAGAATGAATGAAGTATGGTTTGGTCGAAAGTAATCAAGATTTGTACATATTCGTGTGCAACATGTGTTTTGTCATTAGATATTGATATGCATGCATGCTGCATGCCATATCAAAAACCGATGGACAATAACACTTGGCATTAGTAAAAATTGTAACTAGTTGTACCTTGTAACTGTATAAGTAGTTTTTTTGTAAACTGTATAACATGTCATGTGTTATGTGAAACATGATGCATCATATGAACATAAAGTCTGATATATACACTATGATGCTGGTTGATTATTGGTTGACACGGAGGGAGGAACTGACTCTAAGTTAATCATTGTGTATTTTCAACTCGTGACATGGTCCCGCCATTGTCTTGCCCATGATGCTTCATTAGCAGTTCATAAGAACAGATGACGTATGATATGTATAAAATATTTTATTCCCCACCTGCCAGGTGAGGGTTGTTAGATTTTATCAGAGTTGTTCTTCTCCTTCTTCTTCTCCTCCTCCTCCTTCTCCTCCACCACCTCTGCCTCCACTTCCATGTTCACTTCCGCCTTGCCAACTCTTCGCCAAGCTCTTCGCCAACTTCCGCACGCAGTGGGCACTGCTGGACCTCAACTGCAAGGGTCTGAGCGCACCGCTGGACCTCAACCTGGGACCTTCCGAGCTCAGTGAGCACCGCTGCACCTCAACCTGGGACCCTCCGAGCTCAGTGAGCACCGCTGGACCTCAACCTGGGACCCTCCGAGCTCAGTGACCACCGCTGGACCTCAACGGCCAGATAGAATGCCAGAAGATATGCCAGATAGAACGCCAGATAGAATGTCAGAAAGAATGCCAGAAGATATGCCAGATAAAGTGCAGAATGTTTGCCAGATAGAATGCCAGAAGATATGCCAGATAGAATGCCAGAAGGTATGCCAGATAGAATGTCAGATAGAATGCCAGAAGGTATGCCAGATAAAGTGCCAGAATGTTTGCCAGAACATATGCCAGAAGATTTGCCAGATAGAATGCCAGAAGATATGCCAGATAAAGTGCCAGAAGATATGCAAGGTAGAATGCCAGATAGAATGCCAGAAGATATGCCAGATAAAATGCCAGAAGATATGCCAGATAAAATGCCAGATAGAATGCCAGATATGCCAGAAGATACGTCAGATAGAATGCCAGAAGATTTGCCAGTAACAAAAGGTATACGGTAGATGTCATGGTGGGGAAAACTCGAAGTAAAGTAATTATATAATATATAACTTATAAATATAGAATATATCATATCTATCATTTTATTTTGAGTGATTTTTTTAATGAATACAAGAAAGCGATATATGACAACAGAACATCAACATTTAAAATTTGAAGTGTGCTCAGAGCATACTCATTTCTGCCCTGGTCGGACTTTTGGTCTAAGTTTACTCATTTTAGTCTGGTCCATATACCATCATGCTATCTACTTCAACCACGCACAACCCCACTGATAAGATTCACTGAATATCAAATGTCCAAGGAAGGCCAGCACCAAAGCGGAGAAGGAAAAGGATCAGAACGCGGCTGTCAAGCAGAAGAGAAAGAAAGGTGACAAGGCTGAGGAAGAAGAGCCGGCTCCAAAACCGAAAAGTCGCAAAAAGTGACTGATTTTTCTTGAGCCCCTGGATGGTAGGGAGTACTGACCAAATCAGTAAGCAGAGATCCAGGACATAGAATTTTGGACCAGTGGACTCAGTAGACAGTGTCAAGCTGGTGGCAAGCTGGCCATTGTTGTGGCTTGATGGGATTTTGAAGAAACACATCTGAGCTTAGATTAGAGCATCACCCAGGACTTAAGGCATATGTTGGAAAGGCACCGCCGCTCTGTCTACTCTTTTGCTTGAAGAGATCAGAGACCAATCTCTTGGAAGAGACCGGGGCCAAAGGCAAAAGAGAGGGGGCTACTGGAGTGGGTTGGATTGGCAGGTTGTTCCCAAACCCAATTGGTTTGATAACTGCATTGCACACACTTACTGAAGTATCAAAACATGAGCCACACACTCCACACGCATCTCATGATGTTAGGATTCCTGTCTTGGTTTATATTTTGTTTGTTTTGGTGAAGATTGCTTCTTTTTTCTCTAGTTTTTTGTGATTAGTTTCTTGTTTTGTTGTGATTAGTTTCTTGATTTTTGTGACAAGTTTCGAATAGTTTCTTACAATTTGTGATTAGTTTCTCATATTTTGTGAGTAGTTTCTTGTAAAAACAGGTAAACAGGCTGAAGCAGGTCCCAACACATAGATGTGCATGTAGATGATTCAAATTTAACTCTCAGCCTTAATGTGATTTCATGAAATGTAAAGGAATGGAAAGCAATGTAGAGTAATGTAGAGCAAATCAGGCAATGTGGTGTGTGTACCGTAATTTAGTGGAATGCAATGCATTACAATGTACTGCAGTATAATGTAAAGAATTGTAAAGATATATAGTGTCAGCCCCCTGCAGGTTCTAAGTCGGTTGTTTCACCTGATTCGGCTATCGATCAACAAGGGGGACGAAGCTATGGACCAATGGAAAATGTCCCTTTTGATGCTTTACCAATTCGCAAAGGTGCTTTTTCATGCTTTTTCCATGGACATGTGAAAGTGACAATTTGGAAGACACCCCAACATTTTCAATTTTCTATGGGGAAAAAATGATTTGATTTGATGATAAACTTGATGATATTTTCAGACAGACCCATTGAGATTTCCACCGCCTCTGGGTCCTCTAGGTCTTCGGGCAAAGGCTTGTGCTTGGGTGCCCGAATCTGTGACACAGGCGTTCGAGGAAACCATTGGAAAATGGCAGATTGGTTCGGAAACACAAACGAATGCTGGTCCCAGGGTCCCATATCTCAGATTTTCATGGGCTCAAAAGGACAAGTTGGCCAGCTTGCTGCGAGTTGGTGGCTTGGTATCAAGTTAAATGAGCACTGATATTGGTAAAACAATAATCAACCATGCCCAATTTCACCATAAATAGGTGGTATAAACCATTCTGAAATGGTGGTTTACTATTGTTTTTCCCACATTACTCGAATCCTGAAACTTCAAAACCTCTCCTTATCACCCTACTGCCAGACCACTCAGACCACATTCCCAAGACTTACTCCACAATGGGTCAATTCACGGTACCCTCCGGTGTCATCAAGCATGGCGGGCCACTAGGAAATCCTGCAACTAAATGGGCGTTTACATGGGAAAATCATCCATAAACAAATTGGGGATATTTCATCTAGCCGCTAGCCATCCAGCTGTTGTATCCCAAAGTGTTTATACCTATAAGATCCTATAAGGTACTACGCACGTTGAATGCTAATGCCACTTGACGTTGTCCAAAAAGTGCTGAAGTGTCCCGTTTCAGCATCCGTTAGACACTCATCTTTATCAACCATCGATTTATTTGGTGCTGAAAATCCACCAGTTGATTGGACATCTTCCATCAAGAGGTTCATTTCCTGTTGACTCAGCTTCTTGTTAGTTTACATCATTTGCCTGATTTCTGATATGGTGGTCCTTCTTCGTTAGGTGACATTTCCCGTTCAAATGGCTAGCACTTGCCTATCTATACTGTGATGGACCCATACCAGCTGCAAAATAGGGTTGCCACTTGAATAAGGTGAAATAACCGACTTGGAACAGGTAGCGGGCCGTTACGTATATTGTATCTTTACATTGATATACATATATATATATATATATGTATGCACACATTACATTGCATTACTTCACATTACTTGACATTGTTCTTCAGTACTCTACTTTGCTTTGCACTCCTTTACATTACACGAGAAATTCAAGTTACCACTGACATTTACCCTTACATTATTGAAATGCAAATCTATGTATGTTTACCTTTCGTGTGACATACATGTATTGTAAGATATTGAACATCCCAACATTCAGGTCCCAAAATACCCGAACTTTTGTCTTTGTCTGAACATATGGCACCCTGTGGTTTGATGGTTAGTCAATTAATCAGCGGTTTCTTTTGTTCATGGCCATTTATATATTTGGAGGCTGTACATATCTATGCATCCCATTTTCACAGACAGCCAAATATCCTAGTGTTGGTCATCTATTCCTATCAATATCCCATGATGATCGTAACCATTAACCAATTGTAGCACACCCCAAAAAGATATGAACAAGTGTTTCCAAGATGGTACTACCATGACCTTTTCCCAGATTTTCCAGGAACCCAGGAACTTTTCTATCTTTTCTGGGGTTACTATACAGTATATCAAATGAACCGTTATTCACCCATGGACATAGAAACCACTTGTAGGGACCACTTTTCGCAGCAAAACTTTGGCGGAAGCCAAGCGCGCACCCGTTCCGGTCGACTGGACAAGCCGGCGCGATCTAGGTCGAAGTGGACGACATGAGGGGAAGTACCTGGGAGGACCCAGCGTTCTTGGATGAATACATATGAATACTATTTGGTGATTTATCACATGCTGTCACGAACGATGAGTTCTATAGTTTATGGTAGATATACCTGTACTTGATAGTACTGAATGATACTTGACTTAATGATGAATAGATTGAATAGATTACCTATGTTTATTGATTGGTGGGACAATGGGAATAGGATGGGACTATGGAATCTCCGCCAGAACTTTCCATCCCAAGGGTCCGAAGGGTCCGAACAGGGTCTGAAGGGTCGCGGCGCACCCAACTCCCTGGCACTGCTGGACACCTCGTCGTGAAAGAACAAGTTCGTGGTCATGGGCCTGGCAGCTGCGCGGCTGTGCGGCGGCGAGTTTCGATGGGGATTTCCGGGGAAAAATCAGGATTTCTGATGTGGGCCCCTCTGGTTAAACAGTTTGCGAACTGGAAGCAATGGCCCATAGAAACAGATGATTTTCCCAGCTAGAAACCTCCATTTACAATGGATTTTACATGGCTATGTTAAATAAACAGATAGTATATACAAAATTATACAAATATATTCAATGGATAGTTAAACGCCAAGTCTTTGGGAATAGTTTCTGGGGAGATTCTCACAGGGATTTCTAAGTCTTTTTTTGGGTTGGGACTTGGATGGCATACAATGGAGAATTGACCAGCAAATGAATGGCAACACCAATTCATGGCTATTTGAAGAGGAATGTGATGATGATAAGCCGGATTTGGGGGTAGCCTATAATATCCTATAATCCTATATAATCCAGACCTATAATATCCTATAATATCCTTAATATATAAGATCCTACTACCATGTCCTCCAAACATCAGTGAAGCTGTGGTGGATCTGTGGCCAATGGTCGAGTCATTGGTGAACCATTATTCCAGGCTTCAGTCGCCACGTCCGGCACGTGAAGTCGCCACATAACTTACCCAAACAGATGTATCTAAGTATCCTAAACCACATAGTTAACCTAGTTCATTGCACTAAGATGATCTAAGTATCTACAGTAAAACCTTGGTCAACCTATGTTAACCTAGTTGTTTACAGCAACATTTCCGGACGCTACCAGCGTATTCGTAAAGCGCGCGCCTCATGTGGCGCCCCTTGAAGCGCCATGCTTCGTCCACCAAGAGGCTGGGTGTGGGAGTCTCCAGGCCCTGTTCCGACGGAAGTCGCCCCGAAATCACGGGCTATTTTAAGAAGGTTTAATGAAGGTTTTATAGGGGTCTTATAGGAGCTAAGTTGCCTTATAACATCTTATAACTTACAACTATAGTTAATGGGGGTTATAATGGTTTTATAGAGGTTTTATAGGGTTTAATGGGGTCTTGAAGGGATCTTTTCAATCATGTCCTATCAACCAACCAATGGGAAAAAGGACATCTATCGATCCTATAGGGTGAAAGTCAGAGAACTCATATGCCCCACGGCCCCACCTTTTTGAATTGTGACAATCCACAATCGACCCTCTGGGTAATCCATGAGTCATTGGGATTTTCGAAACAAATTAACATAAATTGAACAAGTTGCATGTATTGAATCTGAAGATTTTCGAAAATGATAGGGGGTTATGATGAAGGCAAGACAATTGAACATAACAACTAAGGAAAAAGGTAAAATTAGCAGACGAACAAAAAGAACAAACCAAGGAAAAAGGGAATTGACCAAACCAAAAAAGGAATCAAACCTTTCGAAGCATTGGAATCTACCGACAGAATTGGGGTGTTTTGTCAATATTTTCTGACTTCTTTTGGGTTTGACATGGTTTGAGTTTAAATTGTACATAGGCCCCAAAGCAGTGCAGTCATCATTGCCAGTAGGTCGTCATTTGAGGATGGACGTAGCTATCGTGTAGCCATGAACCCCAATGATCACTGAGTAGCAACCCCAGATAGTACAGTAAAGTCGTACTAAAACATACATATGACATATATATATATATTATACACATAAATCATGATAAATCTTGTGCCAGATTGGCAAAAAATGGAAGTATTGAAGCACCCTTCACCAGCCGGTGAAACCCCATGACCCGAGAAACGGGTGTGTCAACAGGCTAATCCATTGGGATTGCCATTCAAATGCTAACAACAACAATGTGTTTTCATCATTGTCCTCATTGAAGTGGCCATTCAAATGCGAAGAATTCCATGTTCTCTCATCCTTTCCATCAAAACGGCCAGCCACAATTGGTGGGTACAATCATTTCATTTCTGCGATGAACCATACTGAACCCATATAGCATGGTGTTGGTTTAATGTATATTATCTATTAACTCAATTTAACTCGTATAGTATCCCCTCATTCCCCCATCTTATCCACTTCCCCCTAGCCTCGATCTGAAAGTTACTCGTGGTGGCAAAGAACTGCGAATTCTGCCCAGGCGAGGCGCAGGTCGCGGCGTGTCGCGTCGCGTCGTGGCACATGTTTTTGGATGACGTCGTGGCTACGATGACTAGGCACCTGAGATCTGGACTTGTTGATGGTTTTATATACCTGTTGGCACTTGTGCATAATTGCTGGTACTTGTTGGTTTGTTCATCCTAGCTCCCCACAATTGGCTGAAGGGAACATTTTGGTTGAAACCACAAGTTGTACCAATAATGGTTTCCAGCCAACATTTTGTTTGAATCCACCTGTCGAATACCCTAAATAGGATGGTATAACATCAGCATGGCAATGTCTGTAGGATCTGTAGGTGGGTCTTACCCGCAAAATGAGATGATTCATACGTATCCATCATATCCAACAATCTCTAGTAACCGCCAAAAGGATACAATAACATTTTACCACTGTTTCAGCAACTAGAATATTTCAGATGATTTTACAATTTTCTACATCTTTTTTGAGGTGGCTATGGTAAATCTTACCCCACAGAAAGCCTCTCGAAGCTTTCCAAAGCGGTCGAAACTGAGGGTCTGTCGGATCGTGCCTCCAATTGGGGGAATCTGCACAACACCAACACCTGCCACATCGTCGTGTGAGTTGGAAGTTTAGGGGCTAGAGCTATGGTGACATGTATCGACAAACAGTTCACCCAAACTGCCCAAGACTTGAAAATTTCTGGACTTGACCGAAGGTAGTTGATTTTCTTCCACAAAAAACATCACTCAAATGTACTCAATCAACGTAGTTCGTTCACAAGATGATGTGGCTCAAATGGGTTTGTGACGAATGACGACTGATTGCTTTCATAGCGGCTCACATCATCTGGAGTTGTGACAGTCTATTGTTCTGGACAGTTCTTTGGATGTTTGTGCATCGAATTACATTCATGTTTGGTCGATTTAAATCGATTTAATCCAATTTTTAGTTGATAATTATGTGCTGGTTGGTTTGATATGCTTTGATTACATTCATCATCTACTGTACCCTCTGGTAAACTAACATAGCGAACTGGAAAATCACCATCATTTAATAGCTAAATCAACGAACTAAATGTGCCATTTTCAACTTCTCGTCATCAAATATCCCGGTTGACTTTTACTGTTCGTTTCCTCTTCCAACCCCTTTTTGTTATGTCCCAACTCCCTGTCCCGGTTGGAGACAAAAACGGATTTCTTTACACTTTAAAGCTAAAACCGTCAGAAACCATTTCGGAAAAACATTCGATGTGGTTCATTGCTTGCAAAACCATTTTGCAGCTTGGTAAAACTGAAATATTTGGGCATAGGGCACTTGTTCATGTGCCGAAGACATGTGCAGTAGCATGTATGTAGCATGTATGTAGCATGTCTGTAGCATGTATCAAACAATGGGACATGCAGCATGTATCAACCAAATACACTGCCAAATGAAGCGAATACAACATCAATCTTTCATGTGTCAAAACCATTCAAAACCCTGGTACCCTTCTGTTAAGATCAAAAAAGGCTTGTAAATGGATGTCCATCCTCCCAAATGGAGGTTTCCTAATGGGGGTACCCCCAGTTCTCATCCATCTTAGTAGGATTTTCCATGAAATAAACCATGCAGCTATTGGGGTACCCTCATCTATGGAAACCCAAACATTTATCGATGCCGACAGGTCCGGTCAGCACCTCTTCTCCAACCTTTGCTTCGCTGGCCCAGCGCGCCGGCTCGGGGCGCGGCATGGCGCGGAGCGTCGATCATCCAAGGCTTTTGTTCGGCTATCAACACTTGGTTTTTCCAGGTTTCCTAAGTTGGTTAGTTCACAATCCCCAAAAACCCAGGTAATTAGTTTGTTTGCCTACCATGGGTTGGTATCCCCAAGTTTCAAATACCATCAAATACCCAGGTTATGTATAGTTCGTATAATTTCCATATAGCAGCCACTAAACCGAGGTATGTTTTTATTTCTCACTGAGGTACTGGGATGATCGAGAAAACTAGAACATGGATAAATGCTGGCTACACTCTCGATGATGGTTGTAAGTGGGTCAAAGAATTCTCCGGGTAACAGCGCAAGTTGGACCATGGTTGCAGCAGGAAATACTGTGGGTGGAAGAAATCCCGCACCAGTTGATAGATGGTTTATCCCATTACTTATAGGGTTTCAGCCATCCTTTTGGTGGTGCAGGATTTCGCAACCATCCATAGTAGGTCTTAGATGGTCTGGATGATGGTCTTACCAGTACCATCATGGTGCCACGAGTCACGGACGTTTACACATGGCAACATCTGGGACCGTCATTGAGGGGACACCATTTTTTGTGTTGAACATTCAAGTGGATATCACAATAAAAATTGGGATTGAACATTTAAGTGTTCTCACTTTTTGAACATCCAAATGAATGTTTTGGGATTGTTCTCATTTTTTCAGAATAATCCAATGTTTTTTTTTGGTTTGGGACTCTGGTACTCAAACTCACTATATCAGCACTTTAAACTACTCACTTGGGACTCTGATACTCAAACTCACTATATCAGCGCTTAAAACTATTCACAAAGTGTTGCGCACTTTCCATCACTCTTCGTTTCTGCGAAGCTCAACGGATTTGAGCCGTAGCAGACTCCCAATCTGTGACCAGTCGGCACCAGCATCTGCTGGCGGTTTGAATGGCCATCAATGAGACCTCTCAGGAAAAAATCTCAGGTGGCATAGCAACCGAGAACAGAATCAATCAGGGTGGAAAGGCCATAGGTATCCACAATTACGTACAGCATCGCAAAGCTCATCATCTTGAACTTGAGAAAACAACAGGCCGTCTGGGTGTAGTCAATAGCAAGAAGTGGCTTCAGAGACTGCAGGGAAACCGCGCTTCCCCAAACGTCGCTTCCACTTTGGCGAACAACTAAACAGTTATCTTGAAGCCTTGCCAAGTTCAATCCCTGTTGTTGTTAGGAGAATCCCTGTTTGTGCAGCACATATGTAATCATATGTGTTATGTATTATATATATATAATATGCGTATTATGTCTTGTTATGTATTAATGATAATGTATACGTACTATAGACATGGCTAATTCTCCACAAACACCCTGCAAAATCACACTACAAGTATGTCCGCTGGTTAGGTTCATATACCCCATATTCAAAGCAAACAAATCCGGTAATCGGTTTCACGGCTTGCTGAAAAATGACCATCTTGATGATTTTTTCCAGCTAAAAAACTCCATTGCTGGAGGATTCATTGCCATGTTTGACCGGAGAGTATTTTCACTATATCCCAATCATTGTTGGTTTCCCCTGAACCAAAGAATTCTTCGAACTTCTTCCAGCATCCCCTGGCCATCCTGGCCACGATCGATTTTCATCGCGTGGGTTCAAAGGCCAGCAGCATTCGCACCGTGCCGTGCGACGTCAATGCCTGGCCGCATTGGGATCATTTGGATGACATCCTGGGGTAAACCAACGATGTGGAACATGGCCCATGGATAATTTACCGATGGAAAATGATGCTTTTCCACATCTATGTCAGTTTACAGGAGGGTAAACAATGGACTAATAATGGGTTGTTCATGGCATTCTGGGTGATATACCTACAATTGAGCATGATATGGGGCTTACTTTCCTTGAAATTAGCGCTTCGATGTGCTGTTTACCCACCATTTTTCTAGATTCTTTTCCTATAGGTAAACCATAGGTAAATTCCACATGTTGCCGTAGGTTTACCCTGGGGATCCCGTGATTGATGGATAATACTGGGTTTTCAACCATGAAGCATTTGGGTTCAATGAATGTTTTAGTCATGAAAAACGGCTTGCGAAAAATGGTGATACCACTGACACAATCAACAAAAAAACAGATGAATCTGGTTACTATGACCATGAACCATGGGGATACACTGGATATAATCAGTGGAAAGACCTGGTAGATGATGGGGATGCCAATCCCCTGTGAAACACGAACTCGGCACAGCCTTTTGGACCCAAGCTATGAGGACACTCCACCTCATCAGATCTCCCGCAGATATTTGTGCCAGCTATAAAGTGATTACCTGGTAACAAAATGCAACAGACACATGAAAGCTGGTTAGTACGTATTTTATTCATATCATTCATAGCCAAAGGCCAAAAGTACGGTGGTTGCGAAATCCACCACCAAAAGAATGGCTGAAAGCACAAAATAATGGGATGTTTACCATCTATCAACTGGTGCAGGATTTCTTCCACCATCCACAGTATTTCCTGTTGGAAAAGCCGGTCCTCCCAGGGGAACGCCATTATCCCGAGCACCTGTTGAAGCAATGAGCCTCGAGCAACACGCTGCAAACTGGCGCAAACACATCCTGCAGAGGAAGCCGTTTCGCAGTGATATGTGGCTCTCTGGTCAGCAAAACCTGACCAAATCCCCTGCAAACACATCAAGCTGGAAGTTATGGATGTTGTATTTTGATTCCAAGGACTCAAGTGAGACCTATTTCAATCATCTGGAAACTGCTATATACCCTCTGGTAATTTAACATAGCTATGGAAAATCACAATTTTTAATGGGAAAATCCACTATAAATGGCCATTTTCAATAGCTATGTTAAATTACCAGAGGGTATATACATGAAAGATCATGAAAGTAGTTTGGGATGCTACTTGGCACCCTCTGCAAGAATCTCCAAGGATTTCCGCTAAGTTGCGTCCCATATGGAGGTTTCCTAAGTCATGGGGGTACCCCCAGTTCCATCCAGCTATGGGGGGTACCCCCATGACTTAGGAAACCTCCATATATATATATATGTATATATATGTATATATATGTATATGTATATATATATAAATAAATATTATACCCATTATCCCATGATGTTCCCATTCTTATCCCATCATTCTCCCATTGGAATCCCATCATTCTCAACCTTGGTAGACTCCAGCAGCTCCGGACCTCGAGGCAATCGCAGTTGCATCGCAGCCATGGGTTCGTCTGGTTCCGCACAACCTCGGCAGTCGCCTGGGCGAAGCGGCGAAGCGTTTCTGCTTCCCCAAAGTTGGGACCACTGGGACATCACTAGATACGAATCTTCCGGGCCTTGCACGTACTTGTTGGTGTATCTATCTATCTATCTATCTATCTATCTATCTATCTATCTATCTATCTATATATACATATATGTACATATCCCCATTTCTAGTCTTTTGCATGCCCTTCTGCTGATGCTTCTATCATAGGCCAATCTTGGATACGCTGCAACAAATCAGACTTTTAAGTGCAACAAATCATATCTCCATCAAAATGGTAAAATGCAAAAGGTTAAGTTGTACAAAATCAACCGGTCAGTTTCCGGGGTAAAACATCAACATTCTATTTCATTCAAAACGGTTAGTGTATGTATATGCATGAATATATATATATATATGTATGTAAATAAATATATGTATATATATATATATGTATATATATATATATATATGTATATATATATATGTATATACACATATCCTTGTGATATTGCATTCTTGGCTATCGCCCCCCTGTTTCATGGCCAAGCCATTCACCCTTTTTCGCACCTGGAAAGGCTTCAAGGCCACACCAGACCAAGACGTGAACCCAGGCGCTCTCGGGCAAGCTGTGGCCGAGCCTAGAGATCCGGGCTCGGCTGGGCGGTTTCCCCAGCTGGTTTCCTCATGGGTAGCCCCCAGCTGGATGGTTTACGCCTTAAAAATCCTTCAAAGAACATGGTCATCATATAATGAATCCATATATTGGATGATCAGACGATGATCATTAATCGTTCATCCAATCATGGATCATCATATATTTCATAATGAAAATCTGAAAAGAACATGGATGATTTGGGGGAAAGCGGACACGGCGGACACGTTTTTGTTGATGATGAATATATGATGAACGCACAGTCCTATGAATCTTTCAAGTGGAGAGTTGTTGGTCAAAATTTGCCTCGAAGAAATGGAACACACATCAAAGTGTATTGAGTAATGATATCGACGACATTTGCTTCCAACCAGCCAGGTCACATGAGGTCTGCTGGAACTGAGACACGAGGCATGGGCAATCCCAAGGAACCAAGTAGCAGTTGGGCGTGTCAAATACAAGTCTCCCATAGATTGGGTCGTCAACCTACCCCCCTTCCCAGCAACAAACCACCACCAACCCACCCTTCGCTGCCGCAACTTTTTCGGCTTCGGCTTTCTCTCTCCGCTGCTTCAACACCTTCAACCTCCTCTGCAAGTAATTCTTGCGCTTCCACTCCCAGCGTCTTCGCCTTTCATCCAGTCTTCGCTTCCACAAGGGCAGCAGCCTTTGCTTCAAACGGTCTGCAAGGTCTGTAACCGGAAGGCTGCCCCTTTTCTGCTGGAAAGCGTTCATGCCTTGTGTGGTATCGGCTCGTTGCATATTTCTCAGCTCCCATAACCTGTTGGATGTTTGAAGCTTGAAATCAGCATCCTATTTTGCGAGAAAAAAACACTAGCGGTTGGACACACAATGTGGGTGAAACAATAAACCATCCCCCAAATCACCATAAATAATTAGGTGGTATACACCATTCCCAATGGTTTATTATCGTTTTACCATGTTTTACCCACATATAACATATTTGAAACCAGCCAGCAACTGAATGCGTTTGTCTCGCTCTGGCTGCGACGAATCGTACAGCCTTCTGACTCTGGCGAGGCTCTGATCTTTGCTCATTCCAGCCTTTTTTCGCGATTCCAAATGCATGGCAGGTGCATGAATGGATTACACATGTTACACCTTCAAAAATCAGCGGTTTAAATGGGAAACACAATGATAAATCACTGCAAATTAAGGGTAGCATCTTTTCAAACAACCCCAAAATATGGTCCAACATGTTGTCAATCTCATTCAGCCATTGAGGCAATGTAAAACAACCACATTTGCCAATGTTTAAGATTCTCGTACAGGCTCAATCATTCTGACTTGATTCCGCGAGTCGGCCACAATCCCGATGCTTCATCATCCCAAACATGGTCCAACATGAAAACTATGGCTGAAACATGCTGAAACCACCAAATATCTAAAATCAATCACCATCTCCATACCCCCATTTGGATGCCCACTTAAACAAAACAATGAACATCCAACGATAGATGTGTCAACTGTGCCTTGGACCAGATCTCAGCATACAACACCTGAAACATCTCGAAGCACTCCTGGAGATGCACTGGACTCTGCTTCGCCAGATAGACGGGCCGCCGTCCGCGACCGATGAAATGACTGCCTCAGTGACTGCTTGCGCGCTGCTTGAGCTTGAACCCTGGGATCCTCCTTCAATTTTCTGGCCTTGACAAACACTTAGAAAAACAACATAGTTATAGTAAATTTCTATAAATTTTGCGGCTATTTGCACTTAGCAAAATAAAAGAATAAAAGCTAATAAAAGCATGTTTTCAAAATCAACCAGTGGCGAAATCGATTGAAGATGTCGTTGATGTGACAAATTTCGGGCAGGCTCCGGACCACCGGGGACGTGACTTTGTTCCCCTGTCCAAACCAAAAGTTCTGGCTCATCTCTGCGAAGAACTTCAAACCCATCACCTGCAGCCCGGACGCCCCGTTTAACGTTCATCATCACGTTTGCGATTGTGAAATCGAATTGGGATTTATGGAGATTTATGGCAATTTATGGGCATTTATGGGGATAAGTAACCCACAATTATCCCATTTTCCCTTTGAATCGCATTTTTTTGGCAATGTTCCTCCATTTTCTCCACATAACTTGGGAGACCCTCTGGTCATCAAATGTGGCTGGAAAACCACCTCTGGAGGTTTCTGAAAAGAATCATCGAACCAAATGGAGACTATTCCAGCACACCATGTTTGATGACACCGGAGGCTGTTGCTCTTTCTACTACTATACCTCTATTAAAATTCCATCAAGAGCCCATTATAGTCCCACAAATTCCCATTGTATGCAGAATAATGCATATACATATATATATATATATTATAATTATATATATATATATATCCCCTTAGCCTATGGTTCGGTAAATCCATCAATTTATCTCCCATCCATCAATCCATCAGAGAGTTTCAGGCCTCCACCCGCACGTTGTGCTCCTTCGCCGAAGCCTCCAATGCTTGCTGCAGCTCTTCGGAGTTGAGCGCTCCACAGGCCTTGCAGCGTTGAGTCCAGGCTGTGAGGAGCACCAGATATTCCAAGGCCGTTGGCAGATCGCTGTTCCTGCGATACGACTGGTTAAGAGCTGCCCCGTAGCCTATCTTGGATCACTACAAGAACTGTTGAATTTATAGGATATCTGTAAATTGATTGGGGTTGCAAAGCAACTTATAATTAGGGGGCCCCCACTTTGTAGGATTTCTTTGCAGATCTATTGGATTGTTGAAGATATATTGTTGGGGTGAAAACATAGCCACAATGATTTATGGGGACATATTGGGGATATTGATTGGAATATCCCCTATGAACAATCTACAGATTACAGCTATTTTGCCAAAAAAAATAGGGAAATCGACCATCCCCACCTGGTCCGAATCATGAAGTTGTTGAAACCCAAAGCTGCGAAGTAGAAAATCTTGTTTCCTGCGGCTGTTCAAAAAACCAAAAAAGGGGGGAAGAAATGACGCAACGTATCGGAAGAATATGCTATGCATATCCATTAATATGTTCTTAATATTCATTAATATCCATTAAGTCGCCATGAATTTTCATTAACAAATCTTTGACTCTTGCAGAAGTTCTACGGATCCTTGAGCTGCGGGAGTCCGCAGCTGGATGAAACCCATATTGTTGGACCCCTGGAACATCCCCCTATTGCCATTGATATCCTCATGCTTGTTGGCCACATGCATCCATATATGTGCGTATATATATATATACACAATTATGTTAAATACAAAGAGATATATATATATATATATATATATCATATAAAGACATGAAAACAACATTTGTAAATGTAATTATATGTATATGTTTATGTATATGTATATGTATATGTTTATGTTTATGTAAATGTATATGTCTAGTATATGTGTAATGTATATACACACACATTTTTTTGATTCCTCCCCACGTAGCCTCCCAAGTCCTTTGTGTCTGCTGCCGATGCCACGCACCTTTGCCCGACCCCGGCCCTTCGCCTGGCACTGGTCACCCAGCGCCAGCGGCCTGGGCAGAACCGGGATGACTCCACCATGGGAATAACCTCTATATGGCCTAGGAAACTCCACCATGGCCCCCCATGGTACCCTCTGGTTATGTCAAAATAGCTATTGAAAATGGCCATTTATAGTGAGTTTTCTCATTAAAAATGGTGATTTTCCGTAGTTATGTGAAATTACCAGAGGGTAATATGAATAGTTCATGGTTATATCATGGTAAATATCCATAGTGCATGACGACCAAGGGGGCCAAACCTATGTAAGTATGGCCCACTTTCATGGGACTAAGACCCGAAAGTGATTCTTATGGGATTGTTGGTGGATATTGATGGTACTATTCGAGGGTTAATGTACCCATTCATAATTGATCACATCCCATTATCAGGAATAAATATACCATTGAATGAAAAACAATTTGCTAAAACCAGAGTAATGATAGCACCAGAATCTGCATATAGATGCATATAGTACAGTATGTGTATGATGGTATATGCAGTGATGGGACTGTAATGGATAAATGATATGGGATATAATATAGTAAACATCATGGTAGTGTAATCATGAGCGAACCTCCATAAGGTGACTAGCTAGTGGACAATCACAACAACATTAGATATGTTCAATAACCATCAATAACCACAATACTGATTATTGGGATTACTATAAAAAACATATAAACTAAACTTTGTAAAACTAAAAATTAGGATATAAAGTATATAACAATGGTTATATGCCCGCTTAGTTCACTGGATCTGCACCCCCCAAATATCCAGACTCGCTTGAATTTTCTGCGTTACGGGGGTACGGATCCCAAGAATCGAATCATCCCAATGGGCTGGGACTCACTTTGCACACCGCTGAGGGGGGAAGGAGGGTGGGTGGTTGGGAAGGCGCGGGGTGGGAAAGGGTTTCTAGCTCTTCTCAGCCCTTCTCAGCTCATGTCAGCTCTTCTCAACTCTTCTCAGCTCCGTATCTAGGTGTCCACCGTGGTCTCCAGTCCTACGATATGTTTTCCAACTGGTTTTCAACACTACCCTCTGTTTTCCAAATCGTTTCGGTCAATTTTGGGGTGCAGGTGATCAAGAAAAGATCATCCTACTCCAACTTGCCAACTTGTAAGGCGGATAAAAAAAAGGCACTAAGCTGACATGAGATCATTGGGCTCAGGGATTCCCCCAACCTTAGCCACCACCAAATCAATGTGGCGACGTCGTGGTGAAGTCTTTTCAATGTTTAGCTTACGGTTGGCATGAATATATGTATATATATACATATACACAACATTATATACCGTATACCCACTTAATCCCACTTAATCCCACTTATAAGTCTATCCATTTGTGGCAAAAAAAACAAGTACTAAGCTAACCACCTAAAGTTTCCCCAGTTATATCAGCTATCTTTTCCTTTTTTGTTGCTTACATCTGAAATCCCAAATCTGGGCGATCAAATCCCCATTTCGGAAGCTTCCCGTAGCCATTGTGTGGTATTCAACATAGCTATGGAACATGGCGCATTAATAGAAGGTTTAATGATGAAACATTGTGAAAAGGTTTAACTTTTCACCATGGTATTTTTTCATAGTGAATAAACCATGGTTAATCACCGTGGTAAATCAACGACCATCGTTTTCATGGTGATTTTTCATGGTGATTTAACTTGCCAGAAGCCATCTTAACTTCTTCAGCTCTAACTGGAGACATGCCACCTTTCTTCAGGGCTGCGAATCACCTCTTCGCTCACAGCGACAGGCACCTGGGGATTGGTCGGAATTCAGTGGGATTTAGCCAACATAAATAGGAACATTAAAACAAACATATGGTTTAAGGATGCTTAAGGATACAAAGAGAATACGGATTCAATGAGAAAATTAAAACTGTTGTTGGTCGAAACCTTCGCCTTCAACTATTGAACATTGACGGGTCACAAACCCACAGAAAATCGGGATTCAGTGGAATTTCACCTGGCGAACATCCCCACCTTTCTACGCTTTTGAGGTCTGCCGGCTGCTTGGGTTTGCTGGACCTCTGGCAGCTCCATCCACTTTTCAAAGAGTAGCCGCTGCCGCTGTGAAAACTCCTCCGAGATCACTTTGAAGCGATCTTCACGCGAGAGTTTCTGCAGGCACGCCCTCCGAAGGGTGGTCGTTTTTGACCCGGGTGGTTTTGGATTGGGCAAACATGAGGGCTCAACCAGCAAACTTGGCAAATCCCATCTCTGGATTCTAAAAACATCTAAAAACCATGCAACAATGAATTTTCCCCAGATTTTCTGGTCAAATCATCCGAAATCACCACTTTTTGGATGATCAGCTATGATAGACTTGTTGGTGGTTTCAACTGAAAAAAAGTGGCCATTGGGGATCATCATACTGAGAACGGTTTTTCATATCAAGAACCATTGGTCACCCCACCAGCCAAATAACAGTTGGTATTACTCGGTTACATACCCGCTAATGAGCCCACGAAAAACCAACCATACTATACCAGAATCAAACAGAATTCTTCAGGCACCTTAAACACTAAAATAATAATGGTTGGTATAAAAGCACCTTATGGTTGGTATACTATTTCAACCTTGAAGCACCTTAAACACTAAAATAATACAAAATCCATCGCTTCAACTTTCAACGATCCACCTGATTTGCTTCAACAACGCTTCATCTGGACACTTCGCTGGCTTCGGATCAGTCGACTTCTCGGGGCTTGTGGCTTTTGGGGAGGTTGACTGGTCCTTCGGGATCCCACAGGGAGGACACACCACATGTTGAACATGGAGAAACTCAGCTCCATGATGCTCACTAACCCACAAACATTGGCAAACTATAGCAAAATAGGAATCCAGGTTGAATTACTCATACATTGACATATCTAATCAACCCTGATTACAACCATGGTCAATAGGGCGATATGTAACAGCCGCAGGAATCTAGCTCGGGATAGCCCAGATGGTCGCGAAATTTGGGTTCAGAACTTCCCTATACAAGAAACTAGACTATACTTTGGGGGGAAGTGTATTTCTCAAACTCAAATTCAACAATTTACAAATTTATTCTTCCTCCTTCATATTCAATCTTTCAATCCCTACACTATTCCTCTTCCTTCTCTATCGTCTAGGAATAGGAATAAGACGAGAAAAGAACATTGGACAATGAAAAGGAGGATGAGAAGGAGGAAAAGAACAAGAAGGGAACAAAAAAATATGCACAAAAACAAACAAAAAGAAGGATAAGGAAAAGAAAAACAAACAGAAGATGAAAACATGAAGCATCCCTTAATCTGATAATCAAACACAGAGTTTTTCGGGCTGCCATGGGCTGCCCCACTTTTTTGATCAAAATGATTGATGTCAGCAATTTTCTACAAGCCATGTTTCTGGCAAAACAAACAAAGTACTCGTGTTGAAATACCCAGCCAAGGCTGCCCCCCAAAAAACATGGGTTTGTCTGAAAATAGGGCACACTAAATCCTCTGGTTAATCATCATCTTTCTTCCCTGTTAAAATTGCCGTTTGGGGGTATAAACCCACATTTTTAGCACCTGGAACCGTGTCCTTCTGCGTGCTGCGACGCGCTCGCTGCTCTTTCCCCACTTCGCCCGGTGAGACAGAGATTTTGCGGTCGTACCTGGGGTGCAAAATTGCTTGGATGACCATCCCATCACCGGTTCCCCTGAAAATTGATGTGGAACGCTGGATAGAACCAGAGGATCTCCTGGAGATATCGTTTTTTTTTTACCTGTCATTGATTTTCTGTGTTTTTCTTTAGTTAATGGGAATGTACCTCCAGAAAAAAAACCGGGGTGTGGGCGACAACATGTTACCAGCATGGGAACTGAGTGGCTGATTCTCCCATTCTTTTGGGACGTGACTAAGGTGGTACTGTAATCGTGTCAAATCATGTTCGGATGTGTCAAGACAAACGCTGGTGTTTTCAGACCTTAGTGACCCGTGGCATTTCTCATTGCCCGTCCAGGACATAGCTTAAAATGTGAAGGAAAGTGCTCCTGAACACAGCTTCCCAATGCTTGATGTCGCTTCCAAGCTAAATTTTGCTTTCAGAGTGGTGTATTAGTCCTTTTTCGGGGGGGCGGGGGTAACTACCATCAGCTGTTGACAAAAGTCTCTCACTAGCTTTGAGGAGTCCAAGAATCGTAAATGGTTGTCATGTTTCATGACCCTGGCGATCACAAGTACACGAGTACAGTGTGTCTATATCAAAGGAGTACTGTATATGCCAAGTACATAGTGGGATGAGCCTCCAAGTATAATTGGGGAAACTAACCATGACTAGCTGACTAACCACTGACGATGCAGGGACCAATGGACAAATCCCTGAGACAATCGAAATGCCACCCAGATGAAACGCCACCTTCTATATCAAATACTCAGCTGGAAAATAAGCCTCATTTAGCATTGGTTATGAATCTCTATATATTTATAATTATAATATATATATATTATATTATATTATATTGATTTTGGTGGCCCATATGGGGGTTGTTTGATATGATCGGGGGATGTGATTATTTCACAATCAGTCAAGAAACAAGCAGGGTCAGATCCACAACTACAGGCAAAGCCTGCTTTCCACGTTTGTGATTTCCCATAAACATATGGAACATGTCGATATATCTTGGTATACCCCCAAAGGTTTTTCATCTTCCCCGTCAGAATTGCCATTTTAAGCACATTGTCTAGGGTATACCTTAACTTACATACCTTACGCTGTACAGCCTATTTCTGGGCAAAACTCTTATTATTGTGTTGATTGTGTATCCCATTATATAAATCCTATTGAATCCCCATGTAATCCGCATTGCATACCAATTGTCCCATTTTTCTCACTAATCCATGGACATCCGTTCTCCGACGATGCCGAAATACTTCGTACGCGACTCTGCATTGGTCAGCACGTGGAACGCTTGGTACACCTGCTGAAACGCTTCCTGCTGTGGAAAATGCGTCAGGGTCATTGGCAAATATCGGCAAATATCGGCAATGGATCCTGAACGCAGCTTTCTATAGAGGTATGGTGTAAAGTATCAATAAGCAAACCACACAAATCTCAATAATATCTTACCGTCGGGGTCATTTACCCATTGTATTTGCTACATGATGGATACATTGTGCACCGTACTAGGTTCGCACATACAGCGGTGTAAAGAGTCACCAAACTCCACTGCCATCCACTAGCCATTGAATCCACACAGGTGACCTTCAGCGTGCTGGCGCTGGCCCGTCACCTGTTGTCCCAGTTGACCCCAGCTACTAATCACCCTGACCCTGGCTGCCTTTCTCCATCCCCGTCCTTGCTCCCTCCCTTGTCAGGGTGAACCTGCAGGGCCGTGCGCTTGAAAGCTGCTTTGATCTCATCCAAGCTGGAATCACGGGCGATCTTCAGAACATCCTTGGCCCCAGGTGGATTCATCAAGGGGAACATGAATGAACATGAATCATCGCGCATGAATCATCGCGCAAGGGCATCCTAGAAATCCCAAGTGATACCATGAAATAGCCCACTGCTCATGGGATCCCAAGTATTGTGCTTTGAATCCACTTGGAAGGTGGAATTTTCATGAACGATCCATCCCACTACAAAAACTCATCAGTGATGGGACCCAGTGACGGTGGGTCAGAAGCTTTTTAGAATTTACAACGCAAAAATATGGCAGATCACCTCTTACATATTTTGGATATATGATGATATATGGGCTATCTAGTACATGTAAAACATTGTAAAACGCTAGAATCATAAACATATTTATTACTCACTTACTGTCTGGGAAGCACCCTCCATGGATGCGTCTGTCCAGTGTCGTAAAGGCTCTGCTTGCGTGGCCCCTGCATCGCCCATCTTCCGTCGAATGCTTGGAGCTACTGGGCCCGTCGTGGGGGCCCTGGATCAAACAGCACCTTTCTTGGGAGAAAACATGGGAAAACTACCATCCCTTTGTAGCCTAATTATGCCGAATTATGCCTAACCTGTTCAATTTTTCAGACTCTCCCATGATACCGGGGTTTTGACCCTTTACAATAGTGGCCCTACCGGAAGCAGGAACAACTCCTGCCATATCTTGATACGTAGTTGCATCTTCAAAATACTTTAAAGTTAGGTCTCGAAACAAACACTTTATCCAACACTTTAAATCTGCTAGTCACTCATGATTGACCTAGATTGCGGGAATTGGTCGGAATGCAAAACCACCTTCCACAGCCGCAACGTCAAACAACGCCAAACAACATAGGGATCTTGAGTATATATATATATACTTTTTTGATCTTTTTTGGAAAGGATGATCAAGGAACTACCCAATGCATTCTGCACAAATACACAATGGTCATCAGTACATGTGCTGCTATGCAGGTCGAACTTGAACCAAGCTGTGCAGCTCTGCGGACAAAAGTGACCAGGCCTATCTTGATGAAGCAACTTGTGCACGTTGCAAACCACCAACCATTGATCAACAAATGAACACATAATCGTAGCTGAAGTTTCTCCAATGTTGGCGTTAAGTGAGGTTTCAATCATGCCATTTCAGTTCCTAAGTTTAAGAAACTATTTTGAACACACACAGCTGATTTGAAGCAAAGCAAGAAAACATAATCAATTGCAGACTAACCGAAAAACAAACCACCAGGGACAGGACATATTGAGCTGAAAACCAGGAAGAAAAAGATGGCGGGAAAAAACAACGACAAATCTAGCCAGAATCCCATCGGGTCTGCGTGCTTTATCATCATTTGTTTCTCATGATCTAATCAAAAAGGTTAATGTGCATTTGTTTCATTCACCGTTTGTTTCTATCTATTTTTTTGTGTTTGTCAATTTTTGTTCATGCAATGCTATACTTTCTGCTGCACAGCATGAGTCCAACAGCTCCCAGAAGAAGGTACTCATACTTTTAGGATCACCCAAACCCACACAGAACAACCAATTTTTCACCATGTTTTAGCTCACCCCATCCCATCACCCCAGGAATCGCAAGTGGCAGCGGCCCGCCATCTTTGATTCCCACAGGGTACAAAGTCATGGCGATATGATGGACCTCAAGTATGGATCTCAAATATTGATTTTACGGATTTTTTTTACGATGATGGTGTTTTTTTTTCCCATAGGAAATAGGAAAATAATCATAAACAATTGGAAAACATAGTTTTTTTTTCCCCATAAAATCCATACTTTATATGAGACATCTCTGGTGTTTTCATATGTTTTTTTTAGATGTTGAGCCGTAGAAAGGGGAGTATCATCTCCAATGACTGCCAAGTTTCAGGGGGTGGCTCAACCACTAAGAATAGGGATTTACCTTACCAGCAATCTATGGTTAATATTGGGTTAGTAAAGCCGAAATTAAGAACCAGCTGGATGGTTGGGATGATTTACTGTCCCCGTGGGTATAATTCCACTATATATATATAAAATCGAATATCTCAGCAATAACGGCAACCAAATTCCACATTTATAGAATGCAGGAACTGTCAGCTGGTGAGCAACGAAAAAACCTTTCTCAGAAGGGGAAAAAATCTTTCCATTCATATCTATTTCGGCTTGTCTGAAAATAAGGCACCCCCAAATTTCATGGTTCATCATCATATTTCCAATTGTTTTTCCCATTCAAATTGCCATTGCATGGGGGTACCCCATTCAGAATCCATAAAGAAATCGTTAAAGACAGATGCAAATCCATTAATATCCATTAAGATCCATTAATAAGTTATAGGCCATTCAAAAACCATCCATTACCGCGCCTGAGTTCCAGGAACAGGGCGCACTCCACCCCTCCCTGGCGCGTCATCAAGGGCTGTACCGAGGCTTCCAGGTGCAGCTGGTGAACGCCCAGAAGCTGTTGGAAGGCGCCCTGGTGAAGCGTGGTGCCGCTGAAATGACTTGGGTTTTTATGTGGTTAAAACAATAGTAACCCATTAGCTGATGGTTATTTTTGTTGATGGTTTATACCACCCATATTTTTGGTGGTTTATACCATTTTATGCCTATGAACATCAAATGTGGTTATCAATAATCAACCCATGTTTGATGGTTTATACCACCCATTGATGGTAAACTGAGGGATGGTTTATTCTTGTTTTAACCACAAGATGAGGTCCCAAAGGTATACCAGCTATGTTTGTTGGTCCAGCTATGTTGGTTTAGGGGCCATCAACAGCAGCTAGCATACTTTAGCCATCCCATCTCCCTGCGCAACCAGTTAAGCAAGTTGTGGTTGTTTACCTAGTGGTGCCTCACCTTGGAAGGGGTGACTCCAGTTGGATCAGAAGATTGATCTCCGAAAACTTGGAGATAGCAAACTTGGTGGCTTATCCCAGCGATAACCACACTTAAACCAAGTAGATATAGCCTTTTTTTCTCTGAAAAAAAGACATATGTTTACGATGCATACGCATATATCATTGTCATAGATTCATAGATGCTTGTTTGTGCAGTGAAAATCAATATTGTCATATATATATACTATACACACTTTGGATGGCATAGAAAAACAATGTAGATATAAAAATATTTATATGCATGATGTCTATATTCATATGCATAATTTGAATTAAATGAATTGATCCAAACCTTTTCGACAAAATCTACATGTGGATTTTTGCAGGTTATTTTGGAATTTGGATGCAAGAACAACATTAATTCTGCTTCGAACCCCAAGTTCTGTGAGGATTTTCTACGTACCTCTCCTTATGTATCTCCCACCAAGGGGAAGAGGACGGGAAAAGAAGAGGTTCAAGCATTTCCTCTAGAAACGCATCCCCAAAAATCTTTTCAATTACAGAATTGCAACCTTTGAAAAGATCAGCCCTAAAAAATATGGTTTTCTCAGCAGATCTGATCTTTGCAGATCGCAGACACCTGGCCTGGTACTGATTGGATTTCGCCGGTGGGGGCGGGGGGCTCCATTCGTTGGCATTCTGCAGGGCGTTCTGCACATCCTGGAGAACAAACTCGCCATGGAAGCAAAGCATCTACATTCGGTGCTAACCGCTGGCCCCATAGGTGGCTAACAACCAACGAAAAACGGAGATTTCAGCCGCAAAAAAAATCGGAAATCACTTACACAAATAGGGATTGATAGATGATTTACGACAGTTATTAGATTTACACATCGACTTAGCTAACTCTGGGACACCACCTTGGTTTGAGGACACCTCGCATTTGGCAAACGTATCAACTATTGACATTTTTGAACTATCCCTAGCCCCGCCACCCCAGAAGATACACTCAAGCCTAGTTTCTTTGGGCGGGGTTGTATTCTAAAGTTTTAAAGTATCACATCAAATAATTAATTCTAGGGTTTTATGAAGATTCAATATGTTTCAATATGTTTAGTATCACATCAAACTGCCTTTTTTCAGCGTTACTTAAATCATCAAATTCCATTGTGGGTGGTCCCCAGAACTGGTCACGGCGTCCTTCGGCTGGAAAGCAAACTCCAGCAAATGCACCTGCACTGCATCTTGTTTGCTGTGCTTGAAAACACACAAGGTCTTTGGGAAAGGTTGTGATTCAACAAACATGAATATAAATGTAATCTAATATAACAATTGCAATTACCACGTAAATTGGGATATAGACCCTATACGTATGGTTTTCATTGCTTTTGACCTCCTCGGAGAAGAATAAGTACTTCTCAGGTCTGTCTACAAAAACAGGGGGCCAACATTTGCACCTCAAATTTTGGGACCCAAAACTTTCATCAACGACCTTGCAACACATGAAACTGTGGGCTCACGCCCTGAGGCTTCATTGGACTCTGTGCCATATTTTAGGCCCTTGCTCATCATCACTTGTGAAAATTGCCTAAGAAGACGCCATCCGAATTTGCCCCAGAGAAATCCCATCTCACTCACCATCTCATCCCATTTTTCAGGAGCGAATCCCCAATTTCTCTGGTCATTTTTGGTAGACTCAATCCCTGTGTTTGTCAGGGTCAAATCCCATCATCTTTTTTGTGACTGAGATATGGGGATTCAGTCATGGGGGATCACCAGTCTAAATCCAATGCTTGTTTCAATACTAAGTCAGTCCAAAAAAATTCCATGGTGTGGTACCCTCCATCCTCCATGATCAACCCATGACTGTCATCACGGAGCCATGGAGCCGCCATGGATCCCACCTGCAAGCCGCGACAAGAGAGCATGAAGCTCTCAGTGATCCGTTCCAGACGCTCCACCCCCTCCAGGCCATAGATGGGCCATTGCCAGTTCGTGGGCGATGTCACCTACAGCCGAAAAAAGCCAGAGGGGAAAAGGCCGGTGACCATGAAACCATCGGGAAATGATGATTTTAAGTCATTGAAAAGTGGCATTGAATGCGATTTATAGCTGATTTTTGATAGCTAAGTTGACGCACAGTTCACTTGGCCCACGTTTGGGTTTGTGAGGGGGTAGCTATTATAGCCTAACCAAACGTACTTCTTAGGTCAGAAGTGGTTTAGCTAACCCCGTTACTAACCACTTACGAACTGGGAGGATCCTCCAAGTGGATAAGTGATGATAAGTGCATATCTTCAACCCAAAAATTCAGGCCAAAACATTTAGTAATCCCATCCCTTAATATTAAACACACCCTAAACGAAACCATGGTGGATGTGGGAATTTCCACGTTTAACTGGGACCGTAGAATGTTTGGGGGTGTCATCCCGAAACGGCTCTTTTTGGTACCGTATTTTCACTGATTCACCATGGGATGGAATGGAGTGGAACAGCCCCAAGGTTTGCTGGTTTCTCAACATGCTCGCCATTGATTTGCCTTGAATGAGAGGAACATACACACCATGTTCATCCATTTTCAAACAACACAAAATATGTTTCATCCAATTATCTATCTTGAACTATCATCAGGTTCCCAATTTTGATTGCAAGTTTGCAGTATAACCTATTTTCAGGAAAACGCAATATCATATTGTTGGTCATGGTTAGGTCCCAGTAATTGTCCCCATTGATCCCCACAAACTGGTTGGTCATGTGCCTATTGAATCTATTGGCTGTGAAACATTCGGGTACATACTGTAACACCTCTCTTTTTTCCAAGCAGCAAACATTGGGACCTCTATGTTTTCATCCCAGTCACAGAATTAACGGATTATATCATATCCTCCATCTAAACCCCTTGTCACGTCATTATTAACTGGTACATATCCACCATATTGTTGGTGAGACAAATCGTATCCCATTAAATCTCGTGAAATATTACCCAGAAAACAATTATAGCCAATTTTTCTAGCCAATTTTATAATGATATCCCATTACATCTGGTGATGGTAAGTTTTATAGCCCATTTTTTCGACCAACAACTTGTGCTTCATTCCAAGTCACAGAATGAAGCTTCCCATAGAAGCGTTTCAGCCTCTGGTGCACCTCTCCCGTCCAGCCTCCCTTTCTTTCACCTGCAGCAGTTTCCAGGATGCAAAGGCCGCGCTGGATGGCAGCCACACGCCAGGGAGCCCGTTCTGCCGTGGCTGGGAAAGGTTGGGAAGCGTCAGAAGGACTTGGAATTGTTCAAACTTATGGAAAATGAATGAAAATTAGACTTTTCCATCAGAAAAATTGTCTTCAAAACCCATGGGCCTATTATACCATTGGTTACCACCAAAGATCTAGCAAAGGTCTCACCATCCCCTCTACAAAAGATCCAGCTGGATCTGTATTGTAGATACCCTGCAACAAATCATTCTTTTGGCTGGTCGGTATGCATTTATGGCAAACACATGAAATACACACTACCCATCCAAGGTTTACTTGTGATGTGCTAATTGAGAGTATCATCCCCAAAAAAGATAAAACCATTTATCTGAAACTATTCAATTTCACTGCAAAGATCAGGCAACTTGATCCAAAGATGGCACAAAAATGGTTCCCAGCGGCCTGGGTTGGCAGAGGAGTTGAAGAAACCTTGCTGCAGGGAACTACTGCAGACCTCCAATCGACACAAACCTGGCCGCGTGGCGACCCAAAATTGGGGTGCCGTGAATTGGATCCACACATGGCTGGTCGTTCTTGGTATTTCAACACATTTCACCGTCCCAAAATGGTCAATGTTTTTGAATCACACCCAATCTTTTGGAACACTTTTTTTACGTTTTTTTGGAGGGATAACATTCTCTTGTGACTCTCCATATGGTAGTGGTTGTGAGCACTTCCTACCTGGATCCAAAACTTCACTGATGGGGGTTTCCCATTTCTTTAGCCTTTGCTTGGACCCGGTATAGTCTTCGACTCGTACCCGGTCTTACAAAAAAGACAAGTTCCCACATCAAAATCAGTCACGTACCAAATTTTGATGTGGGGAACTTTGTTTATCCATGTTTGTCTTGGGACCGATCGGACCATTTCGAGAGATACTATAAATAAAACACATATACATATTCTTACAAATGAAAACCACCGCAAATATAAAGGCCGAGCAAAAACCTACAGTCAAACCACAATTAAACACACATACCAACATACGCACACATATCAAAATAAAAATAGTCAAACAGGTCAAACATAATCCATATAATTGAAAACACAACATACACACCAACAAATCTATTTCATCTTTTTGGAGTACACAAACATCAAACTGGTCAGAACATAAATACATATCATTGTATGCATGCAAACATTGAAATCAATATAAAACACATCAATACATAAACACGAAATCACATAAAAATAAACAATGAGCATGTAGGCAAAATAAAGCATGCAATGTAAATGTGTAAATAAGAAAACCATGTGCAAATAAACATGCATGCAAGCACGCATGTATGATTGTATGCAAGTGTGCATGGATGCATGTATGCATGTAATCCAACTAAAATAAGCACGTATCAAGGGAAGTATGTAAGAAAACATGCAAAAAATGTAAACATGCAAAGTACGTAAGCACATGTCAACACATGTAAACACGTAAGCATGTACCCAAGAACGTAAGCAAGTAAACCAGCGTCCATGAAACTCCCCTTTGAGGACCTCGGGCATCCAGAAAGCTGGTAACGCTTGTGAGCTCCACCACATCCAGGGTCTGCAAAAGGCTCTTCCCTAGGCGGGGGAAGGGTATCATACCTCAGCATGGCTTTCCAGTCGGTACTTGCTTTGGGCAAACCTCATGGCTATTTGAAGCGGAAAAATAAAAGATGACCCTCTTTGCAGACAAACCTGACTTGACCTCAAAACTATCCAATCACTCTGATTCCAATGGCAACACAAACAACCACTAGATATCAATAGATACTATTGAGGTGCGTGTTTGTTTGTGGCGGTTCTTGATGCGCAACTACAGGCATCGCGACTTTGTGGGACAATTATTCCACATGATTCCAAGACATTGTGCCCCACAAGTTGGGTGACCAGTTAAGTGATCACAACATTTTTATGTGTCTCAAGTAATCTGAAATAATTTCAAGAAATTGATTGGCATGCTGTTGGGTCTGAAAACGCGAATCAACTATATAAAGTTTTCCCACATCATGATCTGGGGCCGCTGTCCGTCCTGGTTCTGGTAGATCCCCTACGTAGCTGATGTTGTCAGCAGGGGTCGCCATGCAGAAATGCTCAGAGAGTTGCAGCCTGGTGTATTTGTAGCGACTAAGAGAAATTGTCTTCTTGTCCAAACAGGAAAAACTGATCATGCTTTGTCAAACCTGCGGTTAGAGAATCGGTTTGGCTGTCAAACAAACTTTGGATATCTCCCTATGGGAGACGCTGAGTAGCAGTGCACTTTGGTTTTCTCTCTGTTTTGACATGACTTTCACCTTACTTTGAGGCTGAACCAAGGAGCAAGAGAAACCGCAGCTGGTGAGGCATCCTATCTGAACATCACCCAACAGGGTCACCCCCATTAGCTTTCACATTAAAGTAACAATGCTGGATGCTTTGGGGATCCACGATTTTGAGAAACCCCTTGATCCGAGGCTTCAACGCATCCAACATAATCTGCTTGGTGGTTGACCTACCCCTAAAAATGATGGAGTTCGTCAGTTGGGATGATTATTCCCTACTGAATGGAAAAATAAAACATGTTCCAAACCACCAACCAGTAATATATTCATAAAACCTTGAAGTCATGATACCAACTAGGGACAAGATAATCAGACATGCTTGGAACCACCGGCCCATGATGCTTTGACTCCTCGTCCCTTTTTCTCCTCCCGTGACGACCATCGTAACCTAGACCTGGCTGTACTGGACCCTCCTGCTATCATGCCTAGGGCACTACCGAGACCACGTGCAACTTCATGAATCTAGACACGTGGGTCCAGCATGCTCCAACATAGTAGGATAATGTGGGAAATATAACACACCACATGGTATATCCAGAAATGTAGGGACATAATGAAATAGGCCACATGATTGAGACATACAATCGAAGTATTCGGTTAACCGGCAATGAGATAGCATGATGGGATATCATGGAATCCTTGGACATCACGGGGATTTACGCTGGTTGAATAATGATCATGACTATTGTTAAAAGATGACTGTAGTAGGCGGGCATCATTGCTGGAAGAAATTGTCGTTGGTGTTGAAGTCGTTAGGTTCCCGGCGTTTCTTTGATCAACATCAACTCTGGGGAGGTCGCAATTTTTTCAGCACCATCACCTGCAAAAACCTGGGGAGATCCGGGAAATCGACCAACAAAGCTTAACATATTGAACCATGATGACGTATGAATTCAACTACTACGAGTACCCATCCGGCCTTCCGGTCTACCCCCAAACCACAATGGTACTGGGAAAACTACTGAACATTTCTTGCCTCGTCTGCCTCGTGGCTTAAATGTGAACTTTGGATTTAGCACCTCGCCTCGTTACATACCTTAAATCTTGGTTGTTCATCTCGTCGCTTACCTCGCTATTGTTGACTTGTCTACCTCGTTGCCTCGGCTGTCCTCGTAGTAGTTTGTGCTGATGGTATGAATTAGACGTCATTCAACGGTCTCGGTGAAAACAGAGCTGCTGACCAAAAGGGCTGTCACTTCGAAGCAGCAGCCTGACCTTGGGCGGGCTGTCACGCTTTTCTTTGAGAACCAAACATGTTGAAACCTTGTGAGAGACATCTTAGAAACATGTGAAAAAACTACCAAGAAATATCAAGATGATCACCCCGGAATGGGCGATTCCGGCTGTTGACCGTGTTCAACCACTGGTGATCGAGGCAACCTCCCAAAAAGATCCACCAGAATGTGGCCAAAAAAAGCAGTTGTGTCAAGTGGAGGCACGGCTATCGAATGAAAAATGCTGATTCCAACCTACCCACTTTGTGCCCCATGAGTCACTGAATGTCAGTCCGCTATCTCCACTGAAAAAAAAGACTCAGTAACTTTGGTGACAAAAGCAGAGTCAAAAACTGGGTCCCCAATGACTTACCAAACATGGTCTAAACATGATCTAAACCAGCAAAAGTTTATTCACGAACTTCGGAAGCCTTCAGCCACAGAATTGCGATGTTTTCATGTGTCTTCTGGATCAAACTGATGTCAGTGAGAGAATGCAACGTGCAAAAATGCCTATTGTACCCTTGGCAGCATCGAAAGCAAAAGCATCTTTTGCCCGCCCGGTCCAAGCTACAATCCTGACACATGATCAGAAGCGCTTAGATGACGCGCAAGAGGGTATGTGCTCACCTTCGAGGGTGGTGCACTACGAGCTAGCCCTCCCTTGAGAAGCGCCCGTTGCGTACGAAGTTTCACTGGTACATGCTTCATTGGCACAAGAACGCACAATATAAATATAGATGCATATAGAATCATATAGATGCTAGATTAATCTAGATTCTAGCCACCCTGTCTGAGCTTGACCCACTCTAGAACCCGCGTCATCCGGCCTGACACTTACTGCTTCGCAGACTTGTCAAGCAATGGCGTAAAAAAATTGCGGATCTTACTCTTGATGGCTCTCAGAACAATGCACCGCTCTCAATGTTCTCATTGTTCTCGTTGCCCTCATTGTTCTCAATGGTCTCCTTCTTGGGTTCATCCTTGGGTTCATCGGGTTCACCCTTGGGTTCATCCTTGGGTTTACCCTTGGGTTCATCCTTGGGTTCATCTTTCGGTGGATCTGTACAATGAGGTTTGATCTTCTCGCAGTCACATTTCTCGCACTTTGGTTTTGGCGGGTCGGTACAATTAGGTCCACAACCCGTGCCGTTCTTGCAACCCCAACAGCAGTATCCGTGTCCTTCTCTGGGGTGCTTCCTTTTTGGGCATTCCGCTCGCCAGCAAATCGTGGTATGCACGCCGGTGCAAAGGGGTCCGCACTGCCATCCCCGGCTGCATCCATAGCAGCAGTACCCGTGGCCTTGGGTGGGGTGGGCATTTCTCTGGCAGCCATCTTTCTTGCACTTTGGGGGCGGGCGGCTTGGGGCACAGCCCATGTTTGATGATGTTTGATGACTCTTGATCCTCAAATTGCTTCAGGTAGGATGCTGTGAAAGCTCATGGGCTCTTCCCCTCTTCCTAGAGCAATGCGACAGCATATGCTGGTTCATTGCTTTAACACATCCCAAAAATGTTACGTATATATTATATATAGATTGTCGATCAGTTGATTAGTAAAAATCGCAGGTGGGACGGAGAATATTGCAAACTCCACACCAAAGGATATAAATCCTCCTAAAATGACCGAACATCCCTTTGTCTATTGGGGGACACTAAAGTTAACACCCCACGAATTTCACCAACTGGCCGCAGCTGCTGCTCTAAGCCCAGAGGCGGAGGAAACTGCTGCAGAGCCTGAGAGCTGGACCCCTGGTTTCCAGGACTGTGAAGGGCAGGCTGGGGCTTTTGCCAATCTGAGTGCGTTGAGATATATTGAGATTATCATCAAGGTTTATAAGTTCTATACGTTCTATAAGTTATATAAGTTACATATCAGTTCTATAAGTTATATGAGTTTTATGAGTTATAGAAGTGGTAGGCACTCATCATTGGAAGATTTTTTGGTGGTTCAATATCACCTCTTGAGGTCGCACCATATGTCTCCCTGCAAAAACCGGAATAGACCTGGGACGGGGCGTAGGGATGACCCACAGCTCATGGTCAAATATTCCATGCGGCCGTGCGCCTGTGCGCACAGGTACCTCAGAACATATCTTTCAACCATAAGTCTGATAAGTCTGCGATTTTTTTGGTCCTTTTTCCGGGGCATACAACTCACCAGTTCTCCTTTATCTGGATGAGTCCAACTTGTACCTTGTTGGCCCGGCAACTGATTGTTGAGCATCCAAGGCGAAGGTCAGAGTTCTGCTGGAGTTTCATCCATCCCCATGAAAAGACAATGTTGAGAGTTATGACCATCCTCTTAGATCTCTTTAGGAAGTTGGAAAGTAAAGAAATTCACATTTTAAACCACTGAAAATCAACCCATATCTCAGGTGCCCAAAAGTCTCAGCACCTCTTCTGAATCGGTGCTGTCGATCACCCCATATCTCAGGTAGATATTCCAACAAAATCTTGGAGGAGTATCGTTGGGGAGCTGCCATTTTTGAACATCTCCAAACGCACCATGTAAATAGCGCAAGCATTGGCGCAAAAAGTGATCCTATGTGACCTGCTGAGGCGACTATGCAACTTGGATGATCTGGAAGACCTGACCTGCGGGAGCCCCAGGAGATCTAGGAGCTGATTGGTAGTCTGGATTCTCCTCATAGACAACTGCCCATGCCAAGCACTCATGAGGCTCACAGATCTCAGCCCATGTGGGAGCTGTGGCTATAAATCCGCCAATCTGCTCAAAGGACCCTTGATTGTTCTCATTGTTCTCAACGGTCTCCTTCTTGGGTTCATCTTTGGTTTCATCTTTGGGTTCATCCTTCCGCGGACCTGTACAATGAGGTCCACAACCCGTGCCGTTCTTGCACCCCCAGCAACAGTATCCGTGTCCTTCTGTGGGGTGCTTCCTTTTTTTGCAATCTGGTCGCCAACAGTTCGTGGTATGCACGCTGGTGCAAAGGGGTCCGCAGTTCCATCCCTTGCTGCACCCGTAGCAGCAGTACCCGTGGCCCTGGGTAGGGTGGGCTATCTTCTCGCAGCAATCTCTCTTGCACTTTGGTTTTTGAGAATCTGTACACTTTGGTTGGAGCGAATTACAAGGGGGTCGACAACCTGTGCCGTTCTTGCACCCCCAGCAACAGTATCCGTGGCCTTGCGTGGGGTGCTTCTTTTTTTGGCATCGCCAACATTTCGTGGTATGCACGCTGGTGCAAAGGGGTCCGCACTTCCATCCCTTGCTGCACCCGTAGCAGCAGTACCCATGGCCTTGAGTGCGGTGGGCCATTTTCTCGCAGCCATCTTTCTTGCACTTTGGGGGCGGGCGGCTTGAGGCACTGCCCATGTTTGGTGATAACACATAGGTTAACTTGATCCTAAAATTGCTTCAGGAGGCAGGATACTCTGCAGCCTTGCGGAGTCGATGAACTGATTCCACTCATTCCTAGAGCAATGTGGTCGTCAGAAGGTCGTGGTGCTTTGATGGTTTCATCCCAAGAATATTGAGGTGCCAGCCAGCGATCATCGCCTGAGGAACTCCTGGTAAACCTGAGACCTGCCAGCGTGGCTTCCACGGGTGTGAAGGGCCGGGCAGGGTGCGGCTTTTGCCACTCTGAGTTTATTGAGATTATCATCAAGCTATAGAAGTTATATAATATATATGTATATATATATATAAGTGGTAGGCGCCCATCATGGCTAGAAGCCACTGAAACTTCTTTTTTGTGTTCCAGTCACCTTTTGGGGTGGGTTAAGCACCATCTTCAAACTTGGGGAAATCTAGGGCCGACCTGGCTGATGACACCCAACAGCGTTGATTCATTGGCCACTGAAGTAACTTAGACGCTCGTGGATGTGACCCTCTTCAAAAGTGAACACGACCCCAGAAACCGTTTGGTCTGGTTCTTGTTTGTTGTTTTATTTCAAGCGGGCGTGCGCTTGTACCTTAGTCAACGCATAATAAAAACCAGCAGTTTGCTTGATTTTGTCGGGGCAAACATGCAACCCTTCTGACTAACCTTGATCAAAGCACAACTATAGACAAGGGGAAGAGGATTCCGCATGATTCCGCATAGATTAAAGACATAGTCCTCAACAAACTTGAGTGGTCACGACATTTATCTGTTCCGGACATCCTCCTCATCCTCCACAATACAGTGGTCTGGCGCCTCCTGTCACCAACCCCGGGCCCGGCCCCGGTCTCGTTCTGACCCCACGCGCAACTCACGTCAGGAGTACAAATCATGATGCTGACATGTGCTGCAGCGATGATGAAATAACTCGGCCAAAAAACACATGGAAAATCATGGAAATCTTGGATCAGATCTGAGAAGATGAGAAACTTTGCGTGCGTCAAAATCGTGAAAGCACGGAATGAGTTGTGGAGTTGTGGTTGGCCGTGTCTCACACAGCACAGCTATGAACATCGACCAGCGGAGGCACCATCTTCAAGAGTCGCATCTTTACGAGCTGGGGCCAATAGTTAAGTTTGTTGCTTTAAATATCCATAGACATCTAATGATATCTATAGTCTATAGATATATAATGATATATAATCATTAATAATCATATATAACCTATAATCTATATCAACATAAATCCTAGTTCATCTTACGTATACGCAACTTGCCTTGGCCATGGGCCCCAAGCACCTTTTTTGGTGCCGCAGTGATCCTTTTTTGACCTCGCATTCTCCTAGACCTGGAGCGATCATCTCACGACACGGGGCAATATTTCTTGAACGACACAAAGCCACGACTTTTGTATCCCCATCAAGCTATTGGATATACAGTATGTAGTATAGATATATACATATCATACAAATGAATACATCTGATACACACATAGTCACATATTATACATATCATGATACCCCATCCTGGATTTCCATGTTGGTGACTAGAAAAACCGACAATTCTATTGCTTCAAACCATTTTAAAGCCATTGGCACCTCCACGTTGCCCGTGCGCCACCAGGTATCGTTGTCGATCCGCTTCATTAACGCCTGGAAAAAGGAGCCAAGGCAAGGTAGCACCCCCCCGGTGTCACGATAGGTTCAGCCAACAAAAAAACAGGGATTTCACCAGCCAAAAATCGGGATTTGGGTTACAAAAAATCGGGGAATCTTAAATTATAATTCATTTCATGATAGCTAAGTTGGTGCAAATAACATCAAATCACTGGGTTAACTATGGTCAATGGTAGATATCTCGGACTAGTTCCTGTCATGTGGCGAAACAAAACCAACAAAATCGGCAGCTATATTACGATAAAGCAACCCCCCAAGATAGAAGTTGCTTAAGAAAAATGAAGTTGGTAAAATCTGATTCTAATACATATCTGTATATTGGTAGAGGGATCCTTTTCTGGATCTCTTTAGGAGTTAAACATGTATAGGCGCAGCTACATAAACATGTTGCAGTACACCCACAACATCCAGAGTTGCCTGCTTACATCTGTATATTTCAATGCAGCTCTAAAGGGATTGGCGGTGTAGCAGCCGATTCCCCTACCTTGGTTCGTGGTCAACATGGCCATGAAATACTCGGCAAAATGATCTTCTCCAGAGGTTTTTTTTGATGTCTTCTTGGTGGCCCATCCCACTTAGTAAGTGGGTTATAACCCCAGTTATAAATGGGATAAGTAGGGTTAATCCACTTATAACTGGGGTTATAATCCACTTACTAAGTGGGATGAACCACCAAGTTGGGGGCTTTTTGCGACGTTTTGGGTGCCAAATTTTGGGTCCCAAATTTTGGCAAAGTTCTCCGGCCTTCAGCTGTTTCTTTGGTCCACACTCATAGATCTCGTCTAGCTGCAGCTTCCCCAAGCATTCCATGGACTCCTGGGTGCAACGCGATGCCATCTAGAATGTAACCTCCAGTAAAAGTAAATTGACATAGACCCTGCCAAATAGAGACTTGGAAGACTAGTTATATCTTAGTTTCCACTGTTTTTTTCTTTTTCGGAGTCTACATTAATTTTTGGAGGGAGGGTACCGTATACAACAGGGTTTGCAGATGTTGTGCACCCAATGTCAACTGGCAATTCACAAGCCGTGGCTATGAATTCGGGGGGTTACACCCCGGAATAGTTGTCTAACTGAATACTAAAATTGGTACTCCCTATCTCTTGAAGCTGGGGGTTTCGCAAAATTCTGGACTGATGATAGGACCAATGCCCAGAGCATATCCAAGACGCGTGGACGTCTTATATCAAGTTGGTTGTATTTGGTTATATAATGTTATATACATATATCATATATCATACAATTATGGAAATATCCCACTAAGTACCATCTGGTTATTTAACATAGCCATGGAAAATCACCATTTTAAATAGGTAAGCCATCTATAAATGGGCCATTTTCCATGGCTATGTTAAATAACCAGATGGTATCTCCAACATTGCTGCGCCCCGCTGCTGCGCTGACCTTCCATCGAACTGGCCGCACCAGCTGCTGGCCTTGGAAGATGGCACTGCTGCTTCTGCTGATGTTGATCATAATGATGGGAAAAGTAATCTATAAATATCTATAAATATCAATAATAGAACTAGCGATGATGGTGATGATGATGATGATGGTGATGATGATGATGATGACGACGGTGACGATGACGATGGTGGTGACGGTGGTGATGATGATGATGACGACGATGATGACGATGACGATGACGATGACGATGACGATGACGGCGAAGATAATTTATGCTATCACTATTACAAACTATTCCTATTACTATCGTTCCAAAGTAGCCATATGATTACGATTAGCAAACACATGCTCATTACATCTAACAATACGATGCCGATTTAGCCAGTCAAACATAGGGATTTCAACAGCAAACAAAGGGACGAAACATCTGAGTCAATGATTCATGCTAATATTCTTCTGATGATGATGGTGATGATAATAGTGAATATTAATTTATGGTTATTTGAGCCTCACATCCTATTTCCCATATAGGATTGCACTTCTTCCACGTCTGACCACCAAATGATGACCCGCATGCCAAAAACTTGCTGCCCAATGTTTGGCTCAATTTTTCAACATACGTAAAACTCTAAAAACACTCTGGAAATTGAACTTAAGCAGGAAAATGGCCATAGAAATAGATAGTCTACCTTTTTTTGAACGGGTCATCTATACCATGGCTATGTTAGTCATTACCAGAGGGTACAGTAGCTGAATACATCAACTGGGATCATCTTTTGTCCCCGATGGTTCTGCAGATGGCAGGGCATGATACACATCTTATGCTGCAAAAAAAAAGCAGCCTCTCATGCCAAGGCAAATTGAGATCAGCTTCCCAGGGATCAAAAACAGTTGATGTGACCTTGAGACTCATTCTTGGAGTAAGATAAGGTGGACAGTAAACGAAAGTACACAAACGAACATCAACCAGTCATACCCTCTCGTAATTTAGCAGTCTGGTACGAAAAATCATCATTTCTAAATATGGGGGTTTCCTGAAATGGGGGTACCCCTAAATCATCAATTTTTAATAGGATTTTCCCTCACAAAAACCATCCAGCTATTGGGGTACCCCCATTTCTGGAACCCACCAGATTTTTCGCAAATCATTGACATTCTGGTTGGTGGTTTCAACCATCTTTAAAAATATTAGTCAATGGGAAGGATTATCCCATATATTATGGAAAATAAAACATGTTTGAAACCACCAACCAGCATTCAAATGGGCCATTGTTCCCAGTGGGTTTTTCTCAGGTCTCCACCCAACAGTCTCAGCACCTCTTCTGAATCGGTGCTACTATCGATCAGCCTGCCGCTGAGCCGCTGAGCCGCTGAGCCGCTGGGCAAATCCACATTTTGAATGGGCAAACTATGTGTAACTCGATGCTTGATATGCTTCGATGCTATATATGCTATCATACCTGAGGAAAAAATGCTGTTTATATATCTATATTTATTATATTTTATTATATTCCCCTTGAAGCCCTTATGAGTCAAGCCTGACTCAAAATCCGAGCAGATCCCGCCGTCCTACATCAACTGAGGATGTCACTAAATGCCACTACTCGAAGGATCATCCGCATTCATCAGAGTTAGTACGTACTTAATGAATGTTAGATAATGTTAGTAAATGTTAGTAAATAAATCATCATAAATCCACGATTCCTGGTGTTACCAACCCGTAATAATAGAAATGTTAACCAGTGATCACACTTTCAAAAGATATTACAATCGTTTCAGCAGTTATAATGAATGTTAGATAATGTTAATGAGGCTGTATACCCTCTGGTAATTTAACGTAGCTATTGAAAATGACCATTTATAGTGGGAAACTCACTACTGTATAAATGGTCATTTTCAATAGCTATGTTAAATTACCAGAGGGTAACTGCTGAAACGAAGCCGAAACGAAGCCCAGTGAGTTGCAGCTTGCGCACCTGGCTGTTGCATTCATCACCACTTGACATCGAGCCGGTGATGTGGCACGCAGCGTCTTCTGGAGCTCAACCTGGTGGCAACTTCCAGTGGGATTCGATGTGGGTAAAACAATGCCATTTTTACCATCCCCAATTTGGCAGTGTGTCAAAACCCTGGCAGCTAGTGAACCCCAAAATAGCTGGTAAATGGATGTTCATCCCACTAAAAATGGTATTAATAGGTATTGATCCATAGCCATTTCACCGGAATTTTGTAGGTGGTATAGAAATGTATGGTTAGCATTCCCAGTCATTTTGGTGGTTTATGGCATGGTTTATGGCATTGTTGTTTCACCACACTACCATCAATTCATGATATTCATGGGATATGATTCCTGAAAGATGCGATTTGGCAAATCATTGGCATCACAAGGTAAATACAAAGCATCAGTCATGTCACATCAGAAGTGTTCCTCTACATTTGACAGGCCTGATTCTAAAGAGAAATCACTTAAGGTAAACAGGTAAACCGAATGATAAGCAAAATTGGGAGAGCTGACGCCGATTTCTGGCGAATTCAGGGATGGTTTATCATTGGGTTTCCCAATTTACCATCGTCATGGCACCTGGAACCGCTCCATCGCTGTTGTACAGAGCTTGGTGTGCAAGGCTCCCCAACCCTGCGAGGGGGGACGACCAGTGGAAGTATGCCAGGAAGTCATTAGCTCCAACAGCATTTGGACATCAGGACAGGATGCCATTCTAGGCTGATGATGGCTGATGTTTCAGAAACTTTCAGAAACCCCATGAGTTTTGAGGCTTCACTATTTGGGAAGCACGAAATCTCTGACATCCCGAATTCACGAAAGCATCGCTCATCCAGTCTCTTGCAATGGGCAATCGCTTTTGTGCAGTGGCTCACTTTGTCCGGGCGGTGGCTGTCGATGGGCGCTGGGAATCACCTGGTTTTTCCTTAAAATGGGGTCAGCACCTCAAAAAATCGATGGTTTGTATGTGTATCATCACTTTCACCATGAACATTGCCATTTTAATAAAGCTAGGGGGGCCATTTTCAGGCACCAAATCCATATCTTGTCTTGTCTTTCAAGATTACCATCTCAAGCTGCTGGGTGGTCACTTCTGTATATTGAACATGGTCCAGTTCTGCATTGGAAAATTAATTTGGAGTCAAATTCTGATCGAATTCATCCCAATGTTGTTCCCAACAGAAAACATTGGGAGCAAAAAACTATCGGAAGCATCGCATTCCATATCAGTCAAGGGCGTCGGGACGTCTTCCTGCCAGACTCAGGAATGATCCAAAAATCCCGGAAAACGGTTGAACATAGAAAGCACGTGAAAGCAAAAGCACAGTCCTTGCGGACATCACCTGTTTTAGATTCCTGCCAGTCAGAAGGCTTCTTTTGACCAATCAGATTTGCCAGTTAGGAAGCTACTCACAGATCCACTGGACATGTTCCCCTCAAAGTTTCGGATGGCCAGTGTAAAATCCTGAGGTTCATGCCCGTCGCCAAAAAAAACACACACCAATCGTAGAAGAAAATCACTGCATCATTGGGGATCATCATCCAAAAGACCCACCAGCTA